GGACAACAATGGGTAGCTCCTTCCCATCCCTAATTAGACAGGAACCTCATTAAAAGAATTGTATAAATACCGCCTCCAACCCCTCCCACACTAGTGCCATATTTATCTAATTGTCCAGCTCTGACATCCAATAAAAGTGTTAACTGAGGCCAACATAGCAGTTTTACAATTCATCTCAGAAGGAACTTTAGCTGCAGCAGGCCAAGATGATGAAAGGAACCTGGGAGAATGGGCCTTAAGTCCCTCAAAGACAAAGTGTCAGGATTACAAGTTGAGCCAGCATGCAGAACTGTGTCACACCTAGGACTAAGGATAACGTATAACCGGACCTTAGAATGGCCGGACTTAACGTATCCAAGAATAGTAAAAATACTTGCCGAGGTCAGGAACACAGAATCAGACACAACGATGAGGAAAAAATCAAAGGTCAAGGATACCAGAATTCAGGGAAGTCAAAACAAAGCCAAAGTCAAATACCAGAAAATCAAGATCAGGAACTCACTCTCAGATTACCATCAGGATGAAACCACGACAGGGCAATGAGCAAAAGGAGAATTGGTTTAAATACCCCTCCTGTGGATCCTATTGACTGTAACCAGCCTTTGACTCCAAAAGCAATTACCATGTTTCCATGTGCATGATTGCTGCTCAGCACAAACCCTCCTGTGGATCTGACTGGCCGTAACCGGCCTTGGACCCCAAAAGCAATTACCAGGTTTCCATGTGCATGATTGTTGCTCGGCACAACTTTTCCTGTCAGGATCGTAATGCTGCTCGGCACAACTTTTCCTGCCAGGACGGTAAATGCCATTAACCACAATTTTATGTGCGGATGAATACGTGACACAGAGACACCTGAAGAGAGATATGAATGAATAATAACAGAGATAATAGATCTGCTGATGGCTTCTTTAGATGCTTGGAGTTCCTTCCTAGCTCCATTGGGATTTAACAAACAGACTTTCTGAAGTATGCCATCCGGAGGATCTATCAATGTAAAACTTCGAACATCTCATCAGATCTAGAGCTGAGAGATCCAATAAGGAATGTAGAAGTAACTTTGGGATGAAATTCGGGAACTGTCCTTAAGATGATTCTTGAAATATACAAAAAAAGAACAAGCAAAAAGGCGCTAAAATTTAAATTAAATTATAAAGTATATAAATGTAAAAAAAGGTAGAGCTGCACCTTAGCAGTAAAATAGCTCAAAACACCCAAACAACCTTAAGTAATAAAAGATTTTTAAAAAAGGTTAAAAAAGATTTTAAAAAGGTGCACTATACTTTTAAAATACTATATAATGTGCACCTGAAAAGTGCAACATAGTGAAAAGTGTCAGTGCAATGCACAATATAGTGCCAGCAACACAAAATCAATAAATTAAATAAGTGTACAAATTCACAAGTGCATTAAGTGATAAATCTTCTAGAGAAACTTACTAATAATATCCTAAAATTGGAGTAATGTAGCCCTAGAGTAATGTAACTCAGACTCTACAAGCTCTGGATGGAGACGCTGAATGTTCCGCATAGAGATTTGTGCATCTCTATAAGGAGATGCTGATTGGTTAGGGCGGCATTTGACTCTGCCTCCCGCCCCACCTCCCTGACTGAGATGATCAGAATGCAATCTTAGCCAATATAATGCTTTTCTATGGGAAAGCCTTGGATTGGATGAGATCATCAATTCTGATAATGTGAGCCAAGGAGGCAGATCAGGGGCGAGACCAGCACTGGTGGATCTGTGCAATGCTAAAAAAAGGTACGTATTTTACCTATTTAAGGGGGATAAGGAGGAGCTGAGGACCCTAGATGTGTTTGTAACACTATAGGGTCAGGAATACATGTTTTTTGTTCCTGACCCTATAGTGTTCCTTTAAGTCCACAATAGCTTTATATAACACGTCACCATTTTAAGAGACATATACAATTAAACACTTAAAATGGCATTTGAGCTAATCCAGCTCTAAAGTGTGATTTTTTTTTTTTAAATTCTTTATTTTATCATGCATATAGATTACATAGATACGAACAATGCCACAACAACTATTGCCAGCCAAGTGATCGACAAGTAAACAATTGTAAGGCACTTAATAACAATGCACATTTTGTATTATTTTATGAGACTGACTATGCATAACATGAGTAAACGCTATATAGTAACTAGATTGGACAGTAGATTTGAGTTAAGTGAATTAACTTTTATATGTGTGTAGGAACACGTAGGTTTATGCTTGTAGTGCTTGCTAGACATATCATAGGGGCAACGTTTGTGTTTGAGTAGGCTAAAAAAGTATTTAGCGCGGGCAGGATAATTTCCTGGGACGTTATTGTGAGTTCAACAGTGTTACAGCGTTCAAGAGTTGCATATGTGAAAGCAGGGTTATTACAGGCTATGTGATGGTGTCTGAATGGTAGTATTGCGCTCAGTGTGGCGGGTCAGGCATATATGCTGGTTTGTTAATCGCAGTTTGCCTGAATTTATTGTGTACGTATATGTTGTAGTGGCAGTTGCCTGTGCAGTTGTGCTAAACATTTAAAACGAGTTTGCATCTATAAAGAAACTTAAAAACGACAGATAAGAAATGAAAAATAAAAATAAGAAAAATGCATGAGGCTGTGCGAACAGACAGTTTCGATTTCTTGTGTTGGGAGTGGATGTTCTTGGCTACAGGGCTAGCCAGACTGTTGCCCGGTAAGAGAAAAAGGTAGGAGAGTGTCCCGGTAGTGTTAGTCCCGTTTCAGGTTGTGGCAACTGTATATGGCCCTGTGGGGGGGGTTGTCGTGGCACAAACACCAGTGCTTCAGCCACGTTTCTCCTTAGGCTGCCTGCATTTCCAGCCGGTGGATTCGTGGTGGCCAGTGCTGTCGGTAGTAGTTTTAGGTCAGTCAATGCCTTAGTGGCCTCTTGTAAGTCCCGCACAACCAGAGGGACATTTGCGCCATTTATGTGTAGAGCATGGCCTGGGCCCCAGCGGTACCTGGTTTGTTGCTGTCGCAAGAAGGTTGTAAGCTGTCTGAGGGATTTTCTCCAGTTCAGCACCCCACTTGATAAATCTGCATAAAACAACAGGGTCACATCTCCGAAGGTGTAAGTTGTTAGGCCCTTGGTGGCTTCTAGGACGGCCTTCTTATCCCTTGTGGCAGCCAGAGGTGCTGTAGCTGGCCATGGTATACGGAATATGCTGTCCAATGTTATGGATTTGGCCACTTTCGGAGTTAGGAGTGCAGTCAGCAGCTGACTGGCGTAGTGTGGGAGCTCGGCCTCAGGTACAGAGTCTGTTACCCCTCTTAGTTTTAAGTTGTTTTGACGTTGCTTGTCCTCCTGTGCAGCTATTTGCTGGTCATGGAGTGATGCCATTTGTTTTAGGTCGGGGACTGCCGCTTGCAGCTCCTCTATCTGGCGTGTGTGGCCGGTGGAGGTGCATTCCTTGGTCCCAAGCGGTGCTGATAGGCCTTTCAGGTCCTCCCTTATCGTGGCCACCTCCGCTGAGATTTTGCTGTGATGGCTTCCATGGTCACCGGTGTGGGAGTTGGTGCAGGTGGCTGTGGTCTCTCTGGTAGCGGCTGGGCTCTGATCGGCATGAAGCTCCCTTCTCCTTCATCAGACGTTCCGTCTGAAAAATTGGAGCAGCCTCTGTGCAAGGACGCCATTGTTGCACCGGCTGTCTCGTGGGCCTGCTTCCACATGTCCCCAATATCCATGCCCAGACGGGGCTTGTCAGGCTTTTGTTTTCAGTTTTTTCTGCCCATGTGGATCGGGTGAGTCGTGTGGCACTCTGGGGGTTGGTTGGGTCGCGGTAGGGTTCTGTTTTCCGCGATTTAAGATGTTTGGAGTCAGGAGCTCCGCGGCCATGCGACTTTCCTCGTTCATGCTAGACTCTGCCCCCTCAAAGTGTGATTTTTGATCCCTATATCAAAAAAAGAAAAGAAAAACTCCAACCTATGAGAAGCTTTGTACTGGGAATTTCGTATGAGAAGCATTTCATTGGACAATAACCAGCACTAACAAGACATGTCCTTTTCAGCCCTTCCGAAATATTTATGCAAAGTTTAGTAAATGCAAGATTGTTTTTTTAACAATCAATAATGTGCATGAAATAAAACTGCATTTTTTGACACAGTGCTTTCCCTTAGCGTAATAGATTATTACATTTGTATAATTTTACAATTAATGTAAATAGTACAAATATTAGGGAGTGTGTGTATGTGGGAGTAGAGGTAACTGGGGTAAGATCCCCTACAGGGTAGCTTTTTAAAATCATGTTTACTGTTAAAGGACAACTGTCACATCAAAAAAATATTTTTAAAATAATAATCCTTCATCAAAATGTAATGGTGTGCTGGGTATTAGAGGTTGCCCACATCCCATATGTCCTTTGCCCACCTCCCATATGCCCTTTGGTTCATATGCTGATGCATTTTTCTTTGCTGGTTAGAGATCTGACTTGTTTGAAAAAAAATTATGCAAATCCTCAATTGGCCAAAGTTCATGTATTTCTTTTTGTTTATCCTCCCGAATACATGGGAAGAATAATCCTGTAAAACTGGTCTTAACCACTAAGGCTAGAATCTGGATTGGACAGACCATGCTTTCAAATTCCGTACTGCATCGTGTGTGATGTCAATAAAAACCCTACTGCATTATGAGACTAACTGTGAGAGTAAGGTCTCAAATTCCAGGGCAGCAACAGGTCATGTAAGGATTAGTGGTTGTTACACTCCCAGTAGGAGTCAATATTTTTATCTGCCATTACTAAATCAGAGGGGCTGGGGGAACACAAACAGTGATTCTCTCCCCGGATTCATTTCCCAGCATATCACTGAAAGAAAGGGTCAGATTTAGGTCCCAGCCATCTTCAGCAGACCGGGACAAGTGTTCCTATAATACCTGACTCACTGTTATGTATGTGCTCTCTACATAAAGGTAAAAACAACCCTAAATTTTTTTATGTATTTTCTGGGAACAGTGTCACTTTATAAAAAAAAATAAGATAAAAAAAAAAAGCTTGGTTTGCATTCATATACTTTATTTTTATCTAAAAATACTTTTCTAACAGGTGCAGGGATTGGACCATTTGAAAAAGGAAAACAGATCATTAATGTGATGGATCATCAAGTACATTTGCGTTACGAGAAAAAGACGGGAGATAATGACCTAGCTCTCCTTAAACTACAAGTAAATATTAAATACAACAAGCATGTCCTCCCCATTTGTCTTCCTCAAAAGGACTTTGCGGAGAATGTGTTGTTACCAAGTAAATCTGGTATACATAGCGTCTTTAATTTCCCGGATGATGATTTTTCTGGCCTGGTTTCTTTTAAGTTTCCTGCAACACAAACTAACAAAGAAACCTGTGAATCTGCACTTAACATGACCCAAACTAATAGAATGTTTTGCAGCATTTCATCCAACGCAATTGACTCTGAGATTGTTGGTGGTGGCTATGCTGCTGCTAAGTACAGAGGTACATGGTTCCTAACAGGGATCATGCGAGGTGGTAATGTAACAACCTTGTCCCAAAATGTGTTTTCATTCACCAAAATCTCCAGATATATTATGTGGCTGAATGACATTCTCAGTGAAAGTATCAGTATATTATAGTGTGACAAACATTTATTTTGTGAAAATTCTCGGGAAAAAACAGGCGCTTGAATAAGTGTAGTGACAAAATTAGATCAAGCTGCTACCACCTGTGTTTCCCCATCCTTAACACAAAATAACATGCAAAAAGGATACACTAATTGAGTGGTCACACAACCCACACAAGTGAGTATGGTGGAGCGCTAAGATACACACTTACCCCTAAAAGAGGGGGGGGGGGGAAGAAAGTTCTTCCTATAAAAGGAAAAACAATATAGTGCAATAAATTTAACGATATATACACTGGTATGAAGGGCTTGTGACCCCCTTTATAGGCACAAATACTCTATTACAAGGGCTTTATACCAGGTGAGCAGTCTGGGATTTTTAGGTCACATATTTTCACTTGAATTTTTCAGTCTGCACTAGGAGTTTTCTTTTTTCCCTCGATTTATATCTCCTCTGCAAGATCATCAATTGGAAGAGGGACAGTGTCACCAAAGTACACACATGCTAGTGTGACCTGAGCCTATACTTATTGAGACTCTGCTCAATGTAAATGCTTTACGTTATCACGTGTATTTATCATTAAATGTATTGCAATATATATATAATTAATACAATGTTAAACAAAAATCTGCACACCATTCAAGCCATAAGACTTGCTTTTCCCACAGAAATCAGTAACCAACCTCATGCTAAAGAGTTGCATTAACAACGAAACAGCTGTCCATGAGTGGTTCACTGGTTTTGCATCTTTTCCTATATTGTGTTTCAAGCTGTTGTATACAGCAAACACAGATTAAAATGAATCCATGTTTAAAATGGAATGAGGCAAAAATGTGATTCTTTGTTAAACTAATTTGCATATGTCCATCCAGAATCCTTTGCGGTTGTAACATCACTGCAGTTATGGGATTTCTGTGGGAAGAGCAAGTCTTATGGCTTGACTGGTGTGCAGATTTTTGTTTAACATTGTATTAATTATCCACAGACTTCAGGTGGAAGGGGTTTTCAATCACAATTTTTCCCCACCATAACCTATTTGGATTTTGCTATACATACACACACACCATGGTATATATAAATACAATTAATACATGAAAAAAAAAAAATATATATATATATTCATACATATATATTTATACAAATATACACACTGGAAATGATTTATAACTGGGAAGGCAACAATGAAATGTAGTAAATAGTATGTTAAAAAAATGGAATAAAACTGTATTCTTTTATGGTTAATAAAGATGGTTTTGTAAGAGCACTCTACATTTTTTATATACAGTATACAACAAATGTCATTTCAATAAACAATTATTTACAGTTTGTTTTCTGTTGCCATAAATACAATTGTAATGTAAACACTTATTCACAAGTAAGCCATGAATTGTTCAATTTTAATGGTAAACAAGAATGACTGAAAATGTATTATTCCTCCAGCTCTCATAAGGAGGCTTTATTAATGTTATAATATGTACATAGGCATTCAAGCTTGTAAAACATTTGCCAATTCTTATTCTAATATTTAATTGGAGTGCTAGTTTATGGAATGCTGTATTTTATTTCCTATTTCAGCTGTAACACTAAAACTGGTGTCATTGTTGAGTGCAAATTATGTAGCAAACTCACTTTATTTATTGCAGCTTTCTATAAAGGACAGGAACAATATAGTGTCAGGAATACAAGCATGTAATATCCTTACACTATAGTGTTTAACTATTTATCTACACAGCCCCCCTCAGATTTGAAAAGGTTTTAAACATATCTTTTCTCCCACGCTGCACCAGTCTTACTGTGGCTGGCCCACCTCTGTGGCTGAGAAGATCAATCTTGCTGATTTAATCTAATCCAATGCTTTCCCATAAGAAAGCCTTAGGAGGCTTTCTTGCACATGTGTGGCAAAATTCAACCCTGCGCTAAACAGCATCTCCCCATTGAGATACATTGAATCAATTAAGCACCTCTAGTGACCATCTGGGTTACTGCCACCAGAGGTGTTCCTGGGCAGCAATGTAAAAGGCAGTGTTTACACTGAAAATCCTGCAGGGACAGGGTACTAAGCTACATTAAGCTGCAATGGTACTGGTGACTATAGTGTTCCTTTAAATCTCTGGCAGATAAAAAATAAATATGATTTATCATTATTCATTCAATCCTTTAATAAAAAAATACTATTTCTTACAGTCCATACAGCTTGCCATCTGTGACAAGTAATGCCCTACTTATTAAGTATTAGAAGCTTTGTGGCCAGCTGTTACAAAATGACATCTTAATATAGGATCTAATTGACCAGATTCTTGGGCTTGTTCAGCCGTTGGCTCTTAAGGGGATACCGGTGCTTAGTCCTGAATGTGATACATTTAAAAGCTGTATTTTATTACTTAAACTGGCTCTGTCACCCCAAACTTACTTTTCTCCTATTGTTTCCTCGTATCTTCCTCTTTTAAAATATACTTTAAGAGAGTTACGCACACTAAAAATACATATTACATTTCAAATCACTGTAACCAAAATCAATGCAACATTTTACTTGGTGTGTTTAGTGATCTTATCCCAGAATAATTAAGTCACATTTAATTCATCATAGTGAAACTGAATGAATCATAGTGAAAGTTTGGCAATGCTCAACATAACATAAAAATACATCCAAGTGTATAATAAAAAAAAATAACTTTATTTAACACACATCCAAAAGATTGACAAATGATGCTTATTTGTGAGCTGGTTCAAACTGCTGAAAGGTTGTGTAGTAGAAAATTCCATCACTGAACAAATACACATCATCAACTAGCAGACTGTCGATAACGGTGGGAAAGGGTTCTGTTTGCTGACCACAAGTTTTTGATGTTGATGAGATATGTACCCTTTAATGTGACCCTAAAAAATGGAAAACAATTGTTCATATATTAAAATACTTCCATAAGAACTTCCATTGCTATTACACCTCCTACACCACCACCATCCTAAATTTTAAAGTTCAATAGATATTTAAAACTACATGCAAAAAACTAAAAATAAAAAAAATCAATCATATCAAATGGGTTATTATAAAAAAAAAAAAATAATAAAAAAAAATCTCTTTGTTTATAGTGGCTGCCTCTCTGACACAAAGTATGCTGCAGTTGTTATGGTGCTTGAAACGGAACGGACCATTCTACAAACGCGACGGTTCCCTCCCAGTAAATTCATTTTTAAAAAGCCAACTTAATTACTTCCATTGCATTTCCACGTTGTGGCAAGTTTTAGGTCGATGATGATGGGCATGTTTGTGAGCTTGGGCATCTATGTGAGAAGTGGCATATGCGCACATTGTATTTATTACAGCAATTTTAACAAATTTTAATACTTTGACAGGCTGTGTATTCGAAAATAAAACAAACTGCAGAGAGTTTAAACATTTTAGCATAACCTGTATCTAACTTAGGCCTTCACTTAATAAACCTTCCAAATGATTTAATACTGTTAGAAAAGTTTTCAAGTGATCTACAAAAAAAAATCTACAAAAGTCACGATTAAAGTGTATGTGGATTTCTGCAGATAAGCCATTTGGAAGTTTTTCTAATAGTGTTGAATCATTTGGAAAGCTTACTGAATCAAAGCCTATATAAAAAATAAAATAATAATAAAGCACTTAAATATACTGAAAAAGCAAATATTCAACCTTTATACCTAAATTTTAAATCTATTCAAATGTAACGGGGGGTGGAGTTCTTTATAAAAAAATAAAAAAATAAAGATTCATATTTTTCCCCCCAATGAAAGCAGTATAAATGAAATAATAAAGTATGGGTAACTATGGGAACAGTGTAAAATGACGATATACATCACCAAAAAGGTAGTTAAACTCAACCAGAATCTTCCACACTATATCTACACTAATCCAAAATGAAAGACTTTTTGCAGAAACACACCAGGCAGCAAGCAAATCGTTTTTCTTTCCTTTTGCATGGTGCAGTACCTGCAGCAGTCATTCCCTTTAAGTGAGCAGAACATCGTTTGAACAAGGGATCGATCGATATTGATTTTTTAGAGCCGATACCGATAATCGGTGAACTTTCAGGGCAATAGCCGATAATTTACAGATACCGATATTCTGTACATTTACCATTTTGAAAAAATAAACTATTTCTACACAAATCTGTTGTTAACTGAACATGTTTATTATTTATTTTTTTGCAATTATTTTTTTTTTATTGAGGTTAATGCACAAATATACATGCTGGTCAGAATTTGTTATGTTGTGTGTGTAGTGGATGCAGTGTATGTTTGTGTAGTGGGTGCAGTGTGTGTGTTTGTGTAGTGTGTGTGTATAGTGAATGCAGTGTGTTTGTGTAGTGCGTGTATTATGAATGCAGAGTGTGTGTTTGCGTAGTGTGTGTGAATAGTGAATGCAGTGTTTGTGTAGTGTGTGTGTATAATGAATGCAGAGTGTGTATACTGTGTGTATAGTGAATGCAGTGTGTAGTATGTGTGTGTATAGTGAATGCAGTGTGTTTATGTAGTGCAGGGGTAGTCAACCTGGTCCGTACCGCCCACTGGTGGGCAGTTTGGGATTTCAGGTGGGTGGTGGTGGGTTCTGCAGAAAAAGCCCAGTGGGCCTCGATGGCCGCAAACCAAGGCCAGTAGGGAAGATCTGTGTTCCTCCCATGAGCAGGCTGGTCACAGCTGTGCCGTGCGTTACCCTGGCAACCCTCCGATACAATGCTGTGCTTGCGGGAGCACAGGAGAATCAGCCTGCAGCCGGAGGAGCTGCAGGCTATAGTGAACATGCCACCACTGGACCACCAGGGATGGCAGCATTATGTCCCCACTACCTGGTAAAAGGTAAGAAGAAGGAAGGGGGAGATATTAAGATAGGTTTTCACCTCTCATCAACCTACACACACACAAACACACACTACACCTCTCAGACACACTACAGCCATCACATACACAGCCCCCTAAACACACACACTGCCCTCCCACAGCCACACTCTGCCCCTTCACACATGCACAGCACCCTACACACACACAGCACCTCACAGACACACATAGAAAAAAAAAGTAGAATAGAAAATAGAAAAAAGGAAAAAAATAGATACATTTAAGTACATATTTTAAATAAAAACCGCTCCTTTCAAAAAAATAATAAATAATAATAAAAAAATAAATCACACTTGCGCAATAAAATTAGTTACCGCGGTACTGGTGGGCGGCAAGGAAATTTTACCATCAACAAAGATACAAAAGTGGGCGGTACGTATTAAAAGGTTGACTACCCCTGGTGTAGAGTGTGTATATAATGAATGCAGAGTGTGTATATAATGAATGCAGAGTGTGTATATAATGAATGCAGAGTGTGTATGTGTAGGTATTTAATGTGTGTAAAATGGGGTGGGGGGCAGGGACATTTTAAATATTTCCCTGTTTCTTACCTGGCCAGGGAGGGGGGCTATGGCATTACCTGGGGGGCCCAGCAACTCTCTTACTTACCTTACCAGCAGGTCCCTTTAGCTCCTCTGTCTGACTCTTGTGGCCTGTGTGCCGCGCGAAGCGTTGCTATGGAAACCCGTGGCAACGCTCTGACGGCCGTAGGACTTGCAAGAGTTAAACATCGCGAGCTGAAGGGAACTGCTGGGAAGGTAAGTAAGAGTGTGCAACATCAACAGCAATATTAACATAGCGAAAACCATGTAAACACCAGAGAATAAAATAAGATATAGTTACATACCATATAAATTAGATTAGCTATAATACACTGCACTTCGTCAAGATCCACGTCTTCCACCTTCATAAATTTTAGGGCAATCAAAAATGCATCTAGGGAAAGTTGGTGGGTTTTCAGTAGCAAATACCTGTAAAGCATACAATATAATGCTAAGTATACTCGCTAATCAAATCACTGTATATAAGTGTACATTTTAAGTTACTTGTTAAGTACTCCCAATCGGCTCGATGTTTGTTTATTCCAAGTTCAAATGAGGTTAAAGCACTGTTAACTTGCACTAGGTAAAATACTGATCCAATCTTCTTGCCTTTACACATAACTTTAGTTTAGCTAGGGTTAGTCTTATTCACTTTACATTTTTCCCTCATACCCACTATGCGTCCAATCCTACTGCTTCTCTAGTATTTCCTTTTCCATTGAAATTTCTTCTCTAATTAAACCATTCAAGCACTATTTATTTTCACACAACACTCCTTCATTCAACCACGTTTTCATATCTAGAAATGTTTACATATCTCTGTTTAACTGTATCTACTTTTCAGCCTTATTTTGCTCCCATGCTTTTATCTCCGTTTGATTATTTTTCCATGTACATTAAAATCATGTTTAAGTTTACTTACATCGCCTATCCCATTGTGGTTGGAGGTAAAATATATAGAGGCTCACCTAATTAATGCAAGACACTGGTCACTGTTCATGACATTAGGTCCTACCTACTGTTGTAAAATAAGGATGAAAAATTTGACCTTGAACCAGTTAGTTCTACAACCCACCTCATGGTATTTGTTTACCATGCATACGTTCTTAACTTACACTTTCTTAAAAAGATTCCTGTATGTGATGATTTTAAGTTTCTCCAGAATCAAAGAGATGCCGCACCGAATGAAGAATGTCTCTTGTTTGGCCAAAGTCTCTGTCAGTAAGAGAAGATTGCCTTCACTGCAAGAGACAGAAAGCACACAATCCCAAAGATTACTTATTTGGTGACACAAACCAATAACCTATTATTCTTACGAGCCACATCTGAGCTTTGGGCATATGAAGCTTTAAAAAAATTAAAGTGAGAGCAGTAACTAGGCTATGGAGGTTCATAAAAACTGGCCTCCCAGCTTAAAGACTGCAACACCGGACAGACACTCCAGTGGTGTCTTGGGGCTTAACCCCTGTTAGATATATAAGGATGTAATGACAATCCACTTGCAAGGATGGAGAGACTGCACAAGTGAATGTCAGCTGGGGATAATCTCAAAAAAGGATATTTACAAATTCTATAAGTATACGTATCTAACCCATAGAATAAACCAAGAAGTGAAAGGTCAAAAATAAGTATTACAGAAGCCAAGGGGCTAAACCTCAAGTTACTCAGATTATAATGCTTTCTACATAACAGAGTTTCAGACTTTAATCAATTAGGTCTATAGCTGAAAATAGGATCTTTGTACGCATATGAGTAGAAAAGTCTAAATCACACAGATCAGTAATAGACTGCTATATATATATGAAACAAGAGGGGGTTGGCTACACTCACCTGAACATGCATAAATGGGGGTGCTGCTGGGGGCCAAATAATACAATACACAAGATCCAGAGCACTCACCTATCCACTAAACAGCAACTTCAATGTTGAAAGATTTTATTTTTATTTTTATTTTTTTTAAACCACCTAATCTAGGCAAAAATAATGGGGGTTTAGTTACATTATATGATCATACATTGCATAAGCCTGCCACAACGTCAATGTACCCCATCTTTGGCAGGTCCTACACTAACAGCCTAATGTCTGCTCTTATGAGATTAACCCACTTACTTGGTTTATTCTATGGGTTAGATACGTATACTTATACAATTTGTACATTTGTAAATATCCTTTTTTGAGATTATCCACAACTGACATTCACTTGCGGAGTCTCTCAACCCTTGTAAGTGGATTGTCATTACATCCTGATTTTAAAAAATTAAGAAAATGTTATGTGTGGAAATTCACTAAGCTATACATTAAGCAAATCACAGTTCTGGGACTGTGGAATTTATTATCTCGAACATAGTTCATTATTTTCAAATAGATATTGAATTAGAAATACCTGACAGACTTTGTAACTTCTGCAAATTGCATCAGGTCATACTTTTTCAAAAGCTGAAGAGATGGCATGTGACCCTGTGGATGGACAGGTTAAGCTATAAGATTTAAGTTCTGAGAGACAAAATAAATCAAAATGCAAACACCATGGACTACTTCCCTGATAAAAATGAATATGAAAGAAAGAAAAAGAGGGATACATTATTTTTTCAATGACAAGGCATGCACAAGAATATGTGCTTGGGTACTGCAGCTACAAGGTAGCGAGAATGACCTATTTTGGTGGTAAAACATGGCTCGACAGATTACTGATTAAGCCACTGTCTCATCTGCTGGTCTAATTAAAGTGGCCAATTTAGAGTTGAATTGTTTTATAATCACAATACAACCTTAAAGGGACACTATAGTCAGCACAGCTTAATGTAGTTGTTCTGGTAAGTATAATCATTCCCTGCCAGCATTTTCATGTAAACACTGCCTTTCCAGAGAAAAGAAAAATGTTTACATTGCCCCTTATGGACACCTCCAGTGGCCACTCCTCAGATGGACAATGGGGGAGCTTCCTGAGGCTGTGCTGTACTCTGCATGGAGACACTGAACTTTCCTCATAGAGATGCATTTATTCAATTAAATTCTATGAGGACGTGCTGATTGGCCAAGTCGGCATTAGGACCCACCCCTGTCACCGTGTCATATTTCAACCAAACCAAAGCTTTCCTTACGGGAAAGCATTGGATAGGCTGAAATCCTAAATTCTGATGGTGTCAACAAGAAGCGGATCAGGGCAGAGCCTGCACAGTGGACCCGCGCGGCCCTTGAAGTAAGGTAAGTTTTCTAACTTTTTAAGGGGGGCAAGTCACCTAAATGGTGGTTTTAACACTATAGGGTCAGGAATACATGTTTGTGTTCCTGACCCTATAGTGTTCCTTTAAATAATAATAAAAAAAAAAAAAAAAATTTTTTTTTTTTTAAATAGAGAAAAATCCAACAACATGTTTTCTACACAACAAGTGCAGCAAAAGGAAAATAATTTAAAGTAGACGCACTAATTAGTCCTGACCGTTTAATGCACAATATGTCTAGGATTTCGATACAGTTTTAGAAGTTATAGAACAAAATATTTTATAAAGTGAATAATGGCTTTAACCCCTTAAGGACACATGACATGTCTGACATGTCATGATTCCCTTTTATTTCAGAAGTTTGGTCCTTAAGGGGTTAAAGATAATACTTTGCAGAATTTGGCATGCTGGCATGGCATAGCATATATTTGTAGAAAGTAGATCTGCCACATGTATACTTTTTTTACAGGTGTTTAAAGGACTTGTAGGGTAGAATAACCGACAAGTCCTAACTTTACATGAATCTTTGCATATTTACTAGGGAGGCAATTTGGTAAAGTGACACAATCTGTGTCAACATACTTGAACAGCGACAAGCATTGGCACGATTTTCAAACCTAACACAAACCCCTAACCATACTCCTAACACAAAATTTAATGCAACCCTAACCTAACTCTAACCCTACCTCAGAGGGTTTCCCTCTGCTGATGTCAGCACTGGCATCAGCAGAGAGATTTTCCAAATTACAGAGATGCTGCACAATGAATTCACAGCATGAGAGGGATATTTCCCTCTCCTGCTGAAGATTCTCAATGTTGTCCCTGCCAAACACACAGTGATTGTTGCTGGACAGCAGGCACAGCCCACCACTGTCGGCATGTTCTTTTCAGGAACCATGGGTCTCCCTTTGTGTGGAGCAAGATCAGAAATATTCCAGGATTCTGAGATAATCACAACTGAACAATCACGTTTTTCACATTGATTCAAAGGTCTGTGTGCAGCACTCACTTTAAGCACTGTACACAATTCATCTACTAATCTGGGGCCACTAAAACAGATATAGAGGAGCTTCAGGTATCAATTGATATCTGGGGCTCCTTGGTACTAAGAGGGATTTAACCCCGCTGGAAACCTTATGTCATGACAGTCTATGGCGTCCCTGGGCATTAAAGCCATGCACTGCCTGGCTTTAATACACAGATCCCGTATGCGGTCCTTGAGCAAAGTTCAATTTCAGTTAAGCTAATTTACTCACAATTCTTCAGTCAAAGGAGTCCAACAGAATAGCAAAATAGAGACATCAGGGGCAAAGGAGAACTGAGATCCAGTGCAAAAAAGACCATATAAATATGAATAAAGGCACATGGCAACGGTGAGAAGGAGAATAATCAATAAGATACAAACACCAAAAGCAATGTGGTGCTCTTGGTTTGGTCCTTAGACTGACTATTTTGATATTCCAAACAAAATGGAAAATAAGCAATTGATAATAAAATAGTTCTAAATTAACCATGATATATCTGTTAACGTACCAGCAGCATTTTTACTGGCAATAAGTAAATCAGAATCATTCTTTTATTCTTTTGACTTAATTGATGGCAGTTAAGAAAGGCAAAGGAGAGGTATTCCTCAGCTAGAGAGAGAAAATAAAAATAAAATTATATAAAATATGACACAGTAAATACTCAACAGAATCTAAATAGACTTCTAATAACCTCATAGAGTAACAGTATCTTCATATACCAGCGGCTCAGTCCTACCCTTGTCACTTAATGGCATAAATAAACCAATCCATGGCTTGCAGTATAGATGGTTGTAGTACATGTCTATGTAGTATGATGCACTAAACTGAATCTCAATCCTGAGCCTAGTTAACAGTGTCTTACAGACTTTTATAAAACAAAGTACTGCACAGAAGACATCACAAAATGGAAACACACTCTGACAGAGCCTTAGACTAAAATACACATTACAGCAAAATAATATATGTATAACCTTGTCATTTTTAGGCGTTGACTCACATACCTTTCTTAAAATCACTGTCAAACATAGCTTTGCGGCCAACGTAGTACTTATAAGTAACCCGCTGTGCCATGGTGTATTCATCTCTAAAATTGGAACTGTCGATCGCTCGAATTAAAGGTTTGCATAAGTGAAGTTTGTTGATCTGTTAACAATGCAAAGAAATAAAAAATAGTTGAGAGGAAACTTAGCAATTACCATAGAGAAATAGACCCACTGTGCCTTCTGAAAGCATACCTTGAAGTAAATCTTGAAAAGCTGATTTACCAGAAACAGCATACCCCATTTTTTAGAATCATCAAAGGCTGCACGTCTGCAACAAAATGAGATATTTCATTAGGTGATAGAAAGGTATGCAGAAAGAATATATATAGTTAAAAGATCAATTAATTATTCTGAAAGACTGCTTTGAATCAAGGTTAAAGGTCCACTATAGTGCCAGGAAAACATACTTGTGCCCCCACCCTCAGGGTCCCCCTCCCGCCGGGCTCTGGGGAGAGGAAGGGGTTAAAATCTTACCTTTCTCCAGCACCTCCTCCTCCCTAGCGACGTCATAGGCTGAATGCGCATGCGCGTCAGGAGCCGCGCGTGCATTCAGCTAGTTCATAGGAAAGCATTTACAATGCTTTCCTATGGATGCTGGCGTCTTCTCACTGTGATTTTCAATGAGACAGCCACTAGAGGCTGGATTAATCAGTGTAAACATAGCAGTTTCTCTGAAAGTGCTATGTTTATAAAACAAAAGGGTTAACCCTAGCTGGACCAGGCACCCAGATCACTTCATTAAAGGACCACTATAGTGCCAGGAAAACATACTCGTTTTCCTGGCACTATAGTGCCCTGAGGGTGCCCCCAACCTCAGGGACCCTCTCCCGCCCGGCTCTGGAAAGGGGAAAAGGGGTAAAACTTACCTTTTTCCAGCGCTGGGCGGGGAGCTCTTTACCTCCGATCCTCTTCCGTTCCTCCTCGTCGGCTAGCTGCGCGCGCATTCAGCTGGTCGCCTAGGAAAGCATTATTAATGCTTTCCTATGGACGCTTGCATGCTCTCACTGTGATTTTCACAGTGAGAATCACGCAAGCGCCTCTAGCGGCTGTCAATGAGACAGCCACTAGAGGAATTGGGGGAAGGCTTAACCCATTTATAAACATAGCAGTTTCTCTGAAACTGCTATGTTTATAAAAAAAAATGGGTTAACCTAGTTGGACCAGGCACCCAGACCAATTCATTAAGCTGAAGTGGTCTGGGTGCCTAGAGTGGTCCTTTAAGCTGAAGTGGTCTGGGTGCCTATAGTGGTCTTTTAATGGTGGGGTGAACAAAAATAACAAACAAACCAATATATATGTATATATTTTTACATTTCCATATCAAGACAACACATAGGATTCACATAATGGCAGCACAGTTGACAAGCACTCTCTTTCAGAAAAGGCACGTCTCTTTGTGGCTGGCCCCGCCTTCTTGGCTGAGATCATAGAAAAGCATTGGGAGGCTATTGCGCATGCGCTGCAATATGCTGTGACAATTAGCATTTCCTCATAGAGATCCATTGAATCAATACATCCATATAGGAAAGTTCAACACCTTTATGCAGAGCCATTGGAGGTGTTGAACGAGCTGCTGCAGTGTTTAGATTACAATGCCTGCAGGGACATACTATACACATCAGAACAAATACATTAAGCTGTAGTTGTTCTGGTGACTATAGTGTCCCTTTAATAAGACATTTACCATTACACCCCAATACGGTTTGGTTTTTGGGTTTTTTAAAGGGGAAATTATAACAATATTCCACCATCCATTTTTCTTTAGTTTCCTATACCAGGGCTTGACAAATCTGATTTGAATCTAGGAGCCAGCTGAAAAGGTTTTTTTAAACAAACAAAGCTGTACCTGCAGACTTTTCAATGTAAACAATGCCTTTTCAGCTAAAGGCTACTAGCACTGATGAGGAAGCACCTCTAGTAGCATATAAGCTGCTACTAGAGGTGCTTCCTACATTCAGCATCTCCACGCTCTGCTTGTAGGTGCTGAATGTTCCCTATAGAGGAACAGATGATAATTGGAGCTGCGGTTTGCCTCTTAATACTTTCCTGTGGGAAAGCATTGGATTAGCAAAGATCAACAAGATTGATTATCACAGCCACAGTGGCGTCGCTAGGGGGGGGCCAGAGGGGCCCATGGGCCCCCCTACATCATGCTGTTGCAAATGCCGGCAACTTGCTGGCCATGGGCTTCCCTTGGACTGTAGCTGTCTGTTAGTGCCCGAGGGAATGCAGGAGAGAGGTGCTGGGGGTGGTCTGTGGCTGGAGGGAGCACTGATTGGCTCCCCGGCACAGGCCCCGCCCCCAAACGAAGCCCTGCCTACCACAGATAAGCCACGCCCCCACCGTAAAGCAGCAGACCATGCTGCAGAAGATGTCTACCTGACCCCCAGCAATATCCTCCAGTGACAGGTAGGCTGGGGTGGGGGGGGGTGGGGGGGGGGGAGAGGTTGTTCACACACTCTCTACACACATTGCCCCCCCATAAATCATATGTTGTCCTCCAAAACCAGGGATCAAACAAGGAGGCTAGTAACTACATAGGGTAGGATATATAGAGGAGAGAAAAAGGAAAAATAAATAGAGGAAATCCTCTGAGTCACTTTGGACAACTCCTGTAAAAGAAGGTAAAATCCTAATATGCACAGTGGCAGACATTAACAAAATATCTAGTGCAAGTAGGAACTAAATTGCACTTGTAGCAGTAGCCCCTATAATATGGGATAATTAAACTGGATAGTGTTACCAAAAGAGCCACTGTAGCATAAATTGAGGAGACTGTCGAAATAGAGAAAGACTCATATATCATGAACGAACAAAAACTCCTTCCCTCCTCACGTACCCCCAAATTCCTAGAACTAGTAAACGCTTGCTAAAACCTATCACTCGTGGCAACTCCTGACTAGACTACCTAACGCGCGTTTCAGCGCCTCTAATGCACTGTTGATAGGTACTAGTAGTCTAGAGATTGGGACATGGGGTATATGCTCAGCTATCTGTATAATACAGATCTGTGTGCATATAATATCCCGGGATAGTCAGTGCTTCCTGTATAGTGCTGCTCTCTGTATAATACAGGCCTGTGCCTGTATAATATCCCGGGACAGTCAGTGCTCCCTGTATAGTGCTGCTCTCTGTTTTGGGATATTATACACAAACAGACCTGTATTATACAGAGAGCAGCACTATACAGGGAGCACTGAGTGTCCCAATTTATTATACACACAACCCTGTATTATACAGAGAGCACTGACAGGGATATTATACCCAGACAGTAATTGATAGCTGTGCTGCAAAATGTCCTTGGAAATTTTTTTTAAATGTTGGCAACTATGGCACTGTATCAAGGATAATGTGTTTGTTTTTTTAATAATCCCTGGTGGAAAATAATGAATCCTCCACCAGGTATTATTAAAAAAACAAAACACATTGTGTCGGGGGCGTGGCTTAACATGCAACATGGGCGGGGTCAAACTGCGGCAAGGGCGGAGTTAAATGTGCCCCCCTACTTTTGTCCCTGGCCCTCCATGTGCCCCCCCGAAAAATTAATCCTAGAGACGCCACTGCACAGCCATGGAGGCGAGACCAGAGAAAAAGGTGAGTAAAAACACCTTTCTCATGCGATCGGAGGGGGGATGGTCACCTAAACAGACACACACACACACACACACACACACACATTTTCACACTCACTCAGAAATTATTATTGTTATATATTTTTTTTTTCTTATTTAAGTCCACCCAGCCTTACCTTTGGGGGAGCTGAAGTGGATCCTTTCCCTGGGGACAAGTGGGGCTGCTCTGATCATTTTCCAGCTCTTCTTGCTCTGCAGAGCAAGAAGAGCAGGAAAATTACAGCTCCATCCAGATATCCATGCTTTTGCAGAGCTGTGCATAAGAAACACACCTGGGGTGGTGATCAACTTGAATGTGGTCACTTTGATTGTGGCCCTAATAAATACTTGCCAAATTGATTGTCACAAACAAATTGGCCATTTCCATAAGTTTGGCAGCAAGCATGAAGCTAACAAGGCAGCATGGCATAGATGGGCAACATGTGTAAAGTGCTGAAGAATAGGTTGGCACTAGATAAATACTAATTATAATAATTAACATTTTACATAAACATTAGGAGCTGAGTGAAAGGTTAGGAAATAAATAGTACAATAAGGCTTTGGAAACAGTGTGGTATTGGAGTAATAGGGTAAATGGTTAAAGATTAGGAAATAAAAGAATTGCCAGTCAGAAAATTGGTGTGCACATTAGGATCCCATAAAACAATACAAAACCATGCCCAGCATTCAGATTCTAAATGTTGCTATTCATTTTGAATTCAAGAGAAAACAACATATTTACCTGATTACATTTTTTGCAGTATATGAACTATACATAATACCAGGAATGTTTTTTATGTACAACATCACAGCATAATTCATTCAACTGTGCATGGCATCAAATATTACTGAAAGAAAAGAAAAAATAACACCAAACAAAAACAAAACTCACGTATCACTGGCACATACTCTGAAGCAACTCATCAAAAGCTCTGCAGCTTTCTCCAGCATATCCCCAAGTTTGCCTTTCCCTTTCTTAGTAAGCTGCTGATCAGCCTATAGAGAGAAATGAAATAGTGTTAAACACATTGGATATACCATTCTGGTTTTCTACTGAAAGCGCCATACCCCCATAAATGTCACACTAAAGGTATTGCATACTCCCACCAACACGTAACCCTATTTTCTTTTATTATAGGTTCACTTTAAAGGGACACTATAGTCACCTGAACAACTTTAGCTTAAAAGGACACTGTAGTCACTATAACTACTTTGTCTCTTTGAATTGGTTATAGTGCCTGGAGTGCCCTGGCACTGTCCCTCCATTCAGTGTTGCACCATGTTTGTGCAGTATGCAACAAAATAAGAGTCCCTGGTCACCCAAAGTCCGGCCCCTTCTGTATGTGTAGCTAAGGCAGATATTACACACTTCCTTGTTGTCATACCTATTCATACCGTCAGTTGGAGCTCTGACAGGTTAAAAGCAGTCAGCTGACGCTCTCAGCCAATCACAGCTGCCCAGGGTAATAATTCCTTATTAGCCAAAGCAGCACAGAGGGGATGGACTGCCATGCTCTCTTGTTTAGCATTAAAACATTACAACATTAAAAACTGTTTCATGCTGAAAGAAATGATGGCACCAGGGGACTCCATACACTATAACCAGTTTAATGAGATGAAGCAGATCCAGTCCATTTAATGAAGCAGTTTTGGTGTATAGAACATGCCCCTGCAGCCTCACTGCTCAATCCTCTGCCATTTAGGAGTTAAATCCCTTTGTTTATGAACCCTAGTCAAACCTCCCTGCATGTGACTTGCACAGCCTTCCATAAACACTTCCTGTAAAGAGAGCCCTATTTTGTTCTGTTTAATTAAGATTTTCTTATCCCCTGCTATGTTAATAGCTTGCTAGACCCTGCAAGAGCCCCCTGTATGTGATTAAAGTTCAATTTAGAGATTGAGATACAATTATTTAAGGTAAATTAAATCTGTTTGAAAGTGAAACCAGTTTTTTTTTTCATGCAGGCTCTGTCAATCATAGCTGGGGGGGTGTGGCTAGGGCTGCATAAACAGAAACAAAGTGATTTAACTCCTAAATGACAGTGTATTGAGCAGTGAAATTGCAGGGGAATGATCCATACACTAAAACTGCTTTATTTAGCTAAAGTAATTTAGGTGACTATAGTGTTCCTTTAAGTTATAGCAACATCCCCTTAGGCAAAGACAGGGAGGGAGGCAGAGAGCATAGCTTGCAACATAATCCACTCAATGTGCAAAGTGGTTATAGTGCTTGAAGTGTTCCTTAAAAAATATATATATATATTTTTTTTTAAACTATACATTTGCTAGTACAACAGATAGCTGAAATAAGATGCAATATCATTTAACATTCATGTTTGGGCACCGTGACAGGTACACTTTAAGGTAAAATTAAGTACATCACACACACTAGTAAAATTGTTGTTAAAGTACATTCCAGGTGAATTCATAAATAACAAATAATATTAAAATTCTGCCTATGTCAACTGTGGTCATTAACGATAATAAAGTTAAATGTCACATGTACCTTTTCAATTGCATGTTTTAGAATACAAAGTTACGTTTTGCTACATTACTTACACTGTTAGCAAAGATCCGCAAGTCAAGTGTGATTGCATACATTACAGGCAGGGCCCTGAAACATCATACAAAAAGAAGAATACAACGGTTAAAAACAGGAGGAAGAGTAGAACTGCCTTATACATGTTCTTACATGCTGTATAAAGGTTCCATTTGTGTGGCACTCACCAATTTTCTTCTTTATGAGCCTGGAATGTTTTCAAAAATGATGTGTTGCGATAAGGAAATATAAATAAATATAACATTTCCTCCAACTGTAATATTTAGCATTTCTTTATTTTTCTCCCGTTTTCATTTAATAGTTCTCATTTTATGAACTTCAAATGATTGAAAGGCTTTGGTATTGAACATGTCACGAATCGAACTTGCAACTCTAACACACTGTAGCTGGAGCTTTAAACTATGATTTATTTTACCAGCCAGTTAATGTGCACCAAATTTCAGTAGTCAAAAGTTATCTTTAGGGAACTGCTGTAAAGGTTTTGTAATGTACAAACAGTTCTTGAAATGACTAGATGGCTGGATCATAATGTTAATATGAAGGAAAGGAGGTATATTTTGTTAACTCGAAATTTAGAGCAGGGCATAACAAATTTGCTTTGAATCTGGGAGCCACCGGAAGTGCTTTATGGGTGCGGAGTGGTTCTTTAAATTCACCTACTTTTTATGGGAAGCATGATTTTTGCAATTGGCAGATTGTAAATAAAGTTCCATTTCAGTTGCTAAGTTAATTTATCCACAATCCATCAGTCAAAGGGCAAACAGCAGACAGTATGGACTGAGCAGAAGAAAATTTAAACACCCAGGTACTGGCATAAGGAAAAAAATAAAATTAATAAAATTAAGGCCAGTATAATGATTAAAATACAAAGGATATAAGAAAACTTATTTAGAAACATGAAGATTTTAAGAGAAATCTGCACTTTTATCAAGCCTTTGGATGTCAGACAGCAAAGATGATGCACTTTCTAACTGCTTTGTGGCTAGCTACTCATATGAGGAGCATTGCTATGCATGCACCTAGCCTCCCATTGGCTTGGCCGGGAGATCATCACTATTGATAATGTCTCAGAGATGGAGTGGAGCCACTGCTGGATTAGAAGCAAGTATCTACTTTATCTTTACAGTTACAATGAGGAAATTGAGACACAGTACAGGTAACAACACTCCATTGTTATAAATAAACATTGTCCCTATAATAACTTTGACATGCCACAATTTGTCACCATGAAGCTCCAAGCATAAGCATGTGAAAAATATAACTAATGATAATAATATAATAAATGCATAGTAATGCAAATAATTCACAATTTTATCTGGCTAGCAGTTTACATTTTCTTCCTCAATATGTCCTTTAAGAGACAAGCACAGACTGAACTAAAGCTTTAATCTAGCACAGTAAGTATAATTTTCCCATCAAGGTAACTTATATTTAATATTGATTTGGTATCCAGTTTGTACACAGAAAAGGATATTGAACCACAACGGTCTGGCATTTGTATGCTTCAATAAAATCATGATTGGAGACAGCATAAGTGCACCTTGAAAAGAAAAAATAAATCACATGGTTATAATGGAATTAATCATGTATTCAACTGTAACACTAAATTAGACATAATTAACATTTATTTATGTTGAAAGATTACTTATTTTTGTGTCTTATGGTGCTTGAAGTGTTCCTATGAATGGCACATTGTGATAAAATGCTGCAGCATGCCTCCCACGTTGAATTAAGGTGTACTTTAGAAGTATATATTGTTTTCGTATGTGAAACAATGGTGTGCAATGGTGTAAAAATAAAGCACAAACCATGGATACCAACTACACAGTCCTGTTAATGGCTACACTTTTAAAACTTTTTTTTTTTTTTAAATTACTTTCTTGACGTGCTTAATCCCAAATGTGTGAGAAAATAGACTAACAGATTAACAAATTGCCTATACCAATACATTTTCTTGTGCGCAAACAGGCTCCCTGTGCAATACACGAGTGCCGAAACGGAAACTCAGAAAGCAGTACCTTACTGCACTACCTAAATAAACATTTCTGTCTACAAAGCCTTCCACCAAGCAGAGCATCTCCAAGATTAAACTCTGCAATATGAAGTCTAGTTATATAGAAAAGCATAATAACTTCTTTGAGGAACAAGCTATAAATAAAATTTAAATGGTAATTTAGATTAATCTACGCACCTTCATGTGATTTGTACCATACCCAACCTAAATGTGCTTGATTATAGCTTTTCATGACAAAGCTCATAACTTCTCATGCTCCTGTGCAATTGTTTGAATGAGCTGGTTTGTTTAAAGTTTTCAGTAGTACTACACTTTTAATTTAGAAGCTGTGTGACTGTGAACAATCTTCCGCTTTAAACACATCGAAGGGCATACATGCATTAAATTCAAAATTATTTCCACCATTCAAATTACATTAACTATGTATCCCTTCTACAAACACAGTCAAAGTATTTATAACAATACTATTTTAAAAACATATTTACCTTAAGTGAGCTGCGAACATTTCATCATAAGGGGGTTCCAACACCTGCTGGCACTTCTCCTCTGGTGCAGATAGCTAACAAACAGAACAAGTAAAAAAAAAAAAAAAAGGAAACTATGAGAGACATTAACTATTAAGGCACAAATAAACCCCTATACATGTTCTATAGCAAAGACTGCATGATACAGAAGACAAATTGTGTTATAAACAAATATCTATTGCACTGTGATGTCCCATCACACAACATAAGGCTCTACACCAATGTGGCTTTTTCTATTTATTTATTTTTATAAATCAGATTTTTATTCGCAAAAGACATTTGACAAAAGACAAATTACACATTTTATTTTCTCTCCCCTGCGAGTCATGTACCCAAGTTTTTGTGATTGCCAGAATTTTGCCAATAAACTGAATCAATGCATCTCTATAAGAAACATCTAAAACCTCAATGCAGAGCGTGGAGTCACTGAATGACATTGCTACAGTATTTACATTAAAAAGCCTGCAGAAACATACTCGTTTTCCTGGCACTCTAGTGCCCTGCAGGTGCTCTCACCCTCAGGGTCCCCTCCCCCGGGCTCTGGGGAAAGGAAAGGGTTAAATCTTACCTTTTTTTCCAGCCACTAGAGGCTTCAGAGGCTGGATTAACCCATTTATAAACATAGCCGTTTCTCTGAAACGGCTATGTTTATAAAAAAAAAAAAAGGGTTAATCCAAGAGGGACCTGGCACCCAGACCACTTCATTAAGCTGAAGTGGTCTGGGTGCCTAGAGTGGTCCTTTAAAACACTGTTTTTTGATTGGAGTAACCTTTTAAGTTATATAACAAAGAACATGTAAAATTATGCACTTGCAATAATCATAATTAGCTTTTCATACCTGTAGTTTAGGATTTGCAACATGAGGATGTCTGAATGAAACAAGGTCTCCACAATCAAATCCATTTTTTGAATCTATTGCTTCTTGCACCTACATCAGCCCAGTAAAATAAACAAAAAATAGTTACTGACACTACTTATGTGTGTATACAGTATAAAGTTATTTTAATCAGCTATTCAAAATAGAACTATACATAAGATTGTTTTTCTGAACAGAATGCCGTTGAATGACATTTGTTAAGGGGCTTAATCGATTTTCTCTCTGATCTTTCATTGTGTTGAATTAGATTTCCTATTAATTGTATACCTAAACTGATTAGCCACAACATTAAAACCAACTACCTGATATTATGTAGGTCCGCCTCTTGCTGCCAAAACAGCTCTGATGCATTGAGGCACAGACTCCACAAGATTTCTGAATATGCCGTGTGGTATCTGGAACCAAGACATTAGGAGCAGATCCTTCTAAGTTCCACAAGTTACGAGGTGGGGGCTCCATGGATTGGATTTGTTGTTCCAGCACATCCAAGAGATTCTCAATCTGATTGAGAATTTGGGGATTTGAAGGCCAAGGAAACACCTTCAACTCTTTGTCATATTCCTCAAACTCAGCCTGAATTTTTTTTTGCAGTGTGGCAGGGTGCATCACTCTGCTGAATGAATCCACTGCCTTCAGGTCACACCATGAAGGGGTGTACATGTTCTGCAACAACCTATAGGTAGGTGGTACATTGTGCATCCTGTTGTCATTTCTTTCCTAGGTAAAGGACGCACATGAACCCAGCCATCCACCTGTTCTAAAAGAAAATGAGATTCGTCAAGCTAGGCAACCTTCTTGCATTGCTCCATGGTCCAGTTCTGATGCTAATATCCCCATTGAAGGCACTTTCAGTGGTGAATAGGGGTCATCATGGGCACTTTGAAAAGACTACCACAACACAGCACCATACGTAGCAAACTGCAATGCACTGTGTATTCTGACACCTTTCTATCATAGCCAACATTAAGTTTCTCAGCAATTTAAGCTACGATAGCTCTTCTGTGTGATTAGACCTTCACTCTCCACATTGAATAATGCACCTTGGAAGCCCATGACAATGATGCCGGTTCCACTTCCTTGCACCACTTTTAGTAGGAAATAACTACTGTATACCAGGAACACCACACAAGAAATGCAATTTTGGATATGCTCTGACCCAATCGTCTTCTGTCAAAGTCACTCAGATCTTTTCTCTTGTCCATTTTTCCTGCTTCCAACACATATAATTCAAGAACTGACTGTTCACTTACTGCCCGTTCCTTTACAGGAGCCATTGTAACAATATAATCAATGTTATTCACTTCACCTGTCAGTGGTTTTAACGTTGTGACTGACCAATGCAAAAAGAAATGCAGGAGCAATGAACAATTTGTGTCACATTTACTACACATATGTATGTTTTTTTTTGAGAATTCTCAAAAAATTATGGGTGTTATTTTCAACCTAGATATGCAAGAAAACAAATTCCAAAACAAAATAAATTGGTATGTGAACCAACCAGACAATCGCAGCTTTCACAAGTATCATGTACCTCAAGTTTTTTACCCACGTGAAATACTTTGCAGGTTATATTAACTGTATAAATGCAATAGATAAATAAAAAATAGTTTTTAGGAATGTCTTTGTCTTAAAAATGCTCATGTTAAATTTGCTGCTGATCTAGACTGGCAGGTATAGCTTCTACTCTGCTTCTTTCGTATTTACAGACTAAGCAAATGGGTAGTGGCAGGAGCAGAATGATTGGTGTCAGCTCTTAGAGAAATAGGTTCAATATAAAATGCACTAAAAGCTGCACAAATCTCACTCTCTACCAAGGACTGAACTAGAAGCTTCTCATATTTTTCACTTATTCTGCAAACATGCATTGTTGTGCTGTGCTAACTTAATTACATAAAACACAGTACCAGCTGTAAATACTGATTGATTGAGATGTGGGCCATCACTCCTTCTCCAGGCTGGAAGAAAGCTTGGATCCTGTAGAAAAAAAAAAACCTTTAATGTATGCATAGACTTATTGCTTATGGTGTATACCAAAATACCCACTGTCAAAATGCAGTTTTTTTTACAGAATTTAAAAAATAAATAAAAAAAAATAGAAACATTTTTATTTGCAATCATCCTTTTTATTTTAATTTGTGGTATGTAATTTGGCAGTCCTGAATGAAGGGTGAAATGCATTGTAAGATTGTATATATCTAGAAAAAACATGTCAATAATTAGTGGATATGGCCAGGATATTCACGCACATTAAGATTAAAGCATGTTTCTGTACCAGGTGTGCTCACTGTACCTGGGATGAATAAAATTGTTCTGACGCAAATGACCGGTCAGTTTTTTTCCCTAGCAGTTAATTTCCAATAGCTATTAGAGAAAGAGAAGCTGAATTCAGTGCAAATAATTCCTGCCTGTGTATTCAGAATTAATTTCCACAATCTAGGTGTGCAAAATAAATTACTTTTTTTTTTTGGTTAGTATTATAATTAAAATCACAGAATTATATAATAAAAGGCAGTGATATCAAGCAACACAAACATGAAAGAATGCTCTGAAGCATATAAATATACAATTCACCTGTGGCTTTCAAATCGAAATATTATTTGATCTTAGGGTGCAAGCTTACTGTCAAACCCTGTGTGTCTTTTTTGCACATATGTGTAAAAGAGCTTCCTGGCAATTTCTCAGCTCCCATCAAATCAATATGATATCAGTTTTGAATGATCTGAAATAACCAAATAATTATACTATTGAGCACTTCGTAATTGGCTGTAGCTTAGCAGACTGACAGCAGTAAAATAGATATACGTTGCAAATGTAATCTTTTGTTAGGTTTTTATTATGTCAATATCCCCCACCCCCCAACTCTACCCATTACCATATCCCTATGTGAACACACAGGGTGTAAACTGTATTCAAAATGAAGTTACATTACACGTTAGATTTCTTAATATACACTTTCCCATTAAACTGTATATTATCACCCACAGTACCCACGCGTGTTTACCTCTACTGTAGGAGAGGCTTCCTGTGCATCACTGGACCGGGGGCAGGTCAACATGTGACCCGGAAATAGTAACGGTCCCCAATGCCTGAAAAAAGAGACCTTTACAAAAAAAAATTAAATACTCGATTTTCTTTTAATTATTTTTTTTAATGCATACAGTACGATCCTTTGTAGACTTTCATAATTCACTAGTATGAAGGGAAACCCACAAAACAGAATTGTTGCCCTTATTAAACATGGCCGCTCTGTGGGTTTTATAATGCTACTTCCGCAACGCGCTTTTACCATAGCGACCGACGCTGTATCAGTTGTCTTGTACGTCATCCTAGAGTCCAGCCCCCCTTTCAATAACTTTATTAACACGGAACACTGTCTACATTTTATAAGCAAAAGCAATAATTGACTGTAAATTGTTGTTGTTATTATTATAGCGAAATAATTAACAGTATAGCTAAACAACCTCGCTTTCCAACTCTCTATGTGGCATAGATAAAGCTTTTATATCTACACACCAACTGTACATTTGGAAACCATAATAGTATATCACCATTCACTGCTTTATTAATACAGGTTTAAGCTGCAGTAAACATTATATATATTAATATGCAATGTAAGTTATATGGCCGCCCTTTCTCAGTGATCTCTCAGCTCTGGGGGTCGAGCTGTGTTGGAGCCTGGCTGGCTGAGTATGATGAGGGAGGCAGTACTCCGCAGTACTGTGACAATGGTCAGTCAGGGTCGCGTACTGCGCTGCGGGCTATGTTGGCGCTATGCCGGGCTGTGCGAGCTGGGGGATCTCTAGCACTCTCTAGCAGTAGGTAGGTGTCATGGCGGTAGGTAGGTGCACGGCATGCCCGCCTGGCCCCGTGTGAGCCCGAGCAGCGCCGAGTGTCCCGCCGGGAGGGGGGTGGGGGGCTGTGCACGGGCTGCCAGGCTCGGTGAGCGAGTGATTTCAAACGCTCCCGCCGTGCGGCTCCCGAGATGCCCGCTGGAGGCCGGCTCGGTGCATTAATTAATAAATAAGAGGGGAGCCATCTTGTTGGTGGTGTAGGAGGCGAGCGCAGGAGATGAGGAGGCTGACAGGTAGCCGCCGCTGACAGGCCCGGGAGCCGAATGGACACATCATAGGCCAAGGTGAGCGTGACGGAGCGGACCGACACTGAGCTCGGCGCAGCGGGACTGGGCTGCCATTACAGAGAGGGCAGGGGGTCAGGGATCAGCCCTTTGTGTCTGTGAGTACAGCAGGACACGGTGTGTATGAAGATACGGTGTGTATCAGGACACGGTGTGTATGAAGATACGGTGTGTATCAGGACACGGTGTGTATCAGGACACGGTGTGTATGAAGATACGGTATGTATCAGGACACGGTGTGTATCAGGACACGGTGTGTATGAAGATACGGTGTGTATCAGGACACGGTGTGTATGAAGATACGGTGTGTATCTCTCCTGGAGCTCCCGGAGGGGTGGTGTTGTTTTGGTTATGGCTCCTGAGTTCAAGCAGGGAAAACCCAGAGACACTGCCCCTAGGTAGACATTTCCCTAAACACAGACTGGGAAAATAGAATTTACAAAATGTAGGCCGGCATGGCTGAGCTGGGCTAGGGAATTACTCCAGCTCGCCTGTGTGGCTGTGTATTTTGTTAATTCAGTTTCCAGTTCCTCCTCCACTGTTAAAAAGTTAGGCATGCATCCTCCAACAGGGCCTTGCTATCAATGTGTGTTGATTTGTAGATACAAGGTGACCAATCTGAAGTTCCATAAATCTGCCCAATTATGTCATATTGTGTGTGTATGTATGTATGTATGTGTGTATATATATATCTGAGTATTGCAGTATGCTATGATACTATGAAGCAATGCCAACCTGAGGAAGAGAGGAAAACTCTCAAAAGCTTTTCTTTGAAATATTATGTTAGTCCAATAAAAAATGTGTCATTGCATACTGCAATACTCTGGTGTGTGTGTATATGTGTATATGTGTGTGTGTGTGTGTATATATATATATATATATATATATATATATATATATATATATATATATATATATATATATATAGTGTGTGTTCCATATGGACTTTATATGTGAATTGGAGCTAGTAGTAAAGTCCTCACAACATCTCGTGTGATTTACGTGCTGTCTCATTGAGTAGCACATTTTTATAGGCAATGTCTGCAGCTTTACCATAAGGAATCCTTTAAATGGTTTGGCCATGACATTTGCATCAACAGTATGTGAGTTTTGCTCACTGTAAAGTGTAGGGCAGTGAGTAAGAAGATCCTGCCTTGAATTTCCAGCCATGGCAAAGTAGGTGCTCTGGCAACCTATGCCATATGTGGTGCCTATACAGGAAAGCACTGGCATGCAAGGCTTCTATACCTAAATAATGTGGGGAGATATGAGAATCTACCCTGGAGCTGGCCTATCAGGTATCTCAGTGTGACTTCTTCAGATATCTGCTCAGCCCTGCCAGTGATTGCAGCACGTAGTGAAGTGCTGTCTTCCAATTTACTCATTGCAGTGTTTTGAATATGTGAGCTCTTAGCACTTGTGTATGGGAATTTCCAGTGGAGGAAAGCAGCCTGGTCTCCACTGGACCCCAGGAAGTCACACACATACAGCTGCAGAAGAAGCCTTCCCAAATTCAGACACTCGCACAGACCTCCCAACACAACATTGATAAACCATATACAAGCAGCCTCAAACACAATACCCCAAGGAGCCCCCACACATACATACGATATGACATTACACACAAACTCACAAATCGCCCCGCAAACATAGCTCACATTCACACACCCACGATACGCAGCCCCATACATATGCAACACACACAATACCACAAACGGTTCATACATGTACACAATATAACACAGTTCATGTACGCACAAATACAGTCTGAAGCGCTCCCTATTTTGCACCAAACTAGGAAAGAAATTCCTTCTTGATCCCAAAATGGCAGTCGGGTATCTCCTTGGATCAAGCAGCTGTTACCCCACTAATTAGAAATTATATCCCTGTATGTTATGTTTTTGGAAGTATTTATCCAGTTGCAGTTTAAACATCTGTATGGGCTCAGATAAACCACCTATTCAGGCAGATAATTCCATATCCTTATTGCTCTTACTGTAAAAAAAACCCCACAAAAAAAAACCTTTGCCTTAAATTAAATCTCCTTTCTTCCAACCTAAATGTGTGACATTGTGTCATGTAAAGTTCTGTTTATGAATAAATTTCCAGATAATGGTTTGTTCTGGCCCCGAATATATTTGTATGAAGTTATCATATCCCATCTGAGGCGCCATTTTTCCAAACGAAAGAGATTTAAATTTTTTAACCTTTCTTCGTAACTAAAGTGCTCCATTCCATTTATCAATTTTGTAGCTCATTTCTGCACTTTTTCTAGTGCCATGATATCCTTCTTTAGAACAGGAAGAGGGGGGCATTTTAATAATTTTTTACATATCATGCTACTAAATAAAAATAATTCAAAGCAGACTTGTGCATCAGTCCTGATTGCTAAATGCCTAATATGTCAAGGATCTAATCAATCCCCTTCCCCACCCCCCACCCATGCTACACCATCCATACCCATTATCCTATGCTTACACTAACCATGTAACCATGCAGTGGTGTAACTACAGAGAGGCAGACGATGTGGCTGCCCTGACCATATAATATCGGGGGAAAGGGGCATCCAGAGGAGCGGGCTGATGGTGGCCGGCTTAGGGCGTCCCCGAGCGGGCACTTATTCCCTCAGGTAGCACAGGTTAGGCACCTGTTTACTTGGACGGCAGGTGCCTATTCTGCCAAAATATACAAAGGGGGAGGGGGCGCTGATCTTCCTCTTCCTCACACTGCTCCCTCGCACACCCTCTGTGGTGATGACAAGAGCTGGAATATGTAGTTTTGGCGCCGGTATCACTAAACAGCTTGAGAGAGTAGTGTGAGGACCTGGTAGATTGCAGGAGCCCCCAGGGAGAAGATCCTGACTAGACTTCAGGGAGAGGACCCACACCAGCTCTACCAAAGATAAGGATGCTGGACGGGCCTAAAAAAAAAAAAAATTCATTTGTGAGTTTGTCTATTAGTGAATGTGTTTCAAATCAGTGATATTTTGTCTGTCATTGAGTGTCAGTGTGTGTGTCGGTCAGTGAGTGTTTCAAATAAGTGTCTATTTGTGTATCTGTGCGTGTGTGCGAGCCAGTGTATGTGCTTCCAGCAATCAAACACAAGTACACCACTTCTTTCATATAGCAACAGTACATACATAGAAACATACAACTACATTCAAATGCCAACACTACACACAAATACATACATACATTCAAATACACAAAACATGCTTAAATTTGCCAGTTATATAAATAATTTTCTATTGCGTTAAGTGTTAATTCGTAAAAATTCAAATGCACTTGATTAACAAATACTAAAGTCTTTACATGTGTTGAATTAGCCTTACAACCTGGGTGGGAGGGGGGGGGGCAACTGTAACTCTGGTTATACCACTGTAACCATACCTACCATAACTGTAACCCTACAATATATGTAACCCTAAAACAGCTCCGCTTTAACCCAAACCCAGCATTAACCCTATCTTTCACTAACCCTACAGCTAATGGTAACACCACCATACCCTTAAAGGGATACTCCAGGCACCCAGACCACTTCTGCCCATTGGAGTGGTCTGGGTGCCAACTCTCACTACCCTTAACCCTGCAAGTGTAATTATTGCAGTTTTTTTATAAACTGCAATAATTACCTTGCAAGGTTAACTACTCCTCTAGTGGCTGTCTATAGCACAGGTTTTCTGTGCCAGAGCGTCGCTGGACGTCATCACGCTGTGTGAGGACCTCCATCGTCGCTCAATTCCCCATAGGAAAGCATTTTCAATGCTTTCCTTTGGAGAGCTCTAATGCGCGTGTGCGGCATTGCCGCACATGCGCATTAGATCTCCCCGGCGGGCGGGATCAGTCTCGCCCACTGGCTGATGTAAGGAAGGGGAGGAGCAGCGGCAACCCGAAACCACCGCCGAGGGACATCGGCGGGGGTCTCAGGTAAGTGACTGAAGGGGTTTTCACCCCTTCAGCAACCGTGGATGGGGGGTGGGACGGAGAGGAGACCTGCAGTGTCAGGAAAACGGATTGTTTTCCTGGCACTGGAGTGTCCCTCTAACTCCAACCATAAACCTACCACTAACCCTAAGAAAATCCCCTGCCAGTATTCATACTGATATCAGCAAATGGGTTTCCTAGTTAAAACAGTAGACAGGGGTATGTTGCTATTATCTGTGGGTTTTTTGTTTTTTTTCTCAATATTACTAAACGTGTCCTGTATTACTGACTGAAGTACGCTTTCTATAGCGGATTACACTGTGATTGGTGGTGGGCACCTTGCAAAGCCTAACACCAATCACTATCGGCTTGGGTACAATCAGGGAAGCCTTGTGAGGGTCTGTTCAGACCCAGGGGGATGTTCAAGTGTATTTTTTATTGTTTTCATAACCTCAGCACAATGGAAACTTTTTGGTTTCTCTTCTTACACAAGGAGCATTGTCACACATGTACTTTCCCAGCTTTTTGAACTAGGTTCAGGAGCTGAACCTATGATATCAGTGTAGGATTGGTTGTTGGTAATAACAACATCTTGTATAGACTCTGACATTGAACCAACAGCAAAGTAAAATATTCTCCCCTCCCCTACACATTTGTTATAAAGAAGAAGCTCCAAATAGTGTAAAGAGCAAGTTTTTTTTCCCTTTGGAATATATAGTCAATTTCTAAATTTTTGGTGCACATTGGTATTTTAAGACTTCTATTATATATATATATATATTTCATATTTTTTTTTATTTTTTTATTTTTTTTTTAAATCCATTATTATATTAAAGATATGTGTAATTTCTAACACCTAAAATTCGTTTTTGGTTTTTTTTTTCGTTTTTTTTTTTTCAGCCTCTCATGTCCCACGTTTGGAATTTCAAATAAATCATTTATCTCTCCCAACCTTTGCCTTGGTTTTAATTCTTGCTATCACTACCATTTTTTTATTTGCAGTACCAAATTGTGTTTTGGTGTGTATATTTTTTACAATTCCCATTTCATAGATAACAATTGTCTGCTTTTCCTATTGTTGACTCAATTCTACATTTATTTATCAACACTAAGTAAACTAAGATGAATCTTTTTTAATTTTCTTTTTTTAATACAGGTTTCTAATGAATTCAGAAGGGATTATCTGGGGTTCAATGTCAGCGTGAGGACATATTACTGAATTTCATCATTCAGTTAGCTTGCTAATTGTCCTCTTCAGCATTGCCATGGCTCAGGAAGCTCAGAGAAAAGCCAACTTTTCAGAACTGGCAGGTCACACTAATGGGTTAACAAAGCCTGCATCTCTTGCATCAAAACCTGGAGGATCAAGGAAGCTGGTCATCAAAAATTTTAAAGGTTAGTTTCTGACCAAGCATAGTACATATAGATAAAATGCATGGTTTACGTCCTAAGTTTACAATTTTCTTTTTTTTTTTTTAAATCTGATAAAACGATTTTCAACAGTGTACTGAATGGAAGTATATTCTAACAAAGTAAAAACTATGGGGCAAATAGGTATTGGTTTAGGCATAGTAGTCATGGTTTCAGGAGTGCGATGGAGCCATTTATTCCCTTAACCCCCTACTGTAAATTGTCAGACTGTATTTGAGCTTCTTACCTGGGGGTATGTCAGCAAGCACTCTTCACCTCTCTGCAGCCTCCCAGATTGTCTGAAGATCTGTCAATGGGTTTAGCTAAGAGCTAAGACTGCAGGCACGGAGTGGCATCCAGTGTTGTAGTAGTTATGGTACATAGTGTTCCTTTAAAAAAAAAAAAATTTATTCAGCAATGACCAGTTCACTCTTATGCTACAATGATGCTCAGGTGATTGTAAGAAACATAAGATTCTGTCAGATGCGTCTTACAAGTGATTCATGGTGTATAGTGGATATGTAATGCTTTTTGTTACAGATAAACCAAAACTTCCTGACAACTATACCCAGGATACATGGCAAAAACTTCAAGAAGCAGTAAATGCCATAGAAAGCAGCACTTCTATAAAGTATAACCTAGAAGAACTTTACCAGGTATTGGGCGACTGTATTCATTTGTTCCAGGATTCTGCATTGTTACTATTACACTGTTTTCTATAGCCAAGTCATATTTTACACTATTGCACATTCCTCATAGACTGAATATGACTTATGTTCATGTATGTGTTCCACCGCAAATATAATGTACAGAGCTTGAGGAGTTAGAGCTCATGTGTAGTAGGACCGCTGCTCTCCTTAAAGTGTTTCAAAGGGAATGTAAGTCATATAGCCAGCAATACAGAAATCCTTAAGACTAGATGAGGAAGCTTTAGAATGGACACTGCTTTTCTCAGTCATACTTTACAGGACCTCAGGACAGATTAAACCGAGATATGATTTATAACATATCAACAAATAAGTCTTGTGCGAAAACGACCTTTACAAAAAAAATGAGCTTGCACTCTTTCCACTAGATTACAGCACAGAAGTGGGGGAGAAATGTCTCCTATAATGTAAAAATGGGTGGGGGAAGCAAACATAAAGGGGAATACATGAATCCATAATCCCAAAGGGAGAAAGAGACCCAATCTAAGGGTAGAACCTGCTTAATGGTCCTTTCCAACCCTTCTCTCGATCTGCACCTGGTAAGTGGTTAAAATTAGAGTGCCCTGGAAGTTTTAACTTTGGCAGCTTTGCCTCGATTAAAAAAACGTAAAAAATTTTTTTTAATTTATTTTTTTTAACATCTTTAGGAGATTGTGCCTTTAGTGATTGGCAGTCTCACAGCCGCTAGAAGAATATTCTCTAAAAAATGCAGCAGAATGTTACATTCGCAATGAAAATGAACAGGATCTATGCATCAACGCCTCTTCATTAAGAAAACAACTGATACTTAAAATAACCTTCGCTTAATGAAGTCGTTTTTAGAGTATAGATGAGGCTAAATAAAATGCATTAAAGATTTCTACGTCTGTTGCCAGCATCCACTAATATCTTTGCATGTGCAGTCTTTCAACCATAAACACTGCAATTGCTGACTCCTACCACCATGGTCACTTCAAATCATTAAAGTAGTCATGGTAGCTGGAATTCCTTAAGTGAACCTCTGAGTATTAAGGGGAGATGGGTACTAATGTTTACCTTTTGAAATTATAAATTCTCTTCCTGTTTATTCACCAACAGTTCAAATTTGAGTTCAAATTATGCAAGCATATGACATTTGCTGATATAGTTTTTTTTTTTTTTTTTTCAAACTTGGCTTGTATATTGCAAATTGAAAACTGCATTTCATTTTTCTTTTTCAGGCAGTTGAAAATTTATGTTCTTATAAAGTATCCCACACACTGTACAAGCAACTCCGTCAAGTATGCGAGGAACATATGAAGGCCCAGATTAACCAGTTCAGGGAATATCCTTTCATTAATTTAAGTGCCTGAGAACCGGGGATGGGTGGATGTGTTTGCATGTTTATATAGTATGGTTATTGCTTATTTTTTTGATTGTAGTGTTTACTCCCATTGCACATCAGTGCCTAATATGATACAAACCATATGGATCACATTCATTCAGTCTTGCCATGGACTACTTCTATCCCATGTCCAAAAAGAATGCAGAAGTGAACCATCTGTTGTGCCAAATGAATGTCCCATTTGACACAACTTTTTTTAGAATTGACATCTCCTGTGACTTCTAAAACAGTGATATTAAAAGTGCAGTACAAGTACAGATACAAAACATATGCTTAACTTGTTGAATAATCTTGTGAGAAGACTTGAGATATTAGAAAAATCTGCTAAATTATACATGTGTTTATGTATAAAATGTAAACTTTAATAAACTAATATATAGTAAAAAGAAATGTGCTGTGTCAGATCAGGTAGTAATTCTAATATGGTTTATCCTCTTCTTTCCTTTGTACCAAGAATCACTTGGATTTATTTTTGTTAAATAAACATGACATGGTGTAATATGTCATGTGTTGTTCATCTGAGGTTGTATTTACCTAATTTTAAGACCTGCTAAGGAACAAATGATTATGTCCTGATATAAAACCATAAAATTCAGAGAGTGTGCACTTTCTTTTCCCCATGACTGTATATATGTGTGTATGAAACAGCAACATGTTAATGAATATCGGTTTATAAAACTTTCAGTTTTCTTTTCTTTTTTCTTTTCCTTAACGCAAATGTAATGCACAGATTCTCTTGACAGCTTTCTATTTTTAAAAAAAGTTAACAAATGTTGGATGGATCACTGTAGACAAATGGTAAGGATGCTAACAAATATATTTTAATAGTTTTTTTTGGTGGGGGGAAGAGTTGTGTTTTTATTTTTTATTATTCATTGTAGTGTTACTTCTTCATATCCATAAGGTACCCTACTGAAACTAGCTTTAACCCCTTAAGGACACATGACATGTGTGACATATCATGATTCCCTTTTATTCCAGAAGTTTGGTCCTTAAGGGGTTAAAGGACATTAATACCTTATCAAATGTGTGCACACAGCTTACTGACAGTACTGAGTGATCAGTTAAAAAAAAAAAAAAAAAAACCTTTATTAGGAGAAGATACCCAGGGAGACCTACAGTACGTATGTCATTATTTGTATATCGTTTTTCTGACTGTCTACAGGTTGTGAATTAAAAACTGCTCATTCTGTGCTATTGGGGTTGAGACTCTGTGCATACATTTGGCATAAAGTCACCCAACAGCAATGTGAAACACTGGTATAGAGCATGCAAAGAAGCATGAAAGCAGGGATTGAAAATCAGGGTTATTCAACCAAATATTGATTTCTGAACTCCTCCAAAGTTAAAACATTAGTATTATATTTAGAAACTATTATGAACTTATTTTCTTTGCATTATTCAAGGTCTGAAAACACTGATTTTTATTTGTTTGTTCCTTTGACCAGTTATCTATTTATTTTCAAATATTTTTTAATAAATTTATGAACTTTATTTGGAATTTTGGGGAAAGTTCTATAAGTAACTTGTAGAATAAAACAAAGTATTTTTACTCAAACACATATCAATAAATAGTCCTATGATATAGTGTGTGTGTGTGTGTGTGTGCAAGATTCACAGTAGGAATTTGCCTCCTCTTACTACAGTATTTCTCCTTCCCTCTTTTTGCTATTTTCTCTTTGATAGTTTCTCTTTTCTACTTATTGACTCCTTTTTCTCCCCATCCCTTTTTTATTTTAATGTGATCTGGTATTCTTTTTCTGAAAGTTCACTGCTTTATGGTCTGACTCCTCTTCGTGAGATATAATACCTACTCTCTATGTTTGCATCATACGAATGTGAGTCCATTTGCAGGACCAGCAACTATCAAGCACTTTTTTCAAATTGTGGCATTGACTTAATATTTTTGGATAAGCTTTTCAAATGATTTCATATTTTGAAAAATATTTTAACATTTTGTCACTCCCTCTCCCCTCAGTGATGTAAAAAACAGATAAAATTTGTATCTTGTAATATCTTAATTTATTGGACTAACATGGCTCAGAAATGGTTCAGACTTGAGAAAGGGAGGTTCTCCTGAAAGCTTGTCATTAAAAAATTCTGTTAGTCCAATAAAAAAGGTATTACAAGATACAAATGTATCTGGTGGTTTTATTTTTATTTATTTATCTATACTCTGGACATCCACGGAGCCTTAGATATACCTGGGCAGATGGCTGCCTTCTCGAGGTTAGACCAACTGTTCGTTTCCAGGGAAAAGCTCAAGGAAATAGGATCGCTAAACAAACTAGCCAGATTGCTTATGGAAACAGTTAAATTATCTTATAAGTTCAATATCCGTTAAAGCACATTCTACAAGAGCTATGGCTACATCCTGGGCAGAACGGGCCAACGCTTCACCCTAAGACACAGTGTTTTACAAAAGTGAGTACACCCTCACATTTTTGTAAATATTTCATTATATCTTTACATGTGACAACACTGAAGAAATTACACTCTATCTATATATATATTTTTTTTTTTCCCAAATGTCAACTTTATATATAATTTACAAATTTTTTTTAAAATATATTTTGAAAACTATTTTTGAAGGTTTAATAATAAAAAAAAAACCCACCTAGTTTGAAAAGCTTATCTAAAAAAAAATCGATGCCTGTATTCTCATATCCCTAAATGTCCTCCATTTACTTTGCTGGCAAAAACTTAAGAGTTCATTCATGAATACCAAGATTAAAATAAATGCCTTTAATATGCACATGGCATTAAAGCTTTTTTTCTTTTTAAGATGGATTTATCTAAGGACTGAAGGTTTGTTTTGTTTAGTTTTGTTTTTTAAACTAGAGCGGCGACTCGTCTACTAAATTATATTTTTCTGTTTTTTTTTTTGTTTTTTATTATAATTTTTTTTAATTTATTTTTTATGCGGCCATCCTAACTTTTCATTGGACACCCCAAATTATCCTGCAGAATATATTGCTCATCAGATGCATTTTACCCGTTTTTCCTGTTTTTCTCTTTCATCATTACAAATAATCATTTGATTATTTTATTTTATTTAGATTATGATCAGAAGTATTTTCTTATTCTTGGATCGGACGTATGTCCTTCAGAACTCAATGCTTCTATCAATATGGTAAGTTCCTGATACCCTATTTTCACTTTTCACATCATTTTTAGACACATTTTAATCTTAGGAACTTTTTTTCTTCCTTCCCAAGAAGGGTAGAGACCTAGTTAATAGTAATTTGTTTAAAGGACCATTGTCATCTCAAAATGTTTTTACTATAGTATTCCTTTCATCAAGTTTTAAAAAGAAATACATTTTTTAAAGGCAGTATATGTAAATGAGAAATACACATCTCTTCCTTTAGTATATGTCAGGATCCTTCAGCCATATGCATGCACCTTAGGTCAGAGTGTGTTTGAAAACTGTAAGTTAATGGATTTTATTTTGTGTGTGTGTATGCATGATTAAAACTTGTACAGCCAAAACTTTGTATTTTTCACGATGTTCTTTACTGTTTCTGTGCATGGAAACAAGGAAGATCATGGAGGCTAAGTGATCTACGTTCCAACAGCCTGTTGCCTTTTCCTGAAAATTCTGCCCTAGTACACAAGTATTAAAATGTTTCTGGGAGTTTAGTTTTCTGTAGAAAAATTAGGAATGAATGTTTGCTGTGTTCATCCAGTTGAATGTTTCCAAACATTTGATTGCTGGAGGTCTTTGAAATGTGTTTATAAAATGATAGTTAACATCTTGTCTCTATTACTTGTACAGGGATATGGGATTGGATCTGTTCCGCAGCCATGTCATAAGTGACAGACTGGTTCAGAGTAAGACTATTGACGGTATCTTGCAGCTTATTGATAAAGAACGCTCTGGAGAGGCTGTGGACCGTAGCTTGCTACGAAGTTTACTGAGCATGCTGTCCGACTTACAAGTAAGTTGTTTAATTGTAGGTCAAATGCAAGTTTTTTTTCTTATTTCCATGCACTGTCAAATGTTATTTTTAGAAAATGGAATATTTAAATAAAGTTTACAATACCTTTATTTCCATTGTCTCCATTCAAAATGGCTAATGTGCTTCTTGGCATCAGTACATTTAAATTTACCATGTTTGACATTTTCCCTACACAGGTATACAGAGAGTCCTTTGAAGTGAGATTTTTGGAGGAAACAAATTGCTTGTATGCTGCTGAAGGGCAAAGATTAATGCAAGAGAGAGAGGTAATTAAACAATTTAAAGTGTACCTTCCTTTAAAGATATGGAGTAAAATCTCATTTAAATTGTGACCGCTACATTTTCCTAACATATGGTGGCCGTACAACAAGTCCCAACATAGGACAGGTTGGGACAAGCAATCTAAAAGTAATTTAAAATGCCTCTCCTACTTACTGTATACAAGACCTCTTATGCCCAGCATGTCAGTTCTTCCTTGTCCCAGCCTGGCCCAGACAAGTGATCATCCGTGGTGAGGCACAGTGGTTGTAGCCAGGGGACTGGATAGCTCACAGGGTGGTGAGCTGATAAGGCAAACTCCAGCATGCCTGAAGTTACGGAGAGCTTTGGTAAGTGGACTTTTATGCTGAGGATGTTCCCTGCAATCTGTAATGGCACTTTAGTGTGTCATGTCTATGACTTTACTGACCACACGCCTGTGCTGGGAGGCCTTGCATTCCACCGAAGTTCCGATTGTACTACAGATTGAAACTTTGATCACGTTAAATCCAAATATATGAAGAATTTTTAAAGCTGATGACTGGAAGAGGAAATCGGAAAATTTTAAAGTTTGCATTCCATTACAGACCAGACCAGCTGGACATTCTGGATGGAATGTCCATCAAGCTTGGTCCCGCGTTGGCATACGTTTTCCCTCCAGTAGCTCTGATGCCCACAGTCATACAGAAAATCAGGACGAGCAGAGCTCTAGTGCTTGCAATAATTCCATATTGGCCCAACAGAAGTTGGTTCTCGGAATTGAAGACGATAGCAATCAAAATTGGGAACTTCCAACATCTCTTCCACTTCTGGAAAACTAGCCCCTTCCTCTAGAAGCAATTCAAATGTTCAGATTGATGGCATGGCTACTGTAAGGTTGTTCCTTAAACATCATGGCATTCAGGAAAACAGATTTGATCTACTCCTAGGCTCCACCAGAGAATTAACATCTAAAATATACTTTAGGATATGGAAATGTTTTCTTCACTGGTGTAATGAGCATAAATGCCTTCATATGTCACCTTCCACGAATACTAGTCTGCATTTCTTGTCAGACATTTTTTCATCTTATCTCCGTGTTTCCACTTGAAAAAGGCAACTGTCAGCATTAAGCCATTTACTCATCCATGATTTAAGTTATGATTTATTAATTAGAAGATTTTTCAGAGCCATTTTAATTTTCTGGCCTCATCTCACCAAATCTTTTCTTCCTCCGTGGGACCTATGTGAATCCCCATTTGAGCCAATGGAAGCCATCCCAGTTTCATTTTCTGATGTAAGTGGCAATTACATCTGTTAAATGGGTTGGGGAACTCCAAGCCCTTTCTTCATCAGAGGAATTTGCCATTTAACATGCAGATAAAGTCATTTTACATTTTAAGCCATTAGGTGATACCTAAAGAATAATCAACTAGCCTATTGTTCTACCATCTTTCTGCAATTCTTCTTCCTGTCCTCAGGAACAAAAATGGCATACTCTGGACATCCACGGAGCCTTAGATATACCTGGGCAGATGGCTGCCTTCTCGAGGTTAGACCATCTGTTCGTTTCCAGGGAAAAGCTCAAGGAAATAGGATCGCTAAACATACTCTAGGCAGATTGCTTACGGAAACAGTTAAATTATCTTATAAGTTCAATATCCGTTAAAGCACATTCTACAAGAGCTATGGCTACATCCTGGGCAGAACGGGCCAACGCTTCACCCTAAGACACAGTATTTTACAAAAGTGAGTACACCCCTCACATTTTTGTAAATATTTCATTATATCTTTACATGTGACAACATTGAAGAAATTACACTCTGCTACAATGTAAAGTAGTAAGTGTACAGCCTGTAAACAGTGTAAATTTGTTGTCCCTTCAAAATAACTCAACACACAGCCATTAATGTCTAAACCATTGGCAACAAAAGTGAGTACACCCCTAAGTGGAAATCCAAATTGGGCCCAATTAGCCATTTTTGCTCCCTGGTGTCATGTGTTTTCGTTAGTATTACAAGGTTTTGGGTGTGAATGGGGAGCACGTGTGTTAAATTTGGTTTTATCGCTCTCATACTGGCCACTGGAAGTTCAGCATGGCACCTCATGGCAAAGAACTCTCTGAGGATCTGAAAAAAAGAATTGTTGCTCTGCATAAAGATGGCCTAGGTTATAAGAAGATTGCCAAGACTCTGAAACTGAGCTGCAGCACGGTGGGCAAGACCATACAGTGGTTTCACAGGACCAGTTCCACTCAACATGCCTCACCATTGTCGAACAAAGAAGTTGAGTGTACATTCTCTGCGTAATATCCAGAGGTTGTCTTTGGGAAATAGAAATATGAGTGCTGCCAGCATTGCTGCAGAGGTTAAAGTCTACAGTTTACGCACAACCCAAGAAAGTCTGACAGTAAAGGTGGCGTGTAGAGTTTCTCCTTTCTCCCCACTGCTCCTTCAAACCCCTCCTCTCTTTATCCTCCTTTAAAATTCACTAAATTTGCTTATTCAAACCCATATCTGTAAACATTAAAATTATTTATCAGCCCCCAGGTTTTCCTCATCTCTTCCTTTTGTCGCCTGGCTTCCTTACTACCTCTCAAGCAATATCCAATCCCTAATTCAACATTCCCATTAACTCACCCTTGTCCTCAGTAGCCTCAAATCCTATTGCAATCACTATCTCCCTTGGGCTGTTGCAATGGGCTAATTCTCCCACACATGTAGCTGGAAATACCCTAGATCTTATTTTTTCAAATGCATTCTTGGTCTTCAATCTCTGTATTACTCCTATCATTTGTTCTCGAGTGCCACCCCAATATCCTCAACCTAACCACCCGCAAATCAGGAGAAATCTGAATTCTCTTGACCTCCAGAAACGCTCAGCTGATCCCCATTCCAAACTCTCATCCATCCCTACCTTCTCCTGCCCTTCTCTGGCTATCTCCTCATATAATGCTACCCTCACCTCTGCCGTAGATGCTGCAGCCCCCTCCACTTTACCGAGACTGTTCTTATTAAAGTTACAAATGAACTAGTCACAGCCAAATCCAAAGGCCACTACTCCATATTAATTCTTCTCGACACCTCTGCTGCCTTTGACACTGATCATGGCCTCCTTCTCCTAACTCTACAATCTCTTGGTCTCTGTGACACAGCCCTCTCATGGTTCCCCTCCTATCTCTTCCAACGCTCTTTTTAGTGTCTCTTTTTCCAACGGCACCTCCTCTCCTCGTCCTGTCTGTCGGAGTTCCTCAAGGTTCAGTTCTTGGTCCCCTTTTGTTCTCTCTCTATACTGCCATTCTTGCCAAACTCATGAATTCATATGGCTTCCACTACCACCTGTATGCTGACGACACCCAGATATATCTCTCCTCCCCTGATCTCTCCCCTGCTGTCCTACAACGTGTCACCAATTGCCTTTCTTCTATCTCTGATTGGATGTCCTCCCGCTTTCTGAAGCTCAATCTCTCTAAAACTGAGTTTCTTATTTTTCCTCCTCATAACACTGATCCTCCTCCTTCACTTTCCCTGAAGGTTGACTGTACCTGCCTCACTCCATCCTTTTAAGCTTGCTGTCTTGGTGTCACTTTTGATCCTGGCCTCATATCCAGTCTGTTGCTAAAACCTGTCGATTCTAACTTAAAAACATTGCCTGCATACGCACCTTTCTTACGCAAGATGCTGCCAAGGAGCTTGTTCAGGCTCTAGTAATTCTTTCCTAATTAGTTTCCCCAGAAGCCCTATTGCCCCCTACAATCTGTGGTGAATGCTGCCGCCAGGGTGATCTTTCTCTCCTGTCCCTCCTCACACCTCACCCCTCTGTCGATCCTTACACTGGCTTCCTGTCCCCTAAAGGTGGCAATTTTAAATACTAACCCTTACCTATAAAGTAAAAACCAAATAAAGTTACCTGCGCTTTTCCAAAATCACTATGCATATTTAAACAAATGGAGGTTATTTAGTTTCTCCTATGGCCATGAGAGACTTTAGCCCACCTGCCACGTCAAGGCAAAACTCTCAGGTGGGTCCTACACTAACCTTTCACCTTGCTTCCTTGAGCTTGTGGCAAAGATATCTCTGAAACAGAAAGGGGTATTTTTTTTTTAATATACACCCCCACCTTCTTATTAACCCCTAATAAGGAACAAATGGGATAGACGGCAGCATTGTAACATAGCTGTGTGATACAAAAGTGAGTACAAATACACAAAAGAAGTCCTGTGCTCAAACTCCCATCACTTCTGGGCTCTAACCAAGTCTAGTCCCTTTTACATTTCTTCACTGATTCATAGGTATGCCCCCTCCCAATCTCTCTGCTCTACTGGTGACCTTCTCCTGTCTGCTGCTCCCACCCTTATTGCAAATTCACGCCTGTAAGACTTCTTGTGGGCGGCTCCTTTCCTTTGGAACAGCCTGCCTACCCCTGTCAGACTCTCTCCTAGTCTTCCATCCTTTAAGAAGTCCCTCAAAACCCATCTTTTCAGGAATGCTTATGGCCTCCAAGAGTATCTTCTATCTCTCAAACCTTCCTCCCACTCTCTCCTATAGCGCCATACTCCACTCTCACTTCCAGTTCTGCTACTTTCCCACCATGTCTATTTGCTGTCTCTCTCAATACCCTTCCCATTGTGTTTTTATACCCACCTCCTCTAGACTGCAAGTTTGTTTGAGCAGGGTCCTCAACTACCGGGTCCTCAACTACATATTGTTCCTGTTAAATATTGTTATAGTCTCATTTGGGAAATTCCCCTTTTATTGTCACGCACTGCGGAATAAGCTGGTGCTATATAAATGCCAATAATAATAATCTGTGGGTTCTGGCATTCCTGCCCTTCACATGTTACTGGAATCTTTCTATATCACACTTGTACTGCCACCAGTACAGGAACCGGAAAACCAGAAATTTTTACTTGCCATAAATTCTTTCTTCCTTCATATGATAGCTGTTCAAATTCCCTCCCTATTCTTGGTAAAAACTTGTTTTTGGCATTTAATTGGAGTCTCTATACTTTCTTGATGAGAACTGACATGCTGGGCATGGATAGGTCTTTTTTACAGTAAGTAAGAGGGGCAATTTAAAATTATTTTAGATTGTCTGTCCCAATATAGGAAACACAACCCACTTGTTGCACTGCCACCATATGAAGGAAAAAAATATTTATGGTAAGTAAATATTTATTTTTTCCAGAACATGCACAAATGAAAAAATATTATATTGGTGGAGCTACCTGTCCCTTTCTGTCAAATTAAGATGACTGAAGCAATCAGGTGTAATATCTTTTAAATGGACACTTAATATACCAATATATATTTTTTAAGTACTTGAAGCTACTACAAACCCCCAGGCAAGCAAGGGGAGCAGTTATTTCTGCCAGGAAGTGGCTTAGCCGTTCAGGTTATTGGGGTCTGAACCTCTCTCATAAAAACCTTTCCAGCAGAGTTTTATAAACTTGTAGTTTAGCATTTGACAGTAGTTACATTCAGCAGATCAGGCTGTGGCACATTTTCAGTTTAGAGAAACAGTAGAAAAAAATAATAATGAGCTCTTGATCACATAGTTGAGCAGGAAAACTATGACTTGAATGGTATGCTTCCGCTGTACGAATGTTTGTACAGACAGAGGAGGAAGCTGCATAGCATGTTGCTATACTGTAGTTATAAGCAACTGTTTGCATAGTACACTATTAACTTATCATTTTTTTTTTTTGGGTGATTGGAGTGTGTCTATGGTTTTGTTTTTGTCTACCTTGTTAGCTTAATGTATTCCTTAAAGGGACACTATAGTCACCTGAACAACTTCAGCTTAATGAGGTTGTTCAGATGAGAACTATAGCTCCCTGCAGCCTTTTTCGGAGAAAATACAGTGTTTACATTGAAAGCTAGGAACACCTCAAGTTGCACTCAGAGTGAACCAGAGGGACTTCTGAGTTGATGGAGGCATAATATGCCTCCATCCACTCAGACCTGCTGTGCACGAGCATCATGTGATTCAGTATCTCCTCCCACTGCATGCAGACCCTGAACTTTCCTCATAGAGATTCATTGATTCAATTCATCTCTATGAGGAGATGCTGATTGGCCAGGGCTGTTTTTGAATCATGCTGGCTCTGCCCCTGATTTGCCTCCTTGTCAGTCTCCGCTAATTCTATGGGGAAGCACTGTGATTGGATCAAGCTATCACATGTCAGCAGACTGCTTGTTTTTCCTGAGTCTAACAGCATGCAGATTTACAGCTTCTGGCTTGAATACAGTAAGATTTTTACTATATTTATGGAGGCATGAGGGGCCCAGGGGGGCTAGATGGTCGTGTTAACACTCTAGGGTCAGGAATACATGTAGGTGCACTGGTGACTATATTGTCCCTTTAAATGTATGCCAACCTATTTTGTGGATGAAAGATTGACTCTGGGGCAATCCGTTTTTTTAAGAGGAGTTTCTTTTCTAAACAGAAATGTGGTAAATTGAAAGTTAAGCTCTGTTTACCACTTGGCTTTTGCAGACAAAAAGTTGCAAATTTTTATTTTGCCACACATTACTGTTTAGTGAAATATTTTATGCTAAATGGTACCAATGCACCTATTCACATGTGTGTAAATATATAAACTTTACTACGTGAAATTATGAAAAGATATGTTTACATAGCAGACGATAAGAAATTCTCAATTAAACAAAAGGGTATATGTTTCAAAGTGTTCTCAAGTGACTTAAAATCTGTCGTTATTTTTATTTTTTTTATTGCATTTCTAAATAATCTAAAAAGGATTTTTTTTATTTATTTATTTATTTATTTATTTATTTTAATTATGGCAATTTTCTCAGAAATTCCATTTCAGAAAACTGCCAAATGTACAATAGTGGGCAAAAGCCTGTCACTTTTCTGGCATAAAAACGTGTTCTAAGAATTAAAGGAGCACTTTAGGGTCAGGAACACAAACCTGTATTCCTGACCCGATAGGGTTAAAACCACCAGCTTGCCTCCCAAAATATTGTAAAATCTTACTTGTATTCAAGTCTAGAGCTGCATACTTTGTCCCTGTTTCCTTTAGACCTGCCCACTGCCTGCTGACATCAGCAGAAGTGGTAGCCTGATCCAATCACAATGCTTCCCCATAGGATTGGCTGAGACTGACAAAGAGGCAGATCAGGGGCAGAGCCAGCCCAATTCAAACACAGCCCTGGACAATCAGCATCTCCTCATAGAGATGAATTAAATCAATGAATCTCTGAGGAAAGTTCAATGTCTGCATGCAGAGGGTGAAGACTTTTTAGGCAGCCATGACCCAGGAAGGATCTCTAACAGCCATCTAAGGAGTGGCTAGTGAAGTTATCACTAGGCTGTAATGTAAACACTGCAGTTTCTCTGAAAAGACCGTGTTTACAGCAAAAAGCTTGAAGGGAATGATTCTACTCACCAGAACAAATGCAATAAGCTGTAGTTGTTCTGGTGACTATAGTGTCCCTTTAAGTCTGTTGTACAGTGTATGTTCAAAAATCATTATTATATATTTGTTATGGTAGTTCTTTACTGCAATATATATATATATATATATATATATATATATATATATATATATATATATATATATATATTTATTTATATGGATGCCGGCACTCAAGGAATTTCAAAGGTTTACTTTCCGATGTGCATCTGAAATCGACGTTTCAGCCCCTCTAAGGAGTTTTCATCAGGACATAGACATTCTTAACAATGAAAAAAACACACTTATATAGGAAATGTTGTAATAACGTACTCACATTCAGCTGTTACTCATCAGCTGTTGTTCATCGCCATCAACCATCGGGAACGTCGTGCCCGTTCATTAAGTTTGCTACTACTTCCTGGTTAGTCATCTGACCACAAAGGAGGTCCTGATAGGTTGAATCTCGCGTCGGCTAGACAACCAAGGACGCTCACGTCCCATTGTAAGAGATTCAGTACTACGGATACAGATTTCAGACAGACTTAATCTGTCAGCCGGTAGCGCAAGAACGGCACATGAAACTTGTTCCCTGCCTGTTACCCGATGGTTGGATGGAGATGTCAGAGCTTACAAATAAAATAATTCATTTATCCACAACTGTTTCATAACCCCAGTGTTAGACTGTTATCCAGTAATATCCCCCATGTGAAAGATGCTATATATAGCACCCTGATTTTACACTTACAAAGATTAGTAAAATCATACATAATAATATTAATAAAAATAAATATAATGTGATCCTATAATTAAGAAGAAAACCATTAGATAAGGTCATGATGATTTAAGTGTGTTAGTCCTCAATTAATAAGTAATAGTGACTAAATATCAGTGTCTATATGGGGAAAAATTGATTAGAGATGCCTGGACTTGATATAAATACTACAGGCTACCTGCAGGTCTCATAATATCTAAGTGATAAAGAGAAATGAGAAACCTCTCAAATCTCACTAAGCGCTAAGGCTCAGTGTATGAAAAATAAAATAAATTATATAAGTATTAGCACTCCATGTGATAAAGTGAGAAAAAATCTACCACTTATGATCATCTGTGAATATAAACATCTGCGTCTAATCTAAGGGAATATGAATTTATTAATGTGGTAATAGATTATGCTCGTTCTCTTTCAAAGTCGAAAGCAATATGATGTTCCTTAATCCTATATAAAACAAATTACCAAACTTAAAAAATTTTTTACAAAAAAATATATAAACGTACAATATATGTGTACTAAAAACATAATAGCAACAGCTGTTGTCGTTGGATCAACTAGGACTAGCGTAAGGTATCTATCTAGAGATTGGTAATCCTCCACAAAATAAGTGTCTCTATGGATAAGCCCTTCTTACTTTCTGGTAGACAATCTAATAGATCTTATAAAAATGCCATAAATGAGCATTTCTCATTAAGGCCTTTTGGGGAAAGAGTTCCCAACTGGTATATCCAGTACGCTTCCCTCTGCAACAAGAGTCTAGCTCTGTCTCCTCCCTGGGGAGGTACAGGAACATGCTCAATTGCAACACATCTAAGTGAGGTCAGTTGATGGCGTTGTTCCAAGAAATGTCTGGCCACTGGCTTGTCCGACTTGCCATCCCGATAGGCTAGCCGAATGCTGGACCTGTGGCCTCCGATTCTCTCACAGAGAGCTGTCTCTGTTTTGCCAACATAATTGAGTCCACAGGGACATGTCAATTTATAGATTACATGATCAGTCCTGCAATGAATCCGTTGTTGGATTCTGTAATCTGTATCGGTAGTATTGAATCTCTTCCAATGGGACGTGAGCGTCCTTGGTTGTCTAGCACGATGTTCCCGATGGTTGATGGCGATGAACAGCAGCTGATGAGTAACAGCTGAATGTGAGTACGTTATTACAACATTTCCTATATACCGTATATACTCGTGTATAAGTCGATCTCATGTATAAGTCGAGTGCAGTTTTGTGACCAACAATTGTGAAATATGTTATGCTTTGTGGATAAGTCAAGGGTAAAACTTGGGGCTATGAAATTCTGTGATTTTTATAATTATATACACACACACTCATACAAACAAACACTCTGCATTATATATACACACACTCATACAAACAATCTGCATTATATACACACACACACACTCATACAAACACACACTCTGCATTATATACACACACTCTGTGTATATAATGCAGAGTGTGTATATAATGTAGAGTGTGTGTTTGTGTAGTGTGTGTGAACTAGGTGGGGGGAGGGCATTTTTATTATTTTAATTTTTTTTTAATTTTAATATTATTTTTTTTATTATTTTTTGTCCCCCCTCCCTGCTTGTTAACTGGTCAGGGACGGGGGCTATCTTAATCCCTGGTGGTCCAGTGGCATGGGCTGTGAAGTGTGGGGGCCGGCAGGAAGCATTTACTTACCTTTCCTGCAGCTCCTGTCAACTCCCTTCTCCTCCGTTCCGGTCAGCTCCACTGTAAGTCTCGCGGTCTGGTTGCCGCGCGGATCGTTGCCATGGCTCTGACGGCCGCGGCTCTAAGTTGCCATAATACAGACAGTGACTCGAGTATAAGTCGAGTGGGGGTTTTTAAGCACAAAAAATGTGCTGAAAAACTAGACTTATACTCGAGTATATACTGTAAGTGTGTTTTTTTTCATTGTTAAGAATGTCCTGATGAAAGCTCCTTAGAGGAGCTGAAACGTCGATTTCAGATGCACATTGTAAAGTAAACCTTTGAAATTCCTTGAGTGCCGGCATCCTTTCTTTATCTACATTTGAGCCACCAGAGCACCAGGTACTGTTTTTTATAAGTTGGAGTGCAAGGGCTCTTTGTATTTTTTTATATATATGTAGAAAGGCCATTAGGCCTGAATTTGTGGGAGGAGTAAGTCCCCTACTTAAGCTCCCAGCCCCTACTCACCGCTGCCGCTCAGCTGATTGTCCTTAGCAACCAGCACTTCCGGTCCAGCTTCCCGCCAGAACTGTACCTGTTTCCAGCAGCCAGACGCCCTGTGCAATCCTCCGTCCGTCCGAGGTCCTTCCACTCCGTTTCCCTCCGGTCGAGGTACCCGACTTCCGGTCACGAGACCGGCGCGTTCACGTAAGCAAGGCGTGGGAATTAGCGTTCGCTATTTCCCCGCCGTTCGGGCCTAAAAACGTAGGGGTAGGCTCCCTCTTTCGCATTTTCACGAATACACGCTTTCGTTAATATCTCCATTCGCGCCAAAAAAACGCACGAACGTTCGGCTCATTTCGCTATCATTTTATGCTTTTTCGTACGGAAACAACCGAATAAATATTTCATGTTTAAGCTCATTATTATCTGTATTCACTTTTCCGTTCGGTTATTTCAGCACCAACCTATTCGTATGGTCAAATTCACGTACACCATCTTACTAATTTACATTCGGTTATTTCTATTCTTTTAAGCTAAGCTTGCATAAGTTCTAATCACAGTCCTACTATTATTTATTCCTTCATATGAGTTTGCGGTTACATTACATGGTTAACTACCAGCCCTGTGTTTTTCTACCTTGTTAAACCTTTAAAGTATTTTTCTGTAATAAACATAATGTTCACCACGATTCATAACTTCATACGTGTCTAAATTCAAGCTATACCATTCTTTCCTAATAACACTCAGATAAGTCTTTTTAAACACTATTTACAAGTTATACCCTTTACACATAATCCGTACTATTCCTTGCACATAAATCACGCTGTCACATCTTTTGGCTTTTACAGTTTGCATCGGTCTCTTGCTTTTCTGCATTAAAAGTTGTTATTTCAAGGTCCTTTTATTACAGGAACAGGTATGGTTTTTATCACCTTGAGTTATCAGGTTTTATCAATTATCTCCACATCTATTGCTAACTATGGAATTTGTCTTGGTTAAACCCTTAGATCCTTGTATTAATCTAAGCTTCCACCGTTTCTACGCAGTTAACCTGCCACGATTAAACAATCTCTGTACTTTAAACAAAGGTATAGTTCACTCTCTTTTCAATACTAGACCTCACGCGGTCTCAACTCCATTACTACCTTCCCTCAGGCTTACGCCCAGGATACGTTATCTCTTTACTACTTGTCTACACAGACTTTCGGTCATACGGCCACCAGGCTCAAGAAGACACCAAAAACCTGACACGGTACTCAGCCATACCTTCAGGTACTTACATCCTTACTCAAGTACGTCCATTCGCTACCCCAAGGCCTCATTCTGCCTTCTCACTCATATCCAAAATCATCCCATTCCTACACCTAAACCTCCCAGATCCCTCAATGCAGGATCTCACGTCGTGCCCCTAACAAACCTTCTCCCTATACTATTCATACGACATCACGATACGTATAAACACATCAACATCTGTCTTAAACCCCCAGGATTCTTCCTCAAAGACAACATTTAAGACAAAACTCTCTACACTTACCAGGAGGCTCCAGATACCATTTGCGACCAGTCAAGGTTAGTATCCACACACCATTCCAGTCCTCTAACTTTACCCTTTAGCATACTATCGAACTGGCTATACGGCACAGGCTAATGCCTTAGCCCACCCTATCAGGAAATCTGATCCCGCGAGGCCTACCACCCCCACCCCACCTCAACACGGAGGTACGGCCCCACGCCCAAATCATAGTTATAAGCCTCGCATGCCTTACTACAGGGCTCTAGTTAGGGCCTCACCTGTCACGGCCACACGTTTTGATTTCTCTTATCGTCACCGAGAGGCCAACATCCCGCCACCACGTCTGTGGCACCTACGTCATAAGCCAAATCATAGGTAGAGCCTCTCATCGCCACTTGGCATTAGCAGGGCCTCACCTATCCAGTCATTCAACAGTTACGTTTTTCGCCTCGGCATCTAGCATTAAAGTCCAGTTCTTCAAGACACACCACTCCCCATACCCCCCCCTTCTTACCTCACTCCCCTTCTAATATATCTTTCACATAATCATTCCTTTTTAGAATGTCCCAAGAACCAATTCCAACCGAAGAACTGACAGAAGAAGCACCATTCACGCCAATCAGACCCGTGTCTCCAGGCGAATTACTCACTCTTTCAACCCCCACGTCCTTGAGAGCATGGACTATTCCCAAAATCACAGCCGAGCTTAGGCTCAGGGGAATCCCCTTTCCGGCCACAGCTAGAAAGGCAGAACTTTACAGGCTGCTTACCCACCAAGTCCCCGAGCCTCGGCCGGGAACTAGCTCTCAAGGACAACCACCAAGTAACAGCACGGCCACCCAGGATACCCTGGCAGATATCTTGGCCAATCTACAGGCCCTCAATAGCAGGCTGTCTAAGGTGGAGAGCGCCATCTCCTCCTCAGGTACTAACACCGTAGTCCCAGTCTCTACCACGGCTGTACCTGCCATACCTTCATATCCCTCTATACTCCCCCCTCCAGCACCTGGCACAGCCATCACACCTTTCGAGTCACCAGCACACTCCGTCCCAGATTCTATCAGGAAAGATATCCTTGACGGGAAGGATGTGTGTCTGGTGTCTTTACTCATAGCCTCTCAGGATGTACTCGAGAACAAGGCATACAATTACGGTGACATCTCTGTTGTGCTTAAAACGAGGGATCCCAGGCTTAATAAAAAATTGTCTATCCCACAGTTTGTGATAGCTTTCGGGATATACCGCGACGTCATTTGCACGGTGTATCCCCATAGGAGAGAAGAGCTAGATCTCTATCTCCACAAGGTAGTGGATCTAGGCATCAAGTACGGGGGCTCTTCCTTCTATGACTACCACAAGTCAGTCTCAGCGAAGGCGGCGACCCATCTCAAGCAGTTCAACATTAGAATGAACTGGGGTCAGATGGACACTGAACTTTTCTGTCGCCACTTCGCCGGACTCAGGCCCCCGGCTTGTGCCATCTGTAATTACACATCCCACATGGCGGACTTATGTCCCGTCGAACCAGATCCCACCACCTCCACTCTCACCCCTCACCCCACGTTCACACCTCACTCCTCTTTCACCCCTCACAAGCCAGCGGGTGGTCTCCGGGATAAGCTGGGTAGGCCCATCTCCTTTATAGGTAAAGCACAGGTGTGCAATAATTTCAACGCAGGCTCCTGCAGTTTCAGCGCCTGTAGATTATTGCACATCTGCTCCATATGTTTCAGGGCACATACCAAGACCATGTGTCCAGCCAGGTTGTCACCAAACAAATGACTAACCGACATAAATATCGACAACCTGGTTTTTTATCTAAGGTGTCACCCCAGCAGGCACTTAGTGGATTTTCTCACCACAGGTTTCTCACAAGGGTTTCACACAGGCATAATAGCCATTCCCCCAGGTACACTAGAATGTCCTAATCTCCAGTCTGCACGTTTAGACCCAGTCGCTGTAGACACTCTCATTTCCGCAGAAACCACAAGCGGTTTCATGATCGGTCCTTTCACCTCTTCACCGTTTTCCTCCTGGCGCACTAACCCTATTGGTATTGCTATTCACAAATATTCTAATAAAAAACGTCTCATTATCGATTTATCGGCACCGCACTCCTCTTTTGTTCCAAGCATAAACGCACTGATTCCAGCAGACGAATTCTCTCTGCAGTACGTCACCATCGACGACGCCATACAGTCCATCATGACATCTGGTAATCGACCCTGGCTCAGCAAAACAGACATCACTAACGCCTTTAAATTACTGCCCATACACCCCTCACTCTGGCACTTACACGGTGTTAAATGGCGAGGGTATTATTACTTCTCAACACGACTCACTTTTGGTTCTCGAAGCAGCCCCAAACTTTTCGACATTTTCGCAGAGTCACTATGCTGGCTGCTTCTGAACGTCATCAGGTGTCACTCCGTTATTCACTATCTAGATGACTTTCTACTGATAGAGCCAGGGTCATCAACACCCACAGCAATCAATAGTACTACCGCACTTTTTTCCACACTTGGAGTCCCTTTGTCCCCAGCCAAAACTATAGGACCCACAACAAAGTTGACCTTTTTAGGCATAGAGCTCGATTCTGTCAAACTCAGAGCTAGCCTTCCACACGACAAACTTTCACGATTGAGAGGGGAGATAGACACGTTCCTGCGGAATGACGTTTGCACCAGGAGAGAACTTCAGTCCCTTCTTGGATCTCTGAACTTCGCCATGCGCATCATTCCGCAGGGAAGGTCTTTTATTTCCAGACTTCTTTGCCTGCTCCATGGAGTCCCGGACTCCGGCACAGTTTCTTTGGACCCCCACGCCAAGGCTGACTTGGCTATGTGGGGGAAGTTTTTGAAAGACTGGAATGGTATCTCCATGTTTTTCCCCCCTCTCTCCACCTCTTCACCCATCATCCACACGGACGCAGCAGCCAACACCGGTTTCGCAGCCATTTTCGGGAACCACTGGTTTAGGGGCCACTGGCCCACTGAGACGGATGCCTTGCCTGGATTCAGGGAGACCTCAACCCTATTTGAAATTTACCCCATTGGGGCCGGCCGCACACACCTGGGGTCATCTCTGGTCCGGCAAGGCAGTAAAATGCTACTCAGATAACTCGGCAGCTTGCGATATTATTAACAAAGGGCGCTCATCATCCCTGACCATCATGCGGCTGATTCACAAGTTGACCTGGCTGGCAGCATCCAATCAGTTTCACTTAGTATGTTCTCACATCCCGGGTATTCACAACACCGCCGCTGACGCTCTTTCTCGTTCTCGATTCCAGGCATTTTCTCAGGCACTCCCAACGGCTCACCAACAGCCATCCAGGACACCACGGTTTCACGAACTAATCTTGGATTAAGCACACTCTTGCTTCATGCTAGATCACTCACCAAGCATTATCACCCAACACTGCTATCACTTACAATAGGGCACTTAACATATTTAACAAATTCACTGCAGAATTCGGGCTACAAGGTGACTTTTCTATCCAAACCATGGTGTCTTTTGCCTCTTTCTGCCACCTACACCTTAATCTGTCACATAACACCATTAAACTTTACCTCACCGGGGTTCAGCACCACAGCCTCACCAATTTTCCTAACAGCACCCCTTTTTGTCTTCATACCCCATAAAAAAGGTCTTGAAAGGTATATCAAAGGTTTCACCACCACTCGCAAGCACTAGATTACCCATAGACGGGCCTATCTTCAGGTCTCTTAGCAATCTCCTTGACACAGCCCCATTTGATAGCTACACCAATACGGTGATAAAATCTGCCATATATCTCGCTTTCTACGGTTTTCTCAGACCTAGAGTTCACAGTGATTTGTCAAGGAGATATCGCACGATGCCTTAAAACTTCACACCTCACCAAGGTAGAGGATCACTACCTCCTTTCTATCCCTACCACTAAAACCAACCGGTCAATACATCCTACAATAATTCCTCTCTTCCCTACTGATAATGCCTGGTGTCCGGTGAAAGTTCTCGACCAACTACGGTCAACTCTTCACACTCACCTGCCAGACTCTCCGCTCTTAACATTACAAGGGCACCCGCTTACCACGGCAAAATTGATGTCACATGTCAGAACCCTGTTATCTAAGCTCGGACACAATCCGGCTGCATTCTCCGGGCACTCCTTCCGCATAGGAGCCGCCTCAGCAGCCTCAAGCACAAACGCACCGGTCCACATCATCAAAAGGCTCGGGCGATGGAAATCCTCCATATATAACGCATATATTCCGCAACCAGAGAAAGAGCTTCGCCAAGCTTTCAGAAACTTGGTCTTGTAAAATGCAATAAAGTGTGTATTTTCTCGAATTTATCTTTTGCCCTCTTTTATTTACAGGCCCACTCGTACGTTGGTTTCGGCACACCACAACCAACTTTGCTCACAGTTACTATCCATCACGTATTTAAATTCCGAGCACAAGTAGAAAGGCCATTAGGCCTGAATTTGTGGGAGGAGTAAGTCCCCTACTTAAGCTCCCAGCCCCTACTCACCGCTGCCGCTCAGCTGATTGTCCCCACCCACCTACACCCTGTTTTAACTACATTATCCTTGGTGGGCCCTCTTTTATTTACAGGCCCACTCGTACGTTGGTTTCGGCACACCACAACCAACTTTGCTCACAGTTACTATCCATCACGTATTTAAATTCCGAGCACAAATATATATATATATATATATATATATATATATATATATATATATATATATATATATTTATAATTTTCTTTTTTTTATCTTGAAGTGTAGGTAAATTCTGAATAATTTTAAAGGGTTACTTCAACCACCATGACTACTTCAGTGATTGTCATGGTGGTAGGAGTTTGGATGTGCAGTTTAAGATTTAAACTTTCTTTTGGTTTTAAGAACAGGGACCTGTTCGCAATGCCCAATAAGACATTCTAAGCCCCAAAACGTAGTGTCAGGGTTGGAGTAACCCTTTTAAAGTCATTATTTACTTCTGAAACATGTTTGGATAGTGGCATCTGTTTTAACTGCATAATTCAATTTTTCAGATCCCAGAATATCTTCATCATGTAAACAGGAGATTGGAAGAAGAAGTTGACAGAGTTATCACTTATTTGGATCATGGGACTCAGTAAGTACACGTAATATTTTAAGTTTTTTTTTTTTTTTTTTAAAGTTATTTTTGGTCAAAGTGGGAACAGTTGCGCACCTGTGATATAACAGTCTACTGAATTCACTTGCCTTTGAGCCAGTGCTCAAACTGCGCATTTCACTTTAGGAGTTAAATCCCTTTGTTTTTAACCCTGCTGTAGCCACACCTCCCCTGAATGTGATTTACACCTGAAAAATAAAGTCTAAAGGCTGTGTGAATCACAACCAGGGGAGGTGTGTCTAGAGCTGCATAAACTGAAACAAGGCATGATCTATACATCAAAACTGCTTTATTCCATATACCGGTAAATAATAATTAAGCTAAAGTTGTTCTGGTGCCAGCAGAAATGGGGAGCAGAACAAAGGTCATTGCATTTGACTCTCACGTACATAGTGAATATTTGTTCAGTTTTATTGTATATGTTTAAGTGTTCAATATAAAACTGATATACTTTCTTTTATCCTACAGTAAACCACTTATAGCTTGTGTGGAGAAACAACTACTGGGTGAGCACTTGGCTGCCATACTTCAAAAAGGTAAAATGTAAAAGATTGTTTTATCATGGTTCACCATTTAGACACCTTTAAAGGACCACTCTAGGCACCCAGACCACTTCAGCTTAATGAAGTGGTCTGGGTGCCAGGTCCAGCTAGGGTTAACCCATTTTTTTCTAAACATAGCAGTTTCAGAGAAACTGCTATGTTTACAAATGGGTTAATCCTTCCTCTAATTCCTCTAGCGGCTGTCTCATTGACAGCCGCTAGAGGCGCTTGCGTGATTCTCACTGTGAAAATCAGTGAGAGCACGCAAGTGTCCATAGGAAAGCATTGTAAATGCTTTCCTATGCGCGCGCGTGCGCATTCAGCCGAATGGGAGGAGGAGGATCAGAGGAGGAGAGCTCCCTGCCCGGCGCTGGAAAAAAGGTAAGTTTTAACCCCTTTCCTCTCCCCAGAGCTGGGCAGGAGGGGGACCCTGAGGGTGGGGGCACCCTCAGGGCACTATAGTGCCCGGAAAACGGAAAAGTATGTTTTCCTGGCACTATAGTGGTCCTTTAAGAAACATATCAAATGACATCCATATTAACATTCCAAGCCACCACCATACTTGCTGTTTAATAAACTGTTAATGACATTTCACCATTATTGGTTTAGTTGTTCTTATAATCTTATAACATGATTCAAACATGAATCTGATTTTTGTAAACAGGTCTGAAAAACATGCTGGATGAAAACAGAGTCCCAGATCTTACTCTTATGTATCAACTCTTCAGCAGGGTGAAAGGTGGTCAGTTAATATTGCTGCAGCACTGGGGGGAGTACATAAAAGTAAGTTTTTAGTTTTACTATGATAAAAACAGTAGTATGATTCCTGTTCCAGTCTCTTATCATCCAATAACAAATGTGTTAATGACAAATGTAGCTATTTTAATAATACATGTCCATTTCATATGTGTTAATTTTTTTTTTCAATATTTTGTAAGTAGAGGTGAGCCAACTATGGGGAAATTAGCACTCTAGCTACCCAAATTTACAAAATCTGAATTCTCGCCCCCTCTCCCACCCATAATAGTCTATATGGCCTCTAGAAGTATGAGTTGTTCTGCTTACATTCATGTTTATTTGCTTTATGTACACTTTAGTATGAAGTTTGGAGAGCATGTTAACCTCATAAGATCCAAAGCGTTTGTGAACAAGGCCTTTTTTTGGGGGTTTTTTGCAATGAGTTCTTTCTACCACAATTTCACCCTTTCTGTTTAAGTGCACCCATGTATATTATATATAATTTTTAAAGGAGAAATTGTGTTTTCTTTTGGTATCCTATATGTATGAATAATGCAATATTATTATATAGGAATAAAATATTTTAAAAATAGGTGGGTTGTCTCTAATCCAACCCATAATTTAACCCATTTTCCAACCCATAGTCCTACTCATATTCCCAGCCCCTAACCACATCCTCTAATTTCACCCCTTAATCCCACCTCCCACCCCTCTGACACCAACAGAGGGATTTCCTAACTCACACAGTGTACAGTGTGATTGCAGCATGACAGGGAGAGCTCACTCTCTTGATGCAGCACACACAGAGATCAGGGCTGGGCTGTTAGCAGAGTCTGGCAGCGATCCTGCTGCAGGGGAGACTCACCAGGATCTTTTCAGAGGGAGAGACTGAGGGGGTGGACAAAATAATTCATTTTTAAATTTACCACAGGATAGCAATTGCGCTGATATAGCATTTAAATGAATTTTAGGGGCTATGAGCAGCGTTCACTTTGAGCTCTGCTCATAGCTATCCTGTAAGCCTAGCCCCAACCGAAAAAGGGAAGCCCCATGTATTGAAAGATGCCTGAGCATCCCCTTTTTCCTGATGCTGGGGCTCCATTCACACTAGTTGTAATACTGCTATTTGTTTACTTGGGTTCACTGTGCTGTTTGGGAGGGGTTATGGTGGAGGACCTGAAGGGGAACATTGTGTACCACTGTAACCCTATTGTATGTAAATGGGGTTTTTGGGGTTATAGATGTGCTGTTTTCAATAAAGGTTAGTTGTGGTTTACCCAATGCTATGTCTCGTGTAGTATTTGGGTGGAAGGTGCATTATGGCGATCATCACTGCCTTGCTATAATAACTGCTCTATAGAAGAGATGGTCTCTAAGTCTATAATCTCCACAGCACTGGTTCTGAGAGACCCCAGTCAAGCTTCGGCGACTGGGTCTGAAGCACCCTAGAGTTCCTGGTAGCAACGAAAAAGCTGATCTGGCTGATGTACTCAGAGTACAGTAGCTCCGTCACATATATAGTCTGTCATAACACCGCAAAAGGTGATGTAGTTGAGCCCTGTATTTTTAATGACAGAGTGAGATAAGTAGCAGATAGCACGTTAATGGTTTTTCTCAATAAGTGCTGCTGTAGTGGCAGGAAGGCACAAGAAACAGGACAAATGGTTAATTTTGTGCATTACTCTGTTATGTTACATAGTATTGTCTGCTGTCCTTATCTGCATGGGATATGTAGTAATCTGCCACACAAATATTCCCATTAACCCACCTTTACCTCAGCAGCATCAAAAATACTTTCAATTACTTCCTCCCTCGGGCTATCACAGTGGGCTAATTCTCCCACCCATGTAGCTGGCAATACCTTGGACCTCATCTTCTCTTATGCATGTACAGTATCTAATATCTGCAACACTCCATTTCCTCTCTAATCACCACCTCTTAACGTTTGCTTTCAAGTACCCCCTCACCCAACAACCTCAGCCTAACCCCCCTAAACTCAGGAGGAACCTTACTCCTATTGACCTACAGCAGCTGTCAGCGGATATTGATTCAAAACTGCTATCCATCCTGTCCCTCACTGGCCATCTCCACATATAACATCCCTCACATCTGCCTTGAACGCTGCAGCTCCGCTCCAAACAAGCACCTAAAGGAGGACACGCCCCCAACCGTGGCATACTTCATCAACACGCTACCTGCAAAGATGCTCCAGTTGTGCTGAACGCTCCTGGAGGAAGTCTCGCACCCAGTCAGACTTTCTCCATTATAGATTCATATTGTGTTCATACAGCCCTTGCCCTTGCTAAACAGTCATACTTTTCCTCTCTCAGTTCATGCTCCCGCAATCCCAGGCATCTCCTTGACATCTTTAATTCTCTTCTTTGCCCTGCTGTGGCCACCTCCCCCCAAACTAACCTTACTGCCAATAGCTTTGCATATTACTTAACCGACAAGATTGTACAGCTAAGGAAAGAATTCTCTCCTCCTTGCCGTTCTCTTTGTCAACCACACTTTCCTACCCTTCAGACTTTCACCCCGGCTACTGAACAAGAGGTGGCTGCGCTTCACCTTTCCTATCGCCCCACCACTTGCCCGCTTGATCCTGTCACATCTCACCATATCAGATCTCTCTCCACTTGTCTTGTGCTTTCCTTAACGCATATCTTCAACTGCTCTCTCTCTTCTGGCATTGACCCTGCTGACCTTAAACATACCACTGTAGTACCTATCCTGAAAAAAACATCTCTTTACCCGTCCTCCCCCTCTAACTATCGTCCTACATCCCTGCTCCCTTTTTCCTCAAAGCTTCTGGAAAGTCTTGTCTTTACCCGTTTGTCTCACTTCCTCAATTCCAACTCTCTCCTTGACCCTCTTCAATCTGGCTTCCGTTCTCTCCACTCTACTGAGACTGCGCTTATCAAAGTTACTAACAGCCTAAATGCAGCTAAATCCAAAGGCCACTACTCCACACTAACTCTTCTTGACCGCTCTACTGCCTTTGACACCGTTAATCAAGCTTTTCTTCTTCAAACTCTTCAATCACTCGGTCTCTGTGACTCTATCCTCTCGTGGTTTTCCTCTTATCTCTCCCAACGCTCATTCAGTGTCTCCTTTTCTAATGATACCTCCTCTCGTCCTGTCTCAGTTGGAGTCCCCCAAGGCTCTGTCCTTGGTCCTCTTATATTTTCTCTTTATACTGCCTCTCTTGGCAAACTTATTACCTCTTTTGGATTCCGCTACCACCTGTAAACTGATGACACCCAGATATATCTCTCCTGCCGTCCTGCAACATGTCACTGCTTGCCTTTCTTCCATCTCTGACTGGATGTCCTCCCACTTTCTGAAACTCAAGTCTTTCCTCCTCCTAATACTGATCCTCCTCTTGCACTGTCCCTTCAAGTTAGTGGTATCCACATAAGTCCATTCTTGCAAGCGCGTTGTCTTGGCGTCATATTTGATTCTGGCCTCACATCCAGTATGTTTCCAAATCCTGTAGATTCAATCTTAAAAACATAGCCCGCATCCGCCCCTTTCTTTACCAAGGAGCTTGTCCATGCTCTAGTAATTTCCTGCATGGATTATTGTAACCTTCTCCTGATTGGTCTTCCCAAAAGCTGTATTGCATCGCTACAGTCTGTAATGAATGCTGCCTCCAGACTGATTTTCCTCTCTAGTCGGTTCTCTCACACCTCACCCCTCTGTCAGTTCTTACATTGGCTTCCTGTATCCTAAAGGAGTCAATTCAAGGTACTAATTCACACCTATAAAGCACTTAACAATTCTAGCTCCTCTTATCTCCTCACAGATCCATAGGTATGTCCCTTCTCGGTCTCTCCGCTTTGCCCGTTACATTCTCCTGTCCGTTGTTTGCAAACGTACGGCCAACTCAGTTCTCGCGGGCAGCTCCCTTCCTATGGAATAGTCTGCCTACCGCCATCAGACTCTCCCCTAGTCTGGCATATTTTAAGAAGTGCCTTAAAACCCATCTATTTAGGAAAGCTTATGGCCTCCCAAAGTAACCTCTACCTTACATACCTGTCTCTTGCTCTCTCCTAAAGGGCAGCACTCTACTCTCTCCTCCAGCTCTGCTTCACTCCCACCTTACTTGATTGCTATTTCCTGTCCTATTGTGCTTTATACCCCATCTCCTATAGAATGCAAGCTCGTTTGAGCAGGGTCCTCTTCAACCTATCATCGTTCCTGTAAGTTTTCTTGTAATTGTCCTATTTATAGTTCAATCCCCCCTCTCATAATATTGTAAAGCGCTACGGAATCTGTCGGCGCTATATAAATGGCGATAATAATAATAAAATATAGCTATACATTGTTCAATAGTGTTACAGCATTCCTTTTTACAAAAATAAATGCCGCAGTTGTTTGGCACCTAATATTTGACACGTGGTCTGTCAATGGCATAGGTCACATGATGCATTGTGTGGAGTACCATGAACTTATATACTTTAATTTAGATTTTTGGCTTTATTATTCTGTTGTTGAGAATAGTCAATACAAACCATAAACATTATTCAGTGTTCTAAATGTGCTTTCTGTAATGAACAAGTTTGCAAATTACGCATTTTTGATATTTATCATGCCAGTTTTGAAAATCTGCAATTGAGCTTCGTGAGTTTTTTTTTTCAATCAGACTTGAGTCTTTTAAAACGGTAATTGGCATTAGACATGCGATTTCTTTCTGTATAAGGCAGGTGAAAATAAATGGGCCAGTTACTAAACTCCTTTGCTCTGCATGTCTAATGACTTGACAAACGTGTGTGCAAAGTCTGTATGTAACCACTAAAAGCTGACTCTGTTATAAATGAAATCATATACATTGCCACCTAGATTGATATAGAGTATAATTTTCTAGTTTATAATGTTTATTCATGTAACTTAGAATTAACTAATCCCTTATTCAAATGCATGTGTCAACATGGCTCTAATAAGGCTTAAAAAAGTCTTATTTAAACACTTCCTATTAAAGTTATAGAATAAGGCATGACTAGCACACTTTTGTTATTTCCTTAACATATTGGTTTATTTGCTGCAGAGTTTTGGGAGTTCAATTGTTGTGAATCCTGAAAAAGACAAAGACATGGTGCAGGAGCTGCTGGACTTTAAGGATAAAGTGGACCATATAATTGATGTTTGCTTTCAGAAGAATGAGAAATTTGTCAACATGATGAAAGAATCGTTTGAAACGTTCATCAACAAAAGAGCCAATAAACCAGCAGAGCTCATAGGTACACCTTGTTCTGTTCTGTACAGATTACTTTTCAGCTGAGGACACATGTACATAAAAAAAACTTGCACTTTTTGAAACCAGAATGTATTCAATGTAACCAGAAAGCAAACAAAAAGTTGACGGAAATAAAATCTTATTTTGTGCCAGATTTATGGGCATGTAGTTTTGTAAATTAAAATAAGGTTAAATAAAATTAAATCTGTATCGATATGGTGCTTGCAGTTGATGCATGCTTTTTTTACCCTCATACAAGCTAAAGTGCAACTTTCCAGAATGTCTTGTGTGCAGATGAATACTCCATATCAAGAAAACATAAAGGATAACATCTTTATTCCTGTAAGGGCAGCTTGGCCAGTGCAATATGTGCATTGTAAATTTTAATATCTCGGCAAAGTAGGCCTTAAAACAACGTGTGTTGCATATATTAGGACCAGAATCAATATAACATACAATGAGGGAAACCCCAAATTGTCTTTTGAATTGTTGCTTACCATTCTTGAGATGACTTTTGTGCACTAGGTACTGTTTAATCTACATCAGAGACATCTTAAAATCCAGTTGATAATTGTTGTTCAGTACCTTGTTTCACTTTGTACAGTTTTATTAAGCTTTATAAAACCATTTTCTTGACTATTTCAGAAAATATCACTGAATAGCAAAATTAAGAATTTGCATTTCCATAATTAACACCTTAACAACGGAGTAAATTGTCCAAGTTCTGAACCAAAGCAAAACCTAGAACATGCACCATGTGTTTGTTCTGCAATAATTTAAGGGTTTCTCTTTAAGTGCACCCATACATATGTATTGGTTTTGAAAAGAAAGAAAATGTTTTCTTTGAATATCCTATATGAAAACCTAATACAACATTTAAAGGACCACTATAGGCACTCAGACCACTTCAGCTCAATGAAGTGGTCTGGGTGCCAGGTACCCCCTAGTTTTAACCCTGCAGCTGTAAACATAGCAGTTTCAGAGAAACTGCTATGTTTACATTGAGTATTTATGCAGCCTCTAGTGGCTGTCTCACTGACAGCCACTAGAGGCCGCTTCCGTGATTCTCAGTGTGAAAATCACACTGAGTTGACGATGGATGTCCATAGGAAAGCATTGAGTAATGCTTTCCTATGGGCGGTTTGAATCCGCATGCGGCTCTTGCCGCGCATGCGCATTTGGAGCTGACGTCTGCAGGGGGAGGAGAGGTCACCAGCGCTGAGGGAGCCCGGTGCTGAATTAAGGTAAGTGGCTGAAGGGGTTTTAATCCTTTCAGCCCAGTGGGAGGGGGCCTAATAACCCTATAGTACTAGGAAAACGAGTTTGGTTTCCTGGCACTATAGTGCCCCTTTAAGTGTGAAAACATTTTTTAAAAATAGGAAACATTTGTTTCCCAAATGTCTAGGACAACACCAGGTTCTGAATTATATCTGATTGCAATAAACTAGCTCCATTAAAAAAAAAAAATATATATATAAATATTTTATATAAATAAATTATTTATTTTATGTGCTACTATTTTCTGAACCGTTATAACCACCTGTGTTAGACCAGGTTCTATATTAGACACAAGCATAAGTGGTATATTGCAGAGTTCTTGTATTATACGCTCCAGGTTATTGTTCTCAATAACCACATTTAATTTTTTTTCATAGCCAAATATGTTGATTCAAAGTTACGTTCTGGAAACAAAGAAGCAACTGATGAAGAATTGGAGAGGTTCCTTGATAAAATTATGATCATTTTCAGATTTATTCACGGTATGTATGGTACTAACCAAAACAATGCTTTTTCCCAGGGCATAAATGTTTTCATATTGTGAGTGGCTTTCATATGTTTTATGCAATAAAGTGAAGTGGAATTAGTTTTGCATATTACAGCATATTTTAACATGAGAATACAGTTTCTTAGAACATGAGTAATAAGTATACTTGATTTATGGAAATCAATATTTATTTTTGTATACTCAAATGAACCTGACCAAACTATTACAATATTTTGTATACAGTCATATTTTGTGAACATCACTACAGCACTAGCTGAGAGATAATTTCTAAAAAAAAAAATACTGCTCCTGTTTTACACATTTTTTTTGGCTGTTTATATTACTGATTTTATTTGTTGAAGTGCATTATTTTAAAGGACCACTATAGTGCCAGGAAAGCATACTCGTTTTCCTGGCACTATAGTGCCCTGAGGGTGCCCCCACCCTCAGGGACCCCCTCCAGCCCGGCTCTGGAAGGGGGAAAGGGGTTAAAACTTACCTTTTTCCAGCGCTGGGCGGAGAGCTCTCCGCCTCCTTCCTCCTCCGTTACGCCCCGCCGTCCTATGGACGCTGGCGTGCTCTCACTGTGAAAATCACAGTGAGAAGCACGCAAGCGCCTCTAGTGGCTGTCAATGAGACAGCCACTAGAGGATTAGGGGGAAGGCTTAACCCATTAATAAACATAGCAGTTTCTCTGAAACTGCTATGTTTATTTAAAAATGGGTTAACCCTAGCTTGACCTGGAACCCAGACCACTTCATTAAGCTGAAGTGGTCTGGGTGCCTAGAGTGGTCCTTTAAAACCACCTGAGGCAGAGATATACCAGGGCATTGCAAAGCAATGCTTTTGGATACACTTTGCAAGCTAAATAGGTTAATAGAAAAACAAAAACAAACAACTACAAATATAGCACAGGATTAACAGAATGACTGCTGTACAACTGGCTTGAAGTTAGGGGAGCCAATCCCCAATAGGTTAGAGAATACAAAGGGGATGTGTAAAGAAGGGGAATATTAAGCTCCTGTAGCAAAAAGGGTGACTCCAAGAAACTTTAAAAGAACACTTTTTGTCTTAAGAATGCAAAAATGCATTTGTAACACTAACGTGTTCCTCTTCTCCCGACCCCACCAACGATGTAAAGTGTAAAATAATGCCTTATTCACTTACCCGAGATCTGCTTCCTCCGACTTCACCCGATGCGCATCTCATTCGGCCATCCTCATAGGAAAGCATTGCTTTCTTTTGTGTTTTTATCTGACGCTGGATGTCCTCATGCAGAGCGTGAGGATCTCCAGCGTCATTTCATGGAGTCAAACTCTCTCAAAGACCAGGAAGCACCTCTAAAACAGCTGTACAACTGTTACAATCTATTCTAAATGTTTTATGTAAAGGGCAAAAAAATCAGCATTCTATAATTTTATTTATTTTAATACAGGAAAATGCTATTGAAGGTTGGAATTGAGTTCCTAATGTTGTTTCCCAAGCAAACACTCCAAACCCATAAAGCACTTCAGCTTCATGGTGGCTGATTGTGATGATTGTGCATTATGTCCCTGAGATGCAGACACTGCTTTTGTTGTCTTTTATAATGTGTTCACATAACATTTTTTCTTTTTCTTTTTTTTCTAGGTAAAGATGTATTTGAGGCATTTTACAAAAAAGATCTTGCAAAAAGGCTTCTAGTGGGGAAAAGTGCATCTGTTGATTCAGAGAAATCGATGCTATCAAAACTTAAACATGGTAAGGGGGAGGAATGGCATGATATAGTGCAGTTATTCTTATTTATATAGTGCAAACAAATTCTGCAGCGCTGTGCATTGTTGTCTAATGATTAAAAAAACCTAGTATGTGAAAATCTTATTGATTTAGTACTCACCTTTCCTCTCAAGCATTCAATTAGCTCACGTGTGCAACTTGTCTTGCTCTTTAATTGGTATTCATTCTTTTCTCTCATGACCTTTCCAATCTGTACACTTATAAAGCATTTAGAGTCCCACAGGAAGAAAAGTGCTGTTAAAATCACCTTTGTTCATTATCAATTCTACGTTTCCTCCCAAGTGTGTTGTGTAAGTTTCTTTATTTAGTTCAGTCCCTTAATGTTCCTTTACTTTAGGGCTCCAAGCCAAAAAAAGTTTCTCCAAACAGAAATTGGTGTGTGTGTGTATATTATTTTTTACTTTGTAATATTCTTCACTTTTTTTTTTTTTTTCTGTATTATTTACATGTTGCTTTAATGACACACTTCCTTGTTGTCATACCCATTCATACCATCAGTTGAAGCTCTGACAGGTTAAAAGCAGTCAGCTGACACTCTCAGCCAATCACAGCTACCCATTGCTGCTCAGGGTAATATTTCCTTATTAGCCAAAGCAGCACAGAGGGGATGGACTGCCGGGGTCTCTTGTTTAGCATTAAAACATTACAACATTAAAAACTGTTTAATGCTGAAAGAAATGATGGCACCAGGGGACTCCATACACTATAACCAGTTTAATGAGATGAAGCAGATACAGTGCCTACGGTGTCCCTTTAATTATGCTTTCCACTCGAGTCTGAAAGCAAACACTTGGATTTTATGTAAATTAGCAGCTTACCATACTTCTATTAATAAAGTAGTGTATTGCAGTGTACTAGAAACAGTACCTTCAGAGTGAGCGTCGGCTTTTGTGTTGTCGTGTAAACAAATTGTATAGTTGTGACATTTTTCTAATACTGATCACTTTGCAGAATGTGGAGCTGCGTTTACCAGCAAGCTGGAGGGAATGTTTAAAGACATGGAACTCTCCAAAGATGTGATGATACAGTTCAAGCAGGTAAATTATTTTTTTTTTTTGTCCGGTTCAAGACCGGTTTTTTGACATAAAAATTCGGTTTTCTGTTAAGTTAAAACAGAACTTTAGCTGAAATTCAGCTAAATAGAATACCATACAGGAAAGATTTGTTTTACATCAACTGTTTTTTTTTTTTGTTTTGGTTTTTTTTTTCACATACCTTCAATTTTCTATCCAATTGGAGGAAACTTTACTTCCCCATAGTCAACTGTTGAATCTCAAATGTTAACGGGTACCAACAGGGCAAGATTTCACGTTAGACAAAATAGGCACCTGCCTACATAGCATGCCTGATAGAGGCACCTACACTGCTTCTTAAAAGCCCCCTCCCTGCCTACTGCCCATTTGCTGACCAGAACAGAGTCTGCTTGACTCTGGGATCACTGTATTCAGTCTGAGGGAGTCTGATATGTGCATGACTATACCTTCTCAGACTCAACACCGTGATCTCCAGGAAAAGGCTGGGGACAGAACGGCAACACCTAAACGAATATATATATATATATATATATATATATACACACACACTCTCTGCTAGAAAATGTTCATACCCACACTGTTACACTCCTATATATTTACTGCTACACATGCTGCCTGCAATGCGTGAGACACACGATAGATACATATATATATTTCTCAGGGCTTGGAGAAACCCCCCCCACAAATCCTAACAATATACCAGAGGGTGCCAAATTAAAGTACATATATTAACACATACCATAACTGAATTAAATCAACATAAAACAGAAGGAAGAGGGCACAAAGAAAAACCATGGCACAATACGTTTCTTCTCACAAAATCATTAAAGAAAATAAACCATATTCATATACATACCAGAAACAGCCGCTCTCAGACAATCAGTGGCACTCTGCCCTTCCTAAAACGAAAATTACAGGAGCCGTGTGCTGCGTGGGAGGAGTTGAAATTGGTGCTGGGGGCATCTTTAGGGTTAAACTGTTTGAGAATAGTAATGTAAGAGAGAACAGAGGCCTCCTGGCACCATAACAACTTAATTTAGATTAAGTTGTTATAGTGACTAAAGTGTCCTTTTAAATAATTGAAGGTTTTTTCAGTATCACTCTAATGGCCATTTAAAGTGGCACTGTCAACGTCTGGGTACCTGGCCTGAATTCACAAAGACCCCTGATGGTGACCGTGCCGCTGGGGGTCCGGAGGCTCAGGGGAGCAGGTAAAGGTGAGATTTACATACCTGAATTTGCCCTTTGCAGGCTTGGCCATTGTGATCCGACGGGTCCTCTTTGGGGCTGACATCACTGCAGTACTTTTGTGCATGTGCAAGACTAGAATTGAGGTCTATGGAGGACTTGCGTGATCCTACATAGACACAGCCATTTCCCTGGGAGGATTAACACTTAGACTTCGTCCTGATTCTATTAAAAGTCAGGGGGAGGAGAAATATAGAAACAGTAGTCCCTATTTTTTTCTCTGTACTGGGTTGGATTTTTAATGAAATTCCAACACAGTCAATATGAGTATTTCATAAAGATTTTATGTTTATGAAATACAAATTTTTGGGGGTGTGGGGCAGGGTGACCGTGCCAGTTGTAAGTGTAAGGTCACTTGCCACGTCAAGGCAAGCTTTATAGCTAAGTCCTACACAAACACTTCACTTTGCTCAAGAATTGAAGAATTGCATTAATGACACGATGCTTTAAAGTGTTGCATCAGTCATAAGTACTATGTTTATTAAGTAGACGTTTGTTGTTTTTTTTTATTTGCAGTATATGCAGAATCACAGTGATCCAGGTAGTATAGACCTGACCGTGAATATACTGACAATGGGATACTGGCCAACCTATACACCAATGGATGTTCATTTACCGGCAGAGGTAAGGAAACAACTCTTCGTCTGTACAATTTTGAAAGTAAGGTACTGTGTTTTGTTATAGAATAAATCAATATAAACTGTGTGGTGAACATTGTAAACAATTCTTAAAGTAAATGAACACTTACATTTAGTTATGTTGTCAAATACTCAGTTTTAGATCACATAGAGCAAGCAAACTGCGTATGCATAGTGTAAACTGTATATGTAACTACCTACATATAAACATTAAATAGACCTATTTTTACAAAGGAAGAGCAGCCCAGGAATTGTTCTAATGTAGCCAGCAACCAACCAAAATAAGTGTTCATATTTAAATGTATTTGCCACCATATTTCTCTTTCCAATGAATGTGCGGTCTTGAAGGCTCAACAAATACTGCACTGTTTCTGTAAGGCAAGTTTGGCCAGATTGAATAGTACACTTTGTAACATGTCAGCATAATACGCCGGTCACTGGCAATGAGCAGTATGTGTGTTCAAAATGCCCATGTTCATTGGAAAATAATTTTTATTTTTATTTTTTTTACTTTAGTATTAGACATTCTAGAAAAGGCCTGTACAACCTGAGGCCCCCAGATATATATATATATATCTTTTTAAATTCTTTATTTTTCAGTTGTGCTTATGGTTACAAACATGTTTGTTCTGCCACACCAGCAAGAACTAAAATATTCAAACGTTACAGGTATTTCAACATTATGGCATTTGAGATTTGCACACAATTTTACATTTTTGGTATAAGGCATTTTATGAAGATGTGTATGTCAGCAAGAGTGGTTTATAGGCATAATAGTGTTTGTTTCTCGTGCACAATCTCACATGTATACCGGACAGGCCATACCTGATGCTCGTGAAACATATCAGTTTGTGTGGTCAGGGGAGTCATACGGTTTTTGTGCTCAGTTGTGTTGTGTCACCGGGCTTATAAGATTTCAGGATAGTAAGTGACCCAGGTTTCTGTTGGATTAAAATGATATGGATTTGCGTAGGTTGGTTTATAGGGTGGGTCACGTGGCAAGGTAACCACATCGTGTTTTAGGTGCGAGCGTAGGACGCGGCGGGGCACTTGATAGATCTTTGGTGAAATAAGCACTGGTGTGTCTAGTTGTCAAGGTTCCTCATTGAGTGGTTTGCCCCTGACCTATGGGGTGGCGGGGACTGTAGGGTTCCTGCCTCTCCAGGTCTATGGAGCCTCCAGCCTTTATTGGTCATCTGGGAGTTAGTGTTGTCATGTGGATTATCAGGCGTGTGTAACTTATCAACACATGTTAAACTGGAAAACTAGCGATACAGTAGTTGTGAACACTAGAAAAAAAAATTAAGAGAAAAAATTTTAAGAGAAAAATCAGTCCTAAGTAGCAGGAGCAGTCGACAGCGCCGCCCTTCTCCAGGCACTGTGTGTGAAGTGTGGGAGTTATCTCTCGCCTTTGCCGGTCAGATAGCTTGGTCTGCTGGTGTCATGGTTCGCGGGGTGTATGGTAATGTGTTTTCCGGGTCCCATCTCTGTGTAGTGGTGTTTGCTGTGTTGTTCCCTTCTGGTAGTCCCAGCTTGGTTAGTACTGCAGGGGCTTCGTCGGGCGTTGAGATCTTATGCGTTGTTCCATTGTGGGTGATTAACAGGGATTTGGGTGCACCCCAGCGATATGGCACCCCTACGTTGCGCAGTTGGCTTGTGAGGTGGGTCAGTGTTCGGCGCCACTGGAGTGTGGCTCTAGTTAGGTCCTGGAAAAACAGCAGTTGTGCATGTTCAAAGTCCAGTGGGGTTTTACCCCGTATTGCCGACATGATGTTGGCTTTGTCCTGTGAGGTGGCACAGCGTAGAATGACATCCCTGGGGGTTGTGCTGGGCATGGTAGCTGAGGGTGGGAGCCTGTATAGCCCCTCGAAGATTGTTTTCTTAGCTGTCACTGGCGGCAAGATGGTAGCGAGGAGCCTCCTGACATAATGAGGCAGTTCATCGAGTGTGATGTCCAGGGGTACCCCACGTATTTTAATGTGATTGCAACGGGCACGATCTTCATGGAGTGACATTTGAAGGGAGAGTCCCTGCTTGGTGGTCTGTATTTGTTGTATCATTTCTTTTACTTGTGTGATGTCAGTTTGGATGTCCACAATGCTCTCCTCTGTTACCCGTACCCGTTCTGTTACGTTGTGTTAGTCCACTTTAGCTTTAGTCCCCTTTAAGTTAGCTCACATCTGTGGCCAGCGTTTTCTTGATGTCTTGTACCCAGTTATATAGGTCCTGTTTGGTGGCCAGTGTGTTATCAGGTGGTGCCTGTGATAGTGTCAGGATGTACTCACTGTCTGCCTCCGTTTGTACAGGTGTTTGGGCTTCCGACCGGGATGGTATCAGGGCTTGTGGGGCCCCCGCGGCCATTTTGCAGTGCGCCTGCCTCTGCAGCAAGGTCCCGATATTGGCTTGCTCCACTGAGTGGCCGGGCTGTGATCTTTGTGTGCGTCTTCCCATGTTCATTGGGGTAGTGTTGTGGGTCGGCAGAGGATTGCTGGCTGGGTCCGGCTCCCTTTGGCTGTACGCTCCGTCCAAAAGGAACTCAAGTCCGGTGATAGTCGTGAGGGGTAGGCCTTAAGCCTCAGTTTCACCTTGCTAGACCGTGGAGTGTAAAGAAAAGGCATCAATATGTGCGCTCCGTTGTCTCGATGCCGATTTCAAGGTGGGTTTGGTAATTGGTCAGTCCCTTCTCAGGATGTTTGCGGATTTGGCCCCCAGATATTTTGAACTACAACTCCCACAATCCCCTGGCTATCAACCATGATTCCCTGGCTATCTGTTTCATTCAAAAAAAAAACATGGACATTGGCTATGTGGTTCATTAAATGAATAATGGTCTTTGGCTATCTGTTTTATTCAAAGAATTATGGGCTTTACATAGTTACATTGTTACATAGCTGAAAAGTCCATCAAGTTCAGCCTTCCTCACATTTTTTATTTGCTGTTGATCCAAAAGAAGGCAAAAAAAACGTTTGAAGCACTTCCAATTTTGCAACAAGCTAGGAAAAAAAATTCTTTCTTGACCCCAGAATGGCAGTCAGATTTATCCTTGGATCAAGCAGTTATTACCCTACATTGAAAGATTATATCCTTGAATATTCTGTTTTTGCAAGTATGCATCTAGTAGCTGTTTGAACATCTTTATGGACTCTGATAAAACCACTTCTTCAGGCAGAGAATTCCACATCCTGATTGTTCTTACAGTAAAAAAAACCTTTCCTTTGCCTTAGACAAAATCTTCTTTCTTCCAGTCTAAACGCATGGCCTCGTGTCCTATGTAAAGTCCGGTTTGTGAATAGATTTCCACACAATGGTTTGTATTGGCCCCGAATATATTTGTATAATGTTATCATATCCCCTCTCAGGCGACGTTTTTCTAAACTAAATAGGTTTAAATTTGTTAACCTTTCTTTATAGCTGATATGTTCCATTCCTTTTATTAATTTTGTAGCACGCCTCTGCACTTTTTCTAGTGCCATAATATCCTTCTTTAGAACAGGTGCCCAAAATTGCACAGCAAATTCAATATGTGGTCTTACCAGTGATTTATAAAGAGGCAAAATAATATTCATGTCCCGAGAATGAATGCCCTTTTTCATGCATGACAATACCTTCCTGGCCTTGGCCACTGCGGATTGACATTGCACATTGTTGCATAGTTTGTTGTCTATAACAATTCCCAAGTCCTTTTCATGTGTGATTATCCCTAATTCACTTCCATTAAGGGTATACGTTGCTTGTGTATTCTTTACGCCGAAGTGCATAACTTTTCATTTTTCAACATTAAATTTCATCTGCTATTTGAGTGCCCAGTCTATCTAAATCACTCTGCAGCAAAGTAATATCTTGCTCACATTGTATTATTTTACAGAGTTTTGGGTCATCTGCAAACACTGAAACATTACTTTCAATGCTGTCTTCAAGATCATTTATAAACATGTTAAATAGAAGGGGTCCCAGAACAGACCCCTGAGGGACGCCACCTCTGTCCAGCTTGAAAATTTACCATTAATGACAACTCTTTGTACTCTGTTTTTAAAGGACCACTATAGTGCCAGGAAAACATACTTGTTTTTCTGGCACTATAGTGCCCTGAGGGTGCCCCCACCCTCAGGGACCCCCTCCTGCCAGGCTCTGGGGAGAGGAAGGGGTTAAACTTACCTCTTTCTCCAGCGCTGGGCAGGGAGCTCTCCCCCTCCTCCTCTTCGGCTGAATGCGCATGCGCGGCAGGAGCTGCGCGCGCATTCAGCCAGTCTCATAGGAAAGCATTTATAATGCTTTCCTATGGAAGCTTGGGTCTTCTCACTGTGATTTTCACAGTGAGAAGCACGCAAGCGCCTCTAGCAGCTGTCAAGAGGCAGCCAATAGAGGCTGGATTAACCAATTTATAAACATAGCAGTTTCTCTGAAACTGCTATGTTTATTAAAAAAAGGGTTAATCCTAGCTGGACCAGGCACCCAGACCACTTCATTAAGCTGAAGTGGTCTGGGTGCCTATAGTGGTCCTTTTAAGCCAATGTTCTACCCAAGAACAAGCATTTTCATCTAGACTGATTTCCTTGAGTTTGAACACTAATCTATTGTGTGGAACTGTATCAAATGCCTTGGCAAAATCCAAATAGATCACATCCACTGCAACACCCTGACCTATACTTCTACTTACTTCTTCGTAGAACGCAATCAAGTTAGTTTGACACGACCTGTGCTTCATAAAACCGTGCTGATTTTTGCTGATAACCATGTTCTTCTCAAGGAATTCTTGAATATTATCCCTTAAAGGACCACTCTAGGCACCCAAACCACTTCAGCTTAATGAAGTGGTCTGGGTGCCAGGTCCCTCTAGGATTAACCCTTTTTTTTTTTTTATAAACATAGCAGTTTCAGAGAAACTGCTATGTTTACAATAGGGTTAATCCAGCCTCCAAATCCGCTAGTGGCTGTCTCATTGACAGCCGCTAGAGGCGCTTGCATGATTCTCACGGTGAAAATCACATTGAGAACACGCAAGCGTCCATAGGAAAACATTGTAAATGCTTTCCTATGAGACCAGCTGAATGCGCGCGCAGCTCTTGCCGCGTGTGCGCATTCAGCTGAAAGGGAGGATCGGAGGCGGAGAGGAGGAGGAGAGCTCCCTGCCCGGCGCTGGAAAAAAGGTAAGTTTTAACCCTTTCTTCTCCCCAGAGCCGGGCGGAAGGGGGTCCCTGAGGGTGGGGGGCCCCCTCAGGGCACTATAGTGCCAGGAAAACGAGTATGTTTTCCTGGCACTATAGTGGTCCTTTAATAACCTTTCAAATATTTTCCCAGCCACAGAAGTTGTAGTTCAAAAACATCTGGGTGGCCAAAGGTAGTGCAGGCCTGTTCTAGATGTACCTTGTAAAGCACTTTATTTCTTGTCATATTGTTCAATTCCATCAACATAATACTTATCTGAAATGAATTGTAGCTAAATGAATCATTGTGGATGTAGGTCTACAAGTGAAGACAGTTAGCGAGACAATGGGTCAAGCAAGCAGCTACTCCGACTGGGCTGCCCTCTGAAAGGGCTTGTACTCCCAGGCAGCTATCGACCCGTCTGCCTGATATACCCAGGCAGGCATCGACCAGTATGTCTTTCTTGCTTTTGCAAGGCAGGCATCAACCAGTCTGCCTGTCTTGCTTCTGCAAGGAAGGTATCAACCCATCTGCCCGTGTTCTGTCTCCCAGGCAGGTGTCTATCCCTCTGCCCATTTTGCTTCTGACAGGCAGGTATTGAACCCTCTGCCTGTCCTGCTTTCAACTACTGCCTTTACAAAGGAACTTGCTGCTCAGAAAACTCTGCTACTGGAATTAGAAATAGAACAAACGTTATATAGAGGAATTTAGATGCCTCGGAGGTATCATGGTGCATCTATAGAGATTTTTACATTTTTTTTTTTTTGTAAATATGTTTTTATTTCAGTTTATATTGTCAAGAATAAGTCACATTGAGACTCGCAGGTCTCCGTAAGCCTTTAGGGCACAGTAACCAAGGTACAACATGTGCATAACTTTTTTACTTCGGGCAACCGGGCGCGCAGGCCCACAATTTCGCTGGACTCGCAGGTCCCTTTCAGCATGCAGTTCTTGTCCCTAAACTAATGTGACGTTTGCATTCGGTCGCTTCGTTTGTTAGGTAACATTAGGTAAACTTCAGTTTGGACTCGCAGGTCCACTTAGGGTGGAACAGAAGCAGCCTATGAAAAGGAAAGACGGTCTGCGGAACCAGCATTGGTGTCGTGTTGGTCACTATGTAGCGGGTATTATAGTCGGGTGTCGGGCCCGTGTGTCTCGTTGCAGTAAGGCGGTCAGGTGAGATTTTTAAATTTACAAGCATAACCGGGAATTTTCAGAGGACAGGAACTAAGGGAGTCCACCTGAGAAGTGTTTTAAGTAGGGTCCTGGAGTGCATTCAATAAATGCAATGCACAATGGGATGGAGTGAAAAAGGTGGATGAAGTGGACTGCAAAAGAAGAGTGGTTCAGAAAGGTACATAAAGAAGAAGTTGGAAGGTAGAGCAAGGTGAGAGGAAACCCAAACCACCATCCTATCAATAACATTGAACAGACCTAGAAATAATTCTGCTGAATTTACATAGATAATCAAAGCAGATAATAGTATACACTTAAAATTCTTCACTTATAACTTATTTAATTCTTAGTGTAATACTTTTAAACATATAGGCCAGCAGAAAGAGACAATGCTACTTTTAGCCTGTGTTATTAAATTATTTTTATTTTGTTGGTTTCTTCCTTTGCAGATGATAAAACTCCAGGAGATATTTAAGACATTTTATTTAGGAAAGCACAGTGGAAGGCGACTACAGTGGCAGTCAACACTGGGACATGCTGTACTAAAAGCAGAATTTAAAGAAGTAGGTGCTCTATTTCTTATTTAATCCACTGGATGTCTTGTTCATTAACTCATCAGTATTACACATCTCAAAGTGTTTGTGTGTCATGTATTTAAAGCAGGACTTCCCTCAGTAAATGTTTGTAAAGTGCATACTGGGATGAATAGTGTTTATTTATATATATCGGTATGTGTGTGTATGTATATGTGTGTGTATATATATATAATTATAATTTTAGGGATCCTGCTGTAATATCTAAAATTAAGAAGACAGTATAAAGATTGTTTGTAATCCGTGTAGAAAACAATTTTACTGTTGCACTAATTGCCGATGAAATAAGCGCTTTAAAGGACCACTATAGACACCCAGACCACTTCAGCTCAATGAAGTGGTCTGGGTGCCTGGTCCCTCTAGGGTTAACCCTGCCTGCTGTAAACATAGCAGTTTCAGAGAAACTGCTATGTTTATAATAGGGTTAATCCAGCCCCTAGTGGCTGTCTCATTGACAGCCGCTAGAGGCGTTTCCGCACTTCTCACTATGCTTTTCACAGTGAGAAGACGCCAGCGTCCATAGGAAAGAATTGAGAATGCTTTCCTATGGACTGACTGAATGTGCGCGTGGCTCTTGCCATGCATGCGCATTCGGCCGATGACGTCCAAAGGAGGAGGAGAGGCCCCGGCGCTGGAGAAAGGTAAGTGTTTAATCCCTTCCTCCAACTTCAGCCCGGCGGGAGGGGGGCCATGACAGTGGGGTGCACCCTCAGGGCACTATAGTGCCAGGAAACCGAGTTTTCCTGACACACTGGTGTCTTTAAGGGTGCCTCCCTTAATACTAGGCAAGGTGCTATCCACCACACCGGTTGGAGGAGGTTCCGGAGTTTTTTTCACACAAACTCTTCGAGGTATGTCTTCAAAAGTATTTATTCAATACAAAATAGTTATAAAAACAGCACAAGTATCATAAAAGGTTGTCCTAAGCATTTCGTCCTCATACGAGGAATTCCTCAGGGACCCGTATAATAAAAACAATGTGCAATGAACAAAGTGCAAAATACAGCCTAACAAACCTCCCCCCACAGTTCTCTTAAATAGGGCTAATCCCCGAAAGTTCATTGGTGATATTGTGGGTATTTCTTCCTTTTCCTCCTTGGATTGATGCAGCGCTTACTTTTTCAGCTGTTTTCATTCTTGTCATTTCGTCCGTGATTGGTGTCTTCATCTTTCCATGATGTATTTCCATGCATTCCATCTTTACCTTCCGTAAAGATGGTGGTGCATTTCAACCATGAAAATCAAAGAAAACACACACTCCCTCTAGTGTTCTCAGAGGGAAATTAGTTGAGGTTGCCTGAACGGAAACTTCTGTTAGTCATATATCCTTGTAACTTAATTACAATGAAATCGCTAAAAGAAATATAAATCAAACGAAATCATACAATACATTCATTTTGAACTGTGAATTATTTACACCTTATAACCTGTATTTGAACTGTTTAGGTGCATATTATATACCCTTATTCAAGGTATCTCCTCATCATATGGATGCGTTCAAAAACCTTCCATAGGGATTATTAGTGTTAACGTTAAAGTAAATAATAAACAAAATGTGTATAACATTATTTACTACTGGGTGGACATGCCAACTAGATGATTACTTAAGAAACCAAATAATTGAGATTATTTAATGATCGTTAGTATGATCTATATTAATTATCTATATCAATTACTAAATATTTATGAATATTCATTAGATTTTTGTGGCTATTTCCTTCTTACCATGTAAATACAAATGAAATATAATTAGATTATATTTAATACTCAAATCCAGTTTATCTATATCGAATATCATATAAGAGTAAAGAAAAACTGTAGCCAAAAAGGGAATATAATGAGGGGGGGAGAGGGGGGGTACAGGGCTGGAGAGGGGTGTCAGAGTAGCTGTAGCTTATAGGAGCATAGAAACATAAAAGACAAAACAAACAAAACATTTAGGGCAATATTAAAATGGCAGATATAAAGTCTGCTAATGAGCTAAACCCCCCTCAAATATGCATTTGTGAGCAGTGTAATCCTCGTCCTCCAAAGGTCTTACCAGTATGGCAGTATATTGTCCCATGTATATATGGAATAAAAGGAGATTAGAGCAGATGGTGAAGCACAGGGTGTAAATAAAGGAAACATACTTACCTTTTATGCAGGATTTTAGATGGATGGCAAATCTGGCAGGCAACTCTGACCGCGGTGGCAACTCCAGGGTGTGGGACTGGCGGGAACTCAGTGTTTCAGCTCCGCCTGTTTATCACTGCAGCTGCGCAGCGCGGGAAATGTTTTTAATTCCGATAGAGCGGCTGCGCAGTGCGGGAATGTCTGTGTACGTTAAGTTAGTGTCCGCAAAGCGGGGTATGCCTGTACTTAAACTAAAAAAAAGCACACTTGGGCTATATCGACTTTTAATCCATAAGGAATTAATGTCTGCATCCTATGTATACAAAAAGTTTCTCATTGTGCTAATTGCTTTTCTCGATTACCCCCTCTCCAGTGTGGTAAGATTCTTTCAATACCCATACATTTTAAACCTTTTAAGTGGAAATGTGGGCAACTGTTACAATGCACCGGGATAGAATGTGTCTTTAGTTTTTTTCGTTAATATTCTCTAGTAATCGTATTTTTAATAGACGTTGAGTTCGACCTATACATTACTTACCACATGGACAGTAGATATACTACATGGTCCGTGTGGCAGTCAATAAAAAAATTTATGGGAAAGGATTGTCTTGTTGGTGAACTGATGAAGGTATTAATATTACTCGTATTATCACCTGCTGCATCCTTTCAATCCCTTTGTCTCTATCTTGGTCTTAAGGTTTCTTTTGATTGCATAGGTTGGGGCTAGATAAATGTTTTTTTTTTTTAAATGAGTGTTGGTTGTTTTGGTCTATTTTTTTTGTTTTTGTTTTTTTGTTGTTTTTTTTGCGAATACCATTTTTGTACAAGTTTCTTTTTTATATGTTCTGCTTGTATTTGAAAATCCTGAACTTGAAACCAGTTACGTCTAACTCGAGTAAGCTGTCCCTTGGTGATTCCTTTCAACCAAGGTTGGTGGTGACAACCTCTCTCGTGGATGTAAATGTTCCCATGCGTTGGCTTAAAATAGTATTTTGTTTCAATTTGGCCTGTCTTAGAAGACAAAGTGATATCTAGAAAATGTATTTCACTTTGGTTCAACACTGGGGTAAATTTTAAATTGTATTTGTTGTGGTTCAAATAATTGACAAAAAAAAATCAAAAGTTTAATTTTACCCCTTCCAAATTATAACATCATCATCGATATATCGCCGACATAGGACCAGGTTCTCCCTCCAGTCATTCCTCGACCAGACAAAGAGGTCTTCCCATCTCCTCATGTAGGTGTTGGCATAACTGGGGGCGAACCTGGTACCCAAGGTGGTACCCATAATCTTTACATAAAAAGAACCCTCAAATTAAAAATAATTATGTTCCAGAATGAATCTTATTCCTGTCAAAATGAATGCTTTCAGATTTCTTGTGGTCGCTCTGTCTTGGCACATGAAATGGTTAACAGCCTCTAACCCAAGCTCATGGCTAATTACTGTATACAGTGTGGTCACATCTAGTGTGACCCAACTGTACTCTTCTAGCCATTCAATGTTTTTTACCTACTGTGGAAAGGATTTAGTATCCTTTGTGTATGATAGAGCCTGTTGAGCAAATTTTTGTAAATGGAAATCTATAAAAGCAGACAAATTGGCAGCAACCGAATCAATACCGCTAATGATGGGGTGTCAAGGGGGAAAAAAATATTTTTGTGAATCTTGGGGATGAAATCAAAAATTGGAATAACTGGACACGTGCACCATAAAAAAATAGAAAATTCTTTTTTGAGATCACTCTGGCTGAAACAAAAAATTCTTTGAGGTTTTTTTTTTGTAAACCTGTATACCTTTTCTGTGATTACCTATTATATGGCAGAGGTATGAATTATCTACAAAGAATAAAAAAGGGCAAGATCCCAAAAGATTTGAGTTGATGTTTAGACATGGATAAACCTAGACAAATAGAAGGTCTATATGAATACTTTAAGCGTAAAGAAAAAGGGGACTCTCAGTGCCAGGAAAACAATCAGTTTTTCTGGCACTGCAGGTCCCCTCTCCCTCCCACCTCTCAATCCCGGTTGCTGAGGGATGAAAATCCTTCAGTCACTTACCGAGACCCCCTGATGTTCCAGCTCTCCTCCTCTTCATTATTATGGCCGCCAATGTGCACATCGCCTTCCTCCATGGAAAGCATTGAAAATGCTTTTCACTGCTTCCTATGGGGAATTAGTGACACTGGAGGTCCTCACACAGCGTGGGGCGTCCAGGCTCTTTCTGTGCTATGGACCAGGGAAGTGCCCTCTAGTGGCTGTATAGTAGACTGCCACTAGGCGAGGTTAAATTCTCTAAAGAAAGTAAAGAAAATTAGAACAAGAACTGAGAAATGAAATTGGGGTAGAATGTAATATAGAGGATCAAGACTTTAAAGAGAGAGAGAGGAGATAAGCAAAAAGGTTAAAACATTTTAGATGAAAAAAAATTGCAGATAGTAAAAATAATAAATATAAAGGGGACATACAAAGCGTTGTAATCTATTCCTCTAAAAATAAAACATTGCATAAAAATCTATTGTAACATATCTCAGAAAAAGATCTTTTAGACCTACATTCCAAAACAGAAGAATAATCTATTTCAGAGAGAGATCACTTTAGAAAATTGGACAACAAATCAAGTAATTCCTCTAAAGATAGCAATCAAATATCAATGCACAGAAAACCCAATTCCATATGTACACCAAATCCCTGAAAAAATGGGATGAATAGTGCTCTGAGTTTAAGTAAAAACATACTGGCCTCATTACACTTAAGGACCACTATAGTGCCAGGAAAACATACTGCTTTCCTGGCACTATAATGCCTAATGCCCGACCTCAGGGACCCCTCCGCCAGCTCTGGAAGGGGAAAGGGTTAAAACTTACCTTTTTGCTGGTAGGAGAGCTCTCCTCCTTCCTCTCCTCCTCCGTTCCTCCTCCTGGGCTGAATGCTTGCCTTGCGCAAGAGCTGGCCAGCATTTCAACCAAGCTCGCTAGGAAAGCATTTCAATGCTTTCCTATGCCTGCGTCTCTCACTGAGAAAATCACAGTGAGAAGAACGCAAGCGCCTCTAGTGGCTGTCAATGAGACAGCCACTAGAGGATTGGGGGAAGGCTTAACCCATTCATAAACATAGCAGTTTCTCTGAAACTGCTATGTTTATAAAAAAAATTGGTTAACCCTAGCTGGACCTGGCACCCAGACCACTTCATTAAGCTGAAGTGGTCTGGGTGCCTAGAGTGGTCCTTTAAGTGTTCAGGGCCCCATGTTGCTTTATGTGGGCTCATGCATACAATCACTCTGAAATGCTACATGTTCATGGCACTGCAGAGGTTAACTTACTGTATATGGTATTCCCTGCACCTGCCTGGATAGCTAGTCATATGATCTATTTTAAAAATATTGCTACAACTGAGAATTTTAGAGAAATAACCCATAGCTAACTTTTAATAAGCTGCTGATTTGTGCAGAAATCTTCTTTAAAGGACCACTATAGTGCCAGGAAAACATACTCGTTTTCCTGGCACTATAGTGCCCTGAGGGTGCCCCCACCCTCCGGGACCCCCTCCCGCCCGGCTCTGGAAGGGGGAAAGGGTTAAAAACTTACCTTTTTCCAGCGCTGGGCGGAGAGCTCTCCTCCTCCGTTCCTCCTCCTGGGCTGAATGCGCACGCGCATTCAGCCCGTCGCATAGGAAAGCATTTACAATGCTTTCCTATGGACGCTTACGTGCTCTCACTGTGAAAATCACAGTGAGAAGCACGCAAGCGCCTCTAGTGGCTGTCAATGAGACAGCCACTAGAGGATTAGGAGGAAGGCTTAACCCATTCATAAACATAGCAGTTTCTCTGAAGGACCTGGCACCCAGACCACTTCATTAAGCTGAAGTGGTCTGGGTGCCTAGAGTGGTCCTTTAAGCATTAATATAGAACTATAAATTGGTTTTAGATTATAATATCAAGCAATGGCTAGAAGGAAAAAAAATCCTATATTTATAGTGCTTTATTAACAAATCTGGCATGTGCTATATTCACTCTGGTTCCTTCAAAATCATAAGCCATACATTACTTTTACTTTAAGCGGCACTGTCACCTTATGGGTTTTCCTTGATGTGGCATGTGAAATTTATGAAATACTCAATATGACTGTGTTAGAATTTCACTGAAATCCCTACCTATTAAAGAGACCTACAGAGACAAAGCAGGGACTAATTTGTCTCTGTATTTTTCCTCCGCCTGACTTTATTAGACACAGGGTGGAGTCTAAGTGTAAATCCTGACAGCCGTTACGACTGCAAGGAATTGGCTGTGTCTATGGAGGGTTCCGCGAGACCTCCTTAGATCTCAGTGCTAGTCTTGCACATGCACAAGAGTACTGCAGTGATGTTGGCTCCGAAGAGGATGGCCGAGCCCACAGGGGACAGGTTCAGGTAAGTAAATCTCACCTTTACTTGCATCCCCAGCCTCCGGACCCCCAGCGGCACAGTCACCATCAGGGGTCTTTGCGAATTTGGCCAAGTCCCCAGACTGTGACAGTGTCGCTTTAAATTGCCATTAGAGTGATACTGGGGGGAAAATCCAGTAATATAAAGGGACTGTTTAGGCACCATAATAGCTTAATCTAAATAAAGTTGTTATGGTGCCCAGAGGCCCCGGGCACACTATTACTTCAAGGGGTTAAACCATTCTTAGAAAGTTTAACCCCAGAGTTGCGAGTTTTGCTGGAACATCCATATACCTCAATGCTGTACCTTTGTGCATGGATGTCGGCTGCGCAAGGAGCTGAAGAGGAGCAGACTGAACAATAACAGAATACAACAGAGACAAGTGGTTATGAAGGTAACTCAAATGAGTTTACAAACTATGAGAATACTCCTCAATCACAAATTATAAACCTTTGTGAAACTCACTGCACAAAGAATCTCAAAAAGTTTGTATTAATGTTTGCATAATGCACCTGGAAAGATTAGAATAAGCTTTCTTAAAGCATCTCTGTCAACTTTGGAGTCTTTGCATATTTTGTGAAGATCTCCTAAGGTGACATCCCTGCTTGTTGTACTGAGGCCTGGCCGTGCATTGGAAGATATCTATACTTAACTGAAGCTGTTACTTCAGGCAACACCATCTTCGATCTTCATCTCATGGCATTTCATCTACCAAGAGACGCATCAGTGCTGAACTCTCACATGTGCAGTAAAAAACTAACGTCCTTTGAGGCTGCTAAAGCTTCTATAGACTCAGTCTGCAAGAAACAATTTGATCACCACAGCCATTTCTAGCGATGGCTGGAGGAATTGACAAAGCCTGATGGCAAAATCTTTTGTGAAGGTTTTGTCAGCGTAGGACTTATATATGTATTTGAAACAAGAAAACATGTTTGTAGAACATACAAAAAGAATTTACAAAAATACAATAATTACTACCATGAGTGACAAGCAGACTTTTGCATACCAATTTCCATGAGATTTTTATTCATTTAAATGCATCTATCACACATACACACTTCCAATTATTTACTTGTTGCATAACATTCTAGCATGCCTTGTACATATGAGCACATATATAGAAACTAGAATGCATGTTAAAGGGACACAGGCACCCACACCACTTCTGCCCATTGGAATGGTCTGGGTGCCAACTCACATCACCCTTAACCCTGCAAGGTAATTTTTTATAAAAACTGCAATAATTACACTCACAGGATTAAGTCCTCCTCTAGTGGCTGTCGAAAAGTGTTTTAAACACTATGCATGAGGACCTCCAAGGCTGCACAAAAAAAAAAAAACATTGGTAACAATATCAAAAATAACTTTTTTGTATCTCTTGGTCTGGTAATTGAACTTTAATCCCACACGAGGCTCGTTCAGGCTCTAGCAGGTATGAATCTAAATGAAACACACTGTTCAATAATGAAAATTTCAAATTTAGATCTCCTTATCTCTCTACAGGAAGTTTGTATGGACTGGTAAGTGACATTCAGGGGAAATGTGACTAGGGCTGCATTAAGAAAGTGATGTAACCTTAAGGGCAGAGAATTGAGCAGTGAGACTGCATGGGCATTATCTATACACGACAAACCACTTAATTAAAGGGACACTATGGTCTTAATGTAGTTGTTTAGGTGAGTATAGTGAGTCCCTGCTGCCTTCTAAGAGAAAAGGCAGTTGTGACGAAGTGCCCTTCGCCACTTTGTCCTGGAGAGGTCTGCTTGCCTGCCTCCTGCCCTGCGACTATGACCCTAGGATGTATTGGCCTTCTAGGAACTGATGTGGGAATACTGGAGGCTTATATTGCTGTTTCTGGCCCTTTAATGCCCAAAGAAAGGATTTGTACTTTTAAACTGGCACTTCGGATGCAGTCAAAGTGGTCGACGTTGTCGAAGTGGCCACCATTCGAATACCGAACACGTGGCGGTGGCCTTTTTAACTCATTCAAACGCGGTCAGCATGAACACCGCTGACCCATACGTTCTACTCTACTTCGACACTGCGGCTGGAGACTAAGTCCCATTCGAAGATTCGAACGTTCGTTCGAATGGGACTTAGTAATTTTCTCGGTGTAAAATAGACCGACCACACAGCCCAAATCCATGGAACTGTTTTGAGCATGAAAATGTGCCTGCGGTCGGTCAAAAGTGACTTATATGTATCTCCTGAACGGATTTGAATGATTTTTGGGTATGTTTGTATTTGGAATGTGCTGATTAATAATATGTGACTTTTATTAATATTGTATGTATAGTTTTGGAGTTATGAAAGTTGGGTAAAAAGTATGTTTTAAAATGTATGGATAATTGGGTTACCTCTCAGGCTAAGGGGAGGAGATGTGTGGGATGTAACCATTGTGTGATTGGGTATTGTATAATTGTCCGTGGGCGTCTCCCTTGCATAAAAGCAGAGTGTGTGTCATTAAAGATCAGATCCTGTTTGACCCTCAATACGTAGCCTTGTCTCGTTATTGGAGCTGCTATCATCACACTGGGGATTGCTATGCACTGCATACTCCCCTGAGCTTTTAATCACTTAGCTCTTTTAAGAGCTCGTTCCTGATGCGCTCTCCTGGAGGAGAGGTCTTCCCCACACGCTCCTGGAGGACAGAAGCTGATCCAGGGTGGACGGAAGACGGCGAGGCTCCAGTTAAGCTACGGTGGTTGTGGAGTCTGTGGTGGTTGTGGTGTCCAGTGCGGTGCTTGTGGTCCTCGGCGCAAGCTAGGAAGCGTCCATTAACGGAAGGGTCCATTACAGCAGTGTTTACATTACAGCCTAGGACACCTCCAGTGGCCACACCTCAGATGGCTACTAGAGTTTCTTCCTGGCACTTACATTCACTGTCTCCACCTTCTGCACGGAAATGCTGAACTTTCCTCATAGAGATGCATTGATTCAATGCATATCTGTGAGGAGATGCTGATTGGATAGTGCAGCATTTGATTGGCTAGTTTGGCTCTGCCCGCCTCCTTGGCTGAGATTATTATTATTATTATTATTATTGGCATTTATAACCTTTTCTGCAGCGCTGTACAATTGGGAAAAAGACAAACACAATAAGAACAGACCATCATACTTGACCATCTCAGCAAATCCAATGCTTTCCTATGGGAAAGCATTGTTATTGTCTGAGATCAGCACCAGCAGACGGGAATAAAGGTAAGATTTTACTACATTTAGGGTGGACAGGGGGTTTAGATAGTGATTTTAATATTATAGAGTCAGGAATACAAGCTTGTATTGCCCTATAGTGTTATTTTAAGCTAACGTTGTTTCGGTACTTAGTGTCCATATGCCATCCTGTGACCTTAAAAAAAAAAAAAAAAAACATACAAATGCTTACTATTGCACAAACCCTGATCTTGCTCACTCAGATGTTTCATCTGCCTGACGAGCAATACTGATATAATATTGCAATCTTTTTTTTTTTTTTCTTTCATTGCCATTACTCAATCCAACCACATGTGTTTCAAAGTTACAGAGTAGTTATTTGTCATAAAACAGGATGCACTTATTGGGTGCAGTTATTTGTCATTTTATCAACATTCATATATAATCAGAATAATCAAATTTGAATAAAATTAATTGGACAGTACAGGCACTATTACGGACCTAGTGTAGGCGACTGTTAACTTTATTTTTTATTTATGTATTTTTAATTTTAGTCCACTTGGTGTTTCTCATACATTGTAGAAATGGTTTCAGTCATTGATTTTAACAAAGTTAATTGCAACCAGTTCTGCAGTGTTCATTAAGACTTTCAGATGAAATTAGCCATTCTAAAAGCAGTTTCTTGAATGAAGGCATTTGTTTCCCTCTTCTTTTATCTGTCACAGAATGCTTAATTTATATGTTTTATAATCTAAACTAATTAATTCTGTGTCTCCCCTGTGTTGTTTGTTTTTTTCAATAGAAAGGAACCAATTTAACTAGCAGCTGTTTAGAGTTCACTGCAGATGCTGTAAATCTTGGGGAGATTGGAACTGTGAAGGGCTCTCAGAAAAGCCTTTTTAATGTGTTTAGCTCTTGTAGAAAAAAATAAGTCATTACAAGATTTAACATAATAGTGTTACAACTAAATTAGATTTGTTTTGCTTATAAATGTATTGTGATGAGTTGCAGATACATTCTTTTCAAATGTTTAAGTGGTGCACACGTAGCGTAAAATCCCATCTTGGTTTTAGAAGGCCAGAATCTCCATTCTTTCCCATAAATGATTATTATTTTGATATCGTATATCATCTCTAACTGAATGTTTAATAGTGACACCAAATGATGAAAAAGTAAGGCAAGTTTGGCATCTTAAATGAATTGGTGCCAGTATTACCATTAGATTCACCTGTTAAAGTTGAGCTTTTGCAAAATGTCATATATGAAAATAAGTTTGCATATACCATTTTAAAATAACTTCAGATAGGAACTTGTCTATATCTACTTTTGTTACCGTAGTAATTTAATCATCAATTATTGCTTAACAGTTTTGGTAACTTCTATGTCAGGGAAATCCTGTTTCACGTGTCTGGTCAGATGCATTTCACACACTTTTTTTTTTTATTCTATGCGATTTCTCACAGAGCAGGTGCCGACAATGCATTTTCATTTACTGTATATAACTGAAAGCATCTATTTCCTGCCTAAAATATGCTTCTTTTTTATAATTTGTGTCTTGTGCTTCTGAATTTTCTATCTTGGAATTTATGCCATTTAACCACTGATTAGCGATCCCATTGCTGTAGAACTCTGTGGGAGTTAATTCCTAAATATAACTAGAGATGTCGCGAACGGTTCGCCGCGGTTCGCCACGAACCGTTCGCGGCGGACTCCGGTCAGCTGACACATTCCGGCCAATCTCCGGCAGACCCTCCCTCCCAGACCCTTCCACCTCCTGGACAGCATCCATGTTGAAGCTGCCTTCAACATGGATGCTGTCCAGGAAGTGGGAGGGTCTGCCGGAGATTGGCCGGGATGTGTCAGCTGACCGGAGTTCTCCGCGGACGGTTCGTGGCGAACCGTTCACGAGAAGTTCGTGAACGGTTCGCGACATCTCTAAATATAACCCTATGCAAAGAAAATGAAACCACAATTCCATTTCACCTCTGCCATTCCACTTATTTGTGTATAATTTAATTGCAACCACCTTAATCACGTGTACTCTTTGCATAGTTTGTAAAACAGTAAGCTCTCGGTTTCTGATTCCTGTCTATTATCGGTACAGTCATTGGGTAAAATTGGGACAGCTCTACGGCCACTGTCGTGTGACATACTAGGGTAACCGCTCTGCCTAATATAAAATCTTGTATAGTAAGCTCATGTTGAATGAAAAGTGCCCGCGACGATTTATGAGATATGTTCGTAAAACAATTGTAAGACCAGGATTGGCGGAGGGTCAATATTTATTGCACCCTTTTTGTTTTAAATAATAAAAATGTTCATTAAAAAGGGGGAGACCACGTTTCTCATCTGGAGCTAAATCCCATGCTACATACCAAAGACTGTTTCTATGGGAACCTACAGGATCACAGGTTAGTCTCAATGAATTGTTTTTTGGTGTTTTTTTTTTTTTTTATAACATTTTATTATATAGAATTTTTTTTATAAATAATTTTTTATATAATTCTTTACTTTTGCTCACCTCACTGTCATGAGAGAAGCAGCATCTTGCCAGAAAAATACAAAGATAGAGTAACAATACCGGATTCAGGAATAAAATAAGAGTTTGTACAGTTAGTATCATATAAAGTATTTTTAGGGTTATAAGAAAGACTGGGCATACGTGTAATGGTTTGACATTTGAGTGGCTTCTGTATGAGCCAACGGTATGTCACCTCAAATTTACCATTCAGGATTATGAACTTTGGCTCTAGGTATTCTAGGGCTGGAGGGTATGAATATGGCGGCCATTTATACAAAATTTTAAAAAGTCTCAATGTTTTATCACAGCTTGTCAGGTTTTTTTGTTTTGTTTTTTTAATTTTTTTTATTTAGTGACACAGTGCTTAGAAACTTAGATTTTATTTTTAATCCTCACCGCAGATGATGGAAGATCTAGGTGTGCTGGGCATCCTTATTTTTATTGCAATATGCATCACTCACAAAACAAATATGCAAACAATATGTTGCTATTGTGTAAAATGGTGAAGAGAAAAAAAGCACTCTCAACGTCTTCCTTTCTTTGATTTCTCCACGTCTGAGTGTTCAGTTTGTTTTGGATATGGATGCATTCTTTGTGTGTGTATGTATGTATCTGTACATACATACACGTTATATATATATATATATATCATTTATTTTTATTTTTTTCAGACAGGTGTATGCATCCATTAAAATTCCTGATTGTTGTATGGAATTTAATTCAATATTCTTGTATAATCTGTTTTTGTTTTTGGGGGGTTTGATGGGGAGGCTTTATCACGGTTTATTTCAAATACCAGATAAGGCTATCTCATCTCAAACAAGAACATTATTTTGTGCAGAGCCCGACTGTCATTTCTTACAGGAAGTTGTATGTTGAGTCTGTGTAAATTTGTACTGTCACAATGACCATAGCTAGTACATTAATATCCGAGACACGAAAAAGGTTGCTCTGAAACAATCACGTAATATTGCATCATCCAGTAAAGCTGGATCGATTCTGTTAAAGAGAAAGTCACTTAACCTGAACCTGACTTGAAAGTGTTGATTGTAATAGTTTGTCTTTGAGTATATTTGTATGCAAAAAGCTCTTAAAAATCTTGGTCAGCTGGAAGAACACAAGACATTTTCTTTGTACAAGACCATTTGACACCCCTAACAGAACTCATTAGTCAAAAGAAGTGATTAAGAATATACAACTCTTTGCTAGAAAATAGTCCACCAGCTCGAAAATACATCTTGACGTACTGGTGTCTCTGCAAATCAGAAACCAAATTGGTTTTGTGCAAACCACTCCGTGCCAGCAAAATGTCTGATATGTATTTATCCATTTGAGTTATTTTGGAATTGTGTGGCACACATTATTTGTATGTACTATGTGCCTATTTCTTTTACTTTTCTGTTGTGTGAATGGTGTCCTGGGTTAGTGGACTAGAACACAGGAGATACCTGACCTGTCTCTTTTATTAGCAAAGTCTACTCTAGAGTCTAGAACAGGGGTGGGGAACCTTTTATCTGCCAAGGGCCATTTGGAAATTTAAAACCTCATTAGCGGGCCATACAAAATTATCAACTTACAAATTAGCCTGCTGTATTTGGTCAAACATGTAATTAACTCACTCCTAATGTGATGGCTGGAACTGCTTCTATTTGGTGTGATGTTAGCTGGTATTGGTGGTGCTACTCGCAGTGTGTGTGTGTGGGATGCTGTTTGTGAGAGGGGTGCTGTATGTTTGTGTGAGGGGTTATGTGTGAGGAGTGCAGTATGTGTGTGAAGTGGTGTAGTGTGTGTCAGGGGTTTATACTGTTGTTGGGGGGGGGGGGTGATCTGGGAGATATTCTATATATTTTTTACTTAAAAATAGAAAAATAAAACTTTATGCATAACTCCCTTTCCCCCTCCTCCCTCCCCCCCACCCCCCCTCCCTTTACACCTGTCCAGTGGTTTCGCATGCACTTTAGCCTTCAGCTATTCCGGCTGCAAGCTGACTTCACTATATTATTTCCGCAAGCACAGCACTGTCAGAGCATTGCCATGGTAACATAACGCTCTGACTTGCCTGCTCGTTGAAGGTTCACAGCCTCCTCAGTCCTCCTCCTGTCCAGCAGACTCCTGGGTCCTAGCTCCCTCCCTCTCACTTAACAAACTGCCCGAAAACTGGTGAGTAATATCTTTGATATTCCCACCGGCTCGAAAACGGCAGACAGCAGAGTCGGGCCAATCCAAATGATTTTGCGGGACGGACGTTCCCCACCCCTCATCTATATCCATGGGGAAACATAGGAAGGGAAATCAGAACATTTCCTGCAATGAGTGTGTGTAAATGAACAATAATTTGCCTAGAAATAGACATATGCCTTCTTTTCCCCTTCCTTCTTTTGGTTTGCAGAAGATTGATAACATTTTAAGATGTTTTAACATTTTAAAAGCTCACATTTGTGTGATGTTTAATCATAAATATCACAATACTTCATGTATACAGTAGGTAATTGGTCTAAATTTTATTTATTTATTTTAATAAAAAAATACTTTTTTAACTTGAAAATCTTAACTTTACATAGGGCACTTTAAAACTTAGAAATGTTATTAGAACCATGCTGTAAATGTTTTCTCTGTTTGCACAAATATTATTCCTTTTCTACTTTCTCCTTAATTTAATATATCTTGAGGAAAATAACATTATATGTTCAAGTCTCCATTGTTTTAAAGTTGCTTTCAATGCATTTGTAGAATACATTAAATCAGCATCTGTAGAAACATCTTTAAAAATTCACCTTTTTTTCCCAACACTGGTCACTTAATCTCCTTTTTTTTTTCCATAGGAGAAGAAAGAGCTGCAGGTATCTTTGTTTCAAACTCTGGTGCTTCTTATGTTTAATGAGGGGGATGAATTCAGTTTGGAAGATATTAAAATGGCTACAGGAATAGGTGAGGATTGTTAATGATTAATAAACTTAGGTTTCACTTTAAGTTCCCTGCCTCTCCCCCAGGAAAAGCCTATTTATCCCTATATCTTAAAAGGCTACTCAAAACACCGCTACAACCAGCTGTAGTGATCTGTATTACCCTGGCACTAGTAATGGGTCCATTAATGTGTAAAACCATTTTAAAAAGCTTTGCCATCTTAGCTGGGCCCCGCAAGGCGCCAGATCTCTTCTCAAGCAGGTGTATGACATTTGCAGAGCTGATCGTGCCAGCAATTCATTGGCTGAGAGGGGTTGTTGACTGGCAGCCAATGAATGCAATTCTGTGCATAGAAATAGGCACACAATTAATATTAAACATCCCAAACTCTTGTTCCAGACTGGCTAATGACGCCACAATGACTCTCCTTGAGGTGGAGTTACACTTCTGACAGCAAAAGGGTTAAACACGTTTCATAATAAAATGCTCCAAGCACCATGTACACTTTAAATCACTGAAGTGGTCATTGTGCTTAGAGCCACTCTCTAACTTTTGTACTGTTTTATTTTCATAAACTTCATACAGTTTTTCAGAAATAAAGATTCTTAGATTTGTCCTATTCCAAATGCTGTAACATTCTGTTTTGTTTTTTACCGTGGTTATGCAAATTACAGTTAAAGGCGGTAATTCAATTTGCTTTGCATTTCATTTTTAATTGCAGAGGACAGTGAGCTGAGACGAACTTTGCAATCACTAGCATGTGGCAAAGCTCGTGTTTTGAATAAGATGCCGAAGAGCAAAGATGTGGAAGATGGAGACAAGTTTAGCTTTAATGGCGACTTCAAGCACAAACTCTATAGAATAAAGATTAACCAAATTCAGATGAAAGAAACTGTGAGTATTTTTGGTTGGAAGATGTTTCCTCATCTCCAAAAGTATTTGATCCCCTACTGATTTTGAACGTTTGTCCTCTGACAAAGTGATCAGTATATAATTTTAATGGTAGGTGTATTTTAACAGTGAGAGACAGAACAACAAAACAAAAAAAAATCCAGAAAAACGCATGTCAAAGTTATAAATTGATTTGCATGTCACGAAGTGAAATAAGGGAGTGCTCCTATTCTCAGCTCGTTACCTGTATAAAAGACACCTGTCCACAGAAGCAATCAATCAGATTCCAAACTCTCCACCATGGCCAACACCAATGAGCTGCCCAAGGATGTCAGGGACAAGATTGTAGACCTACACAAAGCTGGAATGGGCTACAAGACCATCGCCAAGCAGCTTGGTGAGAAGGTGACAACAGTTGGTGCGATTATTCGCAAATGGAAGAAACCCAAAATAACTGTCCTTCTCCCTCGGTCTGGTGCTCCATGCAAGATCTCACCTCGTGGAGTATCAATGATCATGAGAACGTTGAGGAATCAGCCCAGAACTACACTGGAGGATCTTGTTAATGATCTCAAGGCAGCTGAGACCATAGTCACCAAGAAAACAATTGGTAAAACATTATGCAGTGAAGGACTGAAATCCTGCAGTGCCCGCACGGTCCCCCTGCTCAGGAAAGCACGTGTACAGGCCCATCACAAATTTGCCAGTGAACATCTGAATGATTCAGAGGAGAACTGGCTGAAAGTGTTGTGATCAGATGAGACCAAAATCTAGCTCTTTTTGGCATCAACTCAACTCGCCGTTTTTTGGAGGAGGAAGAATGCTGCCTATGACCCCAAGAACACCATCCTCGCAGTCAAACATGGAGGTGGAAACATTATGATTTGGGGGTGTTGTTCTGCTTAGGGGACAGGACAACTGCACCACATCAAAGGACGATGGACGGGGCCATTTACCATCAAATCTTGGGTGAGAACCTCCTTTCCTCAGCCATGGAATTGAAAATGGGTCATGAATGGGTATTCCAGCATGAAAATGACCCAAAACACACAGCCAAGGCAACAAAGGAGTGACTCAAGAGGAAGCACATTAAGGTCCTGGAGTGGCCTAGCCAGTCTCCTGACCTTAATCCCATAGAAAATCTGTGGAGGGAGCTGAAGGAGCCAATGGCCAAACATCCGTCATGAAACTTTAATGACTTGGAGAGGGACAAAATCGCTCCTGAGATGTTTGCAAACCTTGTGGCCAACTACAAGAAACGTCTGGCCTCTCTGATTGCCAACAAGGGTTTTGCCACCAAGTACTAAGTCGAAGGGGTCATATACTTATTTCACTCATTGACATGCAAATCAATTTATAACTTTTTTGACTTTTTTTTTTTTGGAATTTTTTTTGTTTTGTTATTCTGTCTCTTACTGTTAAAATACACCTACCATTTGAAATTATAGACTGATCATTTCTTTGTCCATGTGCAAACAATCAAAATCAGCAAGGGATAAAGTACTTTTTTCCTTCACTGTACATATGATGAACATACTACATATTGTATGCTCGTTTTGATTAGGGCCTTCTTCACCTCTTGTCTCTGTTCTATTCCTTATGTAAATTACTTATGGTCAGATATCCACATCTAATAATAGTAAAGCGCTGCAGAATATGCTGGCTCTAGATTGATGGTAAAGAATAGGTTTGTGAAAATTTCTTGAAGTTCTGAATTCACCATGGAAGCCAAGAGAATAGTTCCTCATAATTGCACCACGTTTAACCCCTTAAGGACCAAACTTCTGGAATAAAAGGGAATCATGACATGTCACACGTCATGTGTCCTTAAGGGGTTAAAGTTGCACTATTATTTGCATGCATATATTGCTTTGTGTTGCTTCAAAAGAGGAAGAATCGTTCCAAGTGTTCTTTTCAGTTTCTTATCTAGCCAAAACCAACCCCTTAACATAGGAATCCACTTATTTCAACCTGCTTCCTTCATGGTTTCTTTATTAGTGTTTTCTATAGATATTAAACCATTTCACATTTGGAAAAGAACCTCCTATAAAGAGAAAATGCTTAAACATGCTTCCCAACATTATAAGATCCAGCAGGGCCCCCAAAAAGTGCAATGCAAATAAGTCCTTAAACTATCACCTAATGACTGGTTTTAAAGTGCTCTGTGAATGGGAAGCTATGACTTATCTACTGGCAGGGCTGCCTATTTGCCCTGTGTGTACATGCCAGACTGCAGTGTGCCATTTTTGCCTTTCCTGCCACAATTCACCAGTAATGCACATTGCAATATTTGCATGCTCTACCCATTTCCTTCTTGATTTTATACCTGTCAATATTGTGACTTATGCTTAGGAGCCAATCGCATATTCAACAATTAACTAAATGTGGGCTATTAATTTTGCTTCTACTTATTTTGTACAAATCTTCCATATTTTTTTTTTAAAGGCAGAATTCAAAGCACCCTAACCACTACAGTCTTCTCTAGTGGTTAGCATGCCAGACGTGCACTGGTGCCATCCCAGTGTAATTTATGAAAACGTTTCAGAATTGTTTGATAACTTACTTGCGTCCTTTAGGCACCTGTGCCAAATCACATTTCTCCTTTTAGGAAATGCCCAATGGCTCTATTCAACTAATCATGGCTGTTCCAGGCCACGCTTCTCATGCAGGAAAAGACGAGAAGTAAGGTTTGTGATCACAGACAACCTGGTGCAACACATGTAATTGTCAAACCATTCTATAATGCCATTTAGACTAAAGTTCAGTAGAGATAGGTTAATTTTAGCTTTCCCCATTACCCAGTAAGCAATTCAGTAGTGCTAATCGAGCCGAGAAACTTATGATCTTTCTCTGTTAAAAAGAAACCTTTAACTGTGGTTTGACAAAAAAAAATGGTAGTTCTTATTCGAGACTGATCAATGCTGCTGCTTTTTGTACATCCTGAGCATCCTGATCAAAGATATATATTCTTTCAGGTAGAAGAACAAGTTAACACAACAGAAAGGGTCTTCCAGGACCGACAGTACCAGATTGATGCTGCCATTGTGCGCATAATGAAGATGAGGAAAACTCTGACCCACAACCTTCTAGTATCTGAGCTTTATAATCAGCTGAAATTTCCTGTAAAGGTAAGCACACCTTACTTCTACATCAGCTTCCATGGTAATTTGCCTTGTTATTTGGCCAGCCAATTTATAGACATTTGTGATCGCTACATTTGTGAGGGCAATTGCTACAAGTTAATTTAGTTTGACTGTCTCCATTCAAACCATAATACAAATGTTACAGGAATGGTTTTACCCACCGTGTAAATGTACATTCACCTAAGACTTTGCTTTTCTAAACCCAGCCACGGTTTTTCTGTTATGTAACCTTATCGTGTTTAGCACTCCACAGTAGTTTTTGTAGTGTGCAAATTAACTTTGTTAAAGGCACCACCTCTTCGAACACAAAAATAAAAAGCAACTGAATAGTGGGAAATAATAATAATAAAAATGACATAGCGTAATAAAACACAAGATGAAAGTAGGCTTCTCACCCCACCAGGGGTTAAAATCTACCAGTTTTCCAATTCATTTTAACCCCTGGTGGGGTGAGAAGCCTACTTTCATCTTGTGTTTGTGAGTGCAATACTTAAATACCACACACTTTATTTCTATTGTAACTGTATTACGCTATGTCATTTTTATTATTATTATAGGCTTATATTAATTTTGCTATCCTGGTTCATCTTTCCAGGTTGTATTTAATTTATTTTACGTGTATAGGGTGGTTTTTTCCCACTTCCTTTTTTGCTCTAATTTGTTAATTGGGTGTTTGTGAGGTACACCTGGGAAACACCTAGCTTTTTCACTACTATCTAATTGTCTCGTTAGTGTGTATATATACCTATCTTTTTCATTAGATAAGCTTTTGTTTGTTTTTTTTAAATGGTATGAGTTATACAGGTTGTAAATCAGCTTCTTCCCTAACTTCATTTACACTCCAGCAATTCAAAATAGTTTTTACTTCTCTAGTTTTTCAGTTTTAATTTATTTTATAAGCCAAGCCATGTCTCTTATGCAATACATGTTTATGTATACATGCTTGTCTACAAACCTTGTTTGATTTAAATATATATCTCTGCAATATTTAATATCTCATTTCAGCCTGGAGACTTGAAAAAAAGAATTGAATCCCTCATTGACAGAGACTACATGGAAAGGGACAAAGAGAACTCCAAACAGTACCACTATCTGGCATGAGGAATAAACCAGTGCTATTATCCAATGACTTAATAGAGAGAGAACTGCATTGGCCAGATGAGACTTCCAGTGATAACCATTATGGTGAAGTTATATCACTGGTATAAGCAAAATAAATCTACTCTTCATTGACCCACCCTTAATGCGCCTTAGTAATATTGAATTAGCATTTTCTTTATATATTTTTTTTGTGTGACCGTTTAGCATATATGGTTACTAGCTCTTTTATTATAAGCAACATGTAAACTCCATTTCCTACTACTTCTCTCTGCCTTTTTGCAGTGACTGGTCTCTTTCTAGTTTTCATTTCTTTCTTCGCTTTCCTTTTATCTTCCATACTTGTGTTTTGGTTTTTTTTTTTTCTGCCTAGATTGCACATAGTGACTGCATCTACTAACAGTCCCTTAATGCTGCAATATTTATTATTGGGTCCAAGGGTTCTAAAACAGGATGTCCCAATTTGTGTTTTTTCGATTATTTTGGGAAATAAACCAGCTACAGAAATTCTGATTATATTTTTCTCCTTTCCCAGCTGTATACTGCTAAATAAATAATGTTTCTTATACAGGCTGTTCACTGGTATTTGAGGGCTATGAGATTTGAATGTGGTGGTAGGCGTGATGTGATATGTTTTCTGGTTTTCGGTAGTTACAGACTACTTCCAGTATTGGTTTGCATATATGTTTATACAATGCCATCTGCTCTTAAATTTGATATAGACCTGTAGTTTACTGCAATTGCTGTAACAGTAATTAAAACAGGTAATTCTAATCTTAGCTTGCAGTCCTCTTTTGGCTGCATATTTACAAATATTTTGGATGAGACATCAAGACTGAGGCTAGACCTCTCCATTACTGCTTATACTGATTTTTCTGTAGAAAGCGTATACGTTAATATGCAAAGGATACATTTCAATCAGAGTTTGATGGTTACTAATGAAAAAAGAAAAAACCCACAAGCAGTAGATTTTACTCCTGCTTATAGTACTAGTGGATTCTGGATTTGGACCCCCCAATTCAAGGACGCTTTGCAGCTGTTTCAATATATAATTGATACAGATTGATACAAATTTCTCCTGCTGTAGCACTTAATTAAAACATTCATTACTACAAATTATTGCTGCCACTTTAAGAACAGCATTCAATATGCAATTTCTAAAGGTAAATGACATTTCAAATTAGCACATTTGTACACTGTAAACACTGTAAAGTATGGGTATTTGCATTTGCTAATAAAACATTTTAAAGCAGAATGGACCTTTTTTTTTTTTTTTTTTTTAACATCTTAAAATAAATCCAGTTTGCTAAAGTGCATATGTTGAATATGTATTTAATCAAATGCATAGATGGTGCACAATTTAAGCAACTATTTTGTTATGCCAATTGACCCACAGGACTGCAACCGAAAGTGACGTGGAGAAATTGTATACTGTAAATGAGCCTATTTTTTAGGGAGTGTAGCTGTGGCAAAATTGTACATTACTTTGCTGTGAGTTTTTAACTATGCCTTGTAGCCCTGAGCTTCCTCTTTCACAGAGATCACAAGCTCAATTTGGAAATTATGTCTCCCAACCCTGAACTTCCTCTATCGCAAAGCTGACACTATCAATATTGGAATTGATCACATATCACTCAGTCCTGAGCTGAGTCTTAAGATAACCACGTTTTGTAGCAAATGAGTGAATTAATAATGAGTAATTTCCTGTCCTTATTCAAAATGCAAAGTGTGTACAATTAGAACAAAAAATGCAAGATGCAGTCTGTCTCAGAGTGGGCATTTTTACTCATATCACTTGATATGAGCACTGGGCACTGGTGGTTGTAGCACCATGATTTGACACCATATTTATTCTATTTCTATTTCTGTTCTATGCCTGTCTAGCTAGATTAACAGGGAGAGAGGCTTTGTAACTTAATTTTACCATCAGTCTATTTTTTGACTGGTTTCTCATTTATTCATTACCTCTATCCTTCTATCTATTTACTATAGCTGGACTCTGAGCTTATGTCATATACATTTAAATTCTAGACACTTTCTAGGATAGACTATTGTATGGGATTTACCTTTTTGAGTATCTCCACCCCTATAGCATATTATAATAAAGCGGATGATTAGGGTGGGGCTACGTTATAGGCTATACTTTGATATCCCTATCAATTATACCCTGGTCTGGCATAGAATTGTAGTATCACTTGAATTTTTTATTTACTTTTATTACTCTATTACTATAGGTTTTCTTACGGTTTCTATCTAGTAAGCCAGGGCTGGTATTACACTATACCGTTATATATATATTTCCAGGCTATGCTACTGATCTTAAGTACACTCTGAGACAGACTGCATCTTGCATTTTTTGTTCTATTGTCTGTTTATTTGGGGTTAAGCCCCTTCGAGATACCTGGAATCTCGTTTCGGTACACTAGTCCCTGTGTGGCGCCTGTTGATCTTTTCCCCCCTCTGGCTCCATCCTGGGGGGAGTCTATACAGGTGGATACACAGAGACGTAGAACCTTGTGTTCTTTATTATTATTTTTTTCTTGTGTACAATTAGTTCATACCAATACATTTGATTAGTTATTTCTAAACAATTCACACTACTTACACAATAATATTGACTATAGATTTGTTAACCCTTACCTATATATGCAGGTATTAGAATAATGCACATTTTATGTCGAGATGCTCCGCATACTTCACCAATACTTCCCAAGTCCACAGGCTCAGAGGTCGAGCAGTCTCTGAGATCTGGCCGCTTTACCAGGTTTCACAGAAATGTCACCAAGGTTGCATTCAATTCTTCATTCAAGTTTGAATCATTAATGTATAATGATTTTGAATTTACTGTTACGGTTTGCCCAGTGCTTAGTCGATTGTTGCCACCCGGCTTAGACAATATTGGTAATATTGAAGAGCAAATTCAAGATAATGAAAACAAACGGAGATGGGTGTATGAGTCCTGGCACTGCAGTTATGTTTTTGTGTTTTAGTTTGTTTTTCTTTTTAAATCCTTCCACAGTGGTTTGACAAAACACTTGGGACAACACTCATAGCCTCTGTACCATAACCAGTATACTGAGCTGTAGTGTCCGGTTATGGTGCTCAGTACCGCTGTAATTCATGGTTTGAACCATTGTGAGATTCTCTAATGAAGGAGATTTGCATTATATGAAATGTTGCTGTGTTAATGGGCCGCATAGAATAACTATTTAACTAAAATTAACTTAATATGTTCTCTTGTAGGGGTATGCTTCAATACATAACAGAGAAATAATATATTTTGACAACTAGGGAGCCTCATTCGTGAATGGCAAAGCAATGCTTGAAATTGCAGCAACAGATACAATTCTGCACATGGTTGTTTTTTTTTTTTTTTTATTCATATTCTATATTTTGCACTAATCAAGATCAGGCTAATTTTTAACACTGGAAATTTTTGATTTATTTATTTAAATAAAAGATGACTAGTGAGTGAATGTATAAAGTGGTATTTTTTTTTTAAGTGGCAGCCAGAGACCTTTAAAAGATTGCAATAACATGCCTAATAGAGATTTAGAAAAAAGATCAAAGATGATAAATCAACAACAGCTTCCACGCACGGAAGGCCCAGAAGCAACGATAGAAACATCATGCTGTTACTTCCAGGGCCAGATTAAGAGCCCAGTGGGCATGAGCGTATGAACCCAAAAAAATCTGGGGCGGGGGGATAGCATTTTTACTTGCCGGGTATATTCTTATTCCGTAAACTAGGAGTTGTTTATCCCATTGTACAGGGCTGCGGAATTTGCAGTCTCTATATAAATGATTAAATAATAACTTTAAAGGTCACTACAGGGAAGGGATTTTACTTACCTGGATACAGCGCCGGGATCCTCCTGATGCCGCGCCCCCTATTTCGTCAAAATGACTTAATAGGAGGGTGCGAGCAGGGAGCAATAAAACGCTTCTATTCAGAAGCGTCATTGCGCTCTGGTGCGCATGCGCAGCTTTGCCGCACATGCACAGATACTTCATAGGGCGGCATTCATGTCTCGACTAGGAAGCACCTCTAGTGGCCATCTGAGTGTCCACTAGAGGTATTCCTTATTAGTAATGTAAATACTGCCTTTTTACGAAATGGCTGTGCTTACATTAAAAAGCCTGCAAAGACATGCTATAGACATCAGAACTACTACGTTTAGCTGTTGTAGTTCTGGTGACTATAGTGTCCCTTGAATATAGAGAGGAAAAAAGATTCCTCACAAATGTAAGAAATAAAATGTCTGTATCATTATTCTTTTTTTTTTTTAAATTCTTTATTTTATTTGTGCATAGCTTGAACAATCATGTTTGTACCGCCACAATAGCAGGTGCAAGCAGGTTTGAAAACATACATTAACATAGATATGGCATTGTAATACATAGCACAGTTTTTTTTTTATATATTCAAGATAGGAGACATGTTAAAGGTTAAACCATGGATCGTAGTTACACAAAAGAAATCTGCTTGTCTCAGAGTTTAGTAATGTGTTATACTGATTTATCTCACAGCCTAGGGACTAACATGCTAGCTGAAAACTACTAAGGCTTGCTTGGTACATATGGTAACATCGCTGCTCTGTCGAAACTTAGAATTGGCATGCAGTGTCACGAGCTACCAGAATGTATACATGCAGTATAATCCTATTTACATTTTAATCTATGAATGACACACTCTTTTGCAGGCTAGTCTCGCTTAGCTGTTAGGTTACTTATATTGGATCTGCGCTTCACTGCCTTATAGCAGGCTTGAAAGATGAAACAAAGGCAAAAACTTAAAGCATAGTTATAGTAAATTAGGTGAGGAAGACAACTATGCTAGGCAATATGGCACGGTTGGCGTTTGCTTAAAATATAAAAAGAAAAATTATGCCACTGTGCTTAACAAAGAACCCTGGGTTCCGAACAGAGACTCCTCTCCCCGAGAAGAGGGGAACTTGATTTTGATGGTTGTTGGTCAGGTGGCAGAGAGTAGGCAGCCCCAG